TAACAGGTATGTTGTGTGCCGTGACCGACTAACACACCAGTGCCTTGGCAAAGGGATAATCAAAAATAATATTTTTACATGCACTACACAACATTCACACATCAAAGGACGATATGAGCATGAAAGAGAAGTATTTTTGAATGAATTATATCTGGCTTGTTCTTCTCAGTTATGTAAAGTGAAATACATATATGACAATTTAGCATTATTGTAAGTATCTATTACGATGATTAAATTCTATTGATTGAGTAATCTGTTCATTTATGTAGACATGAAGAAGCAGCGCAATTGGAGCCCTTCGGTAAAATCGAGTATTCCATGCGCCGATGGCAAAAAGAAATAAAATTGCCACAATATGATTCATATGGCTCTTTTTTTAATATTTTTCAAGATGATAAATGGAAACAACTGAAAAAGCATGAAGCTAATTCATCTCTTGAAATAAATTTTTATGAAGAATCGCAGTCTACAGCTTTGGTATTTACTGATCCAGCAGTGATTACAGCTATTAGTGATACAAATACTTTATACATTTCATCAATTCAAGACGATTACTACTTACAATCTAACGATATCCAGGAAATGATTATAATAACAGCAATTGTTGGAAATTATGTAGGTGTTTTTTTCTTTCATTTATTAATTTTTGGAATTACCCGATGATGACATTATCATCAATTTAATCGATATTTGTTTCAGTCATTCTTCTATCTTATAGCGTGTATCAAGAATGGTGGTAGTGATGCAATTTATAGGCGTATAATTAATAGGATTGTACCTCATGTTTCCCCGGTTCTAACGATATACACCTGTTATAATGCAAGTTTATTCGTTACTCTGAAGCAGTTATTTCCCAAAGCATACATTCATCAGAGTTTTTACGAATATTGTAAGGTACGATTACAAAATGAATATCTTATATTGTTTTATGGAATATTTAGTAACATTAAACTCACAATCTTACATTTTTTTTGTTATAAAAGTATTGTGTTCAAATATTTTCATATATACTTTCAGATGATATATAGAGAATCTGTCATATTTGATATAAGAAACACCGAAGTATCATCAGAAATTATGAAAAAAATCCTTGCTCTACCTCTGTTTCCAAGAGAACAAAGAAACGAAGCATTTAAATCGGTTGCGGAATCAATGTACTCCAATACAGTGGGTTACCGTGAATTTTTTGAAAATTATGAACGCAATTGGCTTCATGATATAAACATTTCGGTCCTTAATACTAATGAAGCAGTAGCAGACTGTCAAAGAGCTGCTTTGCAAGAATTAAAGAATAAAGTCAAAGTAAACCCTAATCTGTGGGATATTTTTAGTATGTGCAATATTTATATTAATTTATTAATTAAGAATGAATCATTATGACAATGATTTCTATGAGTTTTATTTCACAGAATATATGCGTGAACAAAGTGTGAAATGCCTAACCAATTTAGAGAAATTGAGAATTCGACGGGTTATAGCCAGAGATTTACTCGTAAGACCATTACTCGGCAAAGCAGTACTAAATGTGGAACACGAGGTAGACATTGATACATTTTTCACAACTGCTGTGGCAATGTTGTATGAAGTCTGGGGTACATTAGTATATAATAATGAAAGAGAAAAACAGCTTGCCGCAGGACTTCCAGATCAACATAATGACGGTATTGCCTTAATTCTTTTTTATAAGAAAAATTTTGATAAAGTCATATAAAAATCTACTATTTGTCATTGCTATCATTATAATCCATCACAAGTATCAATTTTAGTAATAAAAGTTTATCAATTTCAGATGATGACGAGGAAAAAGATCAATTAAATACAGACGAAGCTACTAGTGGTAAGATTTTAAAATACATGCTCTACTTTTCTTTATTCAAGACAATTATTAAATATTCATCTTGTCATAACCATGACTGACAGGTATACTTCATAAAAGTTCTTTGATTTCAGGTGATGACCAAGACACAGATCAATTGAATACAGACGAAGCTACTAGTGGTAAGATTTTAAAATACATGCTCTACTTTTCTTTATTCAAGACAATTATTAAATATTCATCTTGTCATAACCATGACTGACAGGTATACTTCATGAAAGTTCTTTGATTTCAGGTGATGACCAAGACACAGATCAATTAAATACAGACAAAACTACTAGTGGTGAGATTTTAAAATACATGCTTTACTTTTCTTTATTCAAGACAATTGTTGAATATTTATCATGTCATAACCATGACTGACAGGTATACTTCATGAAAGTTCTTTGATTTCAGGTGATGACCAAGACACAGATCAATTAAATACAGACAAAACTACTAGTGGTGAGATTTTAAAATACATGCTTTACTTTTCTTTATTCAAGACAATTGTTGAATATTTATCATGTCATAACCATGACTGACAGGTATACTTCATGAAAGTTCTTTGATTTCAGGTGATGACCAAGACACAGATCAATTAAATACAGACAAAACTACTAGTGGTGAGATTTTAAAATACATGCTTTACTTTTCTTTATTCAAGACAATTGTTGAATATTTATCATGTCATAACCATGACTGACAGGTATACTTCATGAAAGTTCTTTGATTTCAGGTGATGACCAAGACACAGATCAATTAAATACAGACAAAACTACTAGTGGTAAGATTTAAAAATACATGCTCTACTTTTCTTTATTCAAGACAATTATTAAATATTCATCTTGTCATAACCATGACTGACAGGTATACTTCATAAAAGTTCTTTGATTTCAGGTGATGACCAAGACACAGATCAATTAAATACAGACAAAACTACTAGTGGTAAGATTTTGAAATACATGCTTTACTTTTCTTTATTCAAGACAATTGTTGAATATTTATAATGTCATAACTATGATCAACAGGTATACTTCATGAAAGTTCTTTGATTTCAGGTGATGACCAAGACACAGATCAATTAAATACAGACAAAACTACTAGTGGTAAGATTTTGAAATACATGCTTTACTTTTCTTTATTCAAGACAATTGTTGAATATTTATCATGTCATAACCATGACTGACAGGTATACTTCATGAAAGTTCTTTGATTTCAGGTGATGACCAAGACACAGATCAATTAAATACAGACAAAACTACTAGTGGTAAGATTTAAAAATACATGCTCTACTTTTCTTTATTCAAGACAATTATTAAATATTCATCTTGTCATAACCATGACTGACAGGTATACTTCATAAAAGTTCTTTGATTTCAGGTGATGACCAAGACACAGATCAATTAAACACAGACGGAGCTGCTGTTGGTAGGTTTGCTAATAGTTCTCGTTTGTTATCCAATCATACGTACTTGTCCTAAATATTATTACTGTTGCAGAAATTATTAACGACGACTACGATGCTGAGTATCCAAATGGCAACTTTTATTATTTATATAAACGTATGTATTATCGAATATGATTACAAATGAAGTATATCATCGACGCATCTTGTAAACGTCTAACACATAAAGTAAATTCATTTCATATCTTGTTTTTAGCATATTGCATCGATAAATTTAGAGCAAATAAAATTCATCGAAGAATATGTAAGTGATATATTTGGCTACAGATTTTTTTTAATAATAATGGGTAACTATTAATTGATATTTTCTAAATTCTAGTGGTTGATCACGACTTTTCCAATAACAACTGCATAAGATGCAACAAATTGGCACAGTATAGGCTGTTACCATGTCATCATTATCTATGCAGAGCCTGTGCTTGTATTTTATTAATGAGAGTTGAGTTAGGATATTACTTGAAATGTCCTAAGTGTCATCTTGAATCAACCGATGTAGTGTAGGATGATTTACACTTATAACAGTATGCACTACAATTTGAAAACTTTGTCCGAGTTTTTAGTTAAACTTAATATTAATAACTTATATTTTTTTATTTCTTTAACTCATTTTGATTTCTTTGGTATGTACCATATTTGCGATACATCATTTAGATTTTAAGTTAAAATTAAAATTATTATTTGAAAATTTATATCTTTTAACTCATTTTGATTTCTTCTGTATGTACCATATTTGCGATATGTCAATTAGATTTTAAGTTAAAATAAAAATTAATATCTAAAAATTTCTATCTTTCAACTCATTTTGATTTCTTTTGTATGTACCATATTTGCGATACGTCATTTAGATTTTAAGTTAAAATTAAAATTATTATTTGAAAATTTCTATCTTTTAACTCATTTTGATTTCTTTGGTATGTACCATATTTGCGATATGTCAATTAGATTTTAAGTTAAAATAAAAATTAATATCTAAAAATTTCTGTCTTTCAACTCATTTTGATTTCTTTTGTATGTACCATATTTGCGATACATCATTTAGATTTTAAGTTAAAATTAAAATTATTATTTGAAAATTTATATCTTTCAACTCATTTTGATTTCTTTTGTATGTTCCATATTTTCGATACGATAAATTTTAGTATTGCCTGTACTTTACTCCATATCCATATGATAATACCATTTTTACTTATGAAAACTACTTTATCGAGGGTTGAATGAATCACTGCCTGTAAAAAAATTTTTTTCGGTATAATACATATTCAGAACATTATACAATTCGATACAATATAATATTCGGTTTAATAAACCATTCGAAATTTTATTTACATCGAGGCTTTGCAGAATTCGATACACTCTATATTTAGTGACAATACTCGTTCAGAGCTTTCACTTTTCGAATTTATACCGTATTCGAGACAATCATTTTTCGAGGTTATGCTACATTCGGGACTTTAGCCTTCTGGCCTTCCGCATACAACCCTAGAAATGTTCTATACTTATATGTACATTCTATACATGTGTAAACACACACACACACACACACACACACACACACACACACAATCATAAAGTGCTGTGGCGCTATTACTTGGAACCAAATAATAATAATAATAACATGTGAACAATACATGCAGTTCATATTGGAGTATAGTCGGACTGAGAAGAGAGTTCCTCAGATGTTCTTCATGTGTTCTTGTACGCTTGCGCAGTAGTAAAAAACATGGTAGAAGGGGTAGAAAATCAGTGGTGGGGAGCCCGAAAGCATTGAAGCAACTGAGGAACTCTCTTCTCAGTCCGACTATATATGAAGATATTACAAACGTGATATTAAAATTTAAATGCATCATTTTTGAATTGATAACAAAAAACTACAAACAAAACATTTATACAAATTAAACACGCCAATTTTAGAGATTAATATCTGGTATTAATATCAGAGAATTAAACTGTCATAAGCTATGAACCGACTAAAATCAATTGTGGATTTAACTCGAAGGGGTTATAAAAATATAAGTAGAAATCAATCATTATCATTGAGAAAAAATAATAAAGTTAATACCGAAAAGCAGTTATACAGTAATTTCGAAGAATCTGACTTGGATAATCATGAAGATGAAGTTGATCTCGAACATTTGGATGCTGATTTTATGGGTGCCGGGGAAGTTTATAATGAACACAAGAGGTAATTTTATTATATAGTAAGACTTAAAACATTTTTTTAAAGTTTCATCATAATAGTTATATTAAATTTTGGTTAACAGAGAACTTCGATATAACAAAGAATTATTGAAGATGAGAATTACTGCAAGCAAATATTTTAAAACAAAAGAACCGAATTTTTTAACTTGGTCTGAAAGGAGTCAAATAAAAAATCTACATGATAAAGACAATCAAGAATGGACACCTGAAAGATTAAGTACAGCTTTTCCAGCTCTACCTGAAACAATAAAGAAAGTATTAAAATCGAACTATATGCCAAAAACAGCTGAAGCAGTTATTAGATATGATCAAAATGTTGTAGATAATTGGAATCAATTTAAAGCTGGAAATTTAGCATTAAGTCCACAACTAGAAGCTCATTTGCAAAAATTTAAAGATCGTAATATTCAAATAACAAATTTAAAAACTATTGCAGAAAAATTTGTAAAACCTAAACCAGTTTTTTCATCACCAAATTGTACTATGTTTTCAAGTATTGTTAAAGATTATACAGAATCCAAATGTATTACAGATGAAAAGCCATCATTGCAATTAAATGACGGTACAGTTACAAATGATAGTACAGTTAGAAATGATACAACAAGTAGCGAATTAGTGGTGCAAAATGCCCATAATAATGTTAAAAGAGATTGGAAATATGCTACTAGTGATATATTTTTAGAGAAAAAAGTTAATGAAATTACCGATCATTCGAATTTATCTGTGGAAGATAAATTCTTTTTACAAGAATATAGAGATAAAAAAAATAAGGAAAGTATAATTGATTCTGAAGAATTAATTGTCACGAAACAAGACAAAACATTAGACTTAATTGAAAAGACTGAGATTACAGAGTCTCCAGTTATAAATAATGAACCACTACAGCCTCACACTATGCAAGATAACATCTCAAAACCACAAGTTATGCAAGTATCATTAGACAAAATTGAAACTTATAAAAACAGTTTGGATACAGGAATTATAGAATGGAAAAAAAAGAGTGCTTTAAGTGAAGAAGAGAATTATCCTAATTATATTAAAGTTCCTTATCGGAAAGCAAAAAAAGGAGTTTTATTTAGAGTAAAAGATCGTTATTATGATTGTGATGGCGAATTTTTATATCGTGTACCTGGACTTAAAACGTAAATTTTAAATTTTAATTAAATATTGTATAAATATTAACATTGTTATTAAATATAACTTGAAACAAACGAAAAATCTACTAATTTTTCCTTTATTAAAATTCCATTCACATTTTATTTATTGTAATATCTTTCAAAACTACATATTTATTAGTTAAATATAAAATATATATTTTGTTATAGGATATAATAATGATATGAAAATACTTATGTCTGTTATTATTATTAAAGATAATAGTATTAGCAGTATAAACAATACAACAACGATAATAATAAGAATGAATAATTGAATGATTAAATATGGAATAGAATATTAATTTTTTGAAAAAATGAACGTAAACATTTAGGTGTATATAATAGCTCAAATAATTTTTTTTTGTTTTTTTTTTATAGACTTAATAAAATATGTAATAATTAACAGAAAAATATCATACAGAATAGTATCACTTGTATCCTGTTTTACTTAAACCGGTTTATTTACATACTATTTTTTTATATACGTCAAATTTGGAATATAACTGATAACTTTATGAATAATTATATCATAACGTGTTTTTTTAATATTTAACGAATTTTTTCTTGACGAAGATGAACAGATGGATAGTTGGAATCAACAGAACGAGGTTGAACATCTGTAAATTTCAAACAAATTTCAATCTAAATATATATGTGTTATATTAATTATTTAATTGAATTTATGATTTGTAAACTTACAATGAGGACGATTGGCTTCATCAGATTTATCAGTCTGCATTTCCTGATTTGGACTTTGCTCAGCTTGGATAGGTTCTTTCTCTTCCTGCTCCATGGAGGCATCAATCACGTGTGTGTTAACTCCAATTGGTATTTCAAATGATTCAATGGGTCTTATGAAAGACATGGTAATTTGAGATTTAGGCATCATAGGAGCTTCTTGATTTTCAAAAATTCGTTGAAGTAAATTTTTTTCTGGTAAAGCCATTTTTTTCTCTTCTTCAGATTTTTCTCCTACTTTTTCTATGATCGAAATGGGTCGAACTGGTGGAAGTTGGAAATTATTTTGTTGAAGACCATCAATGTTGCCGTGTTCCAATAAATTTTTTACTTCAACTGGTAAGTTTGCTGGATTCATGGGAATTGGACGAATATCCATGGGAAATGGTTTGAAATCCTGGATTTGCTATAATAAATAAAAAATTTAATATTATTCTATAATTACTATGATTATAAAATTAATCACTTTGAGATAAATAAATTACTTCTTGTCGTAATCCTGAAACAGCTTGTTCTGATCTTAATCCTTCATCAATGCGTTGCATAATGCTTTGAATTTTTAATGGAACCTGTTTAATAATCTTCAAAATATCAATTGGAAGACCTGGGAAAGCAAAGTCAGGTTTTTCTTGAGATTCTTGAATTGGTAGAGGCTTTTGTTTAAATTGTTGATGAATCATAACTTGTGGTCCCATTTTGGCGTTTAGATTTTCTTGCATGTTAGAAGCAACTGATAGCGGTGGTGAGACTATACCTTGAGTTTGCTGGTCTTGAGGATATGCTGATTTAGGTGTATCTTGATATGACATTGGAGAATTTTGTTGTTCCATCTGATTAGATGGTGGTCTCATTCCTTGAATCATTTCAACAGAAACAGGTCTTAATTCAATAGGAATTGGGCGTAATTCCATTTGAGGATGATTAACTGAGGGTAAACCCCGAGATGAGTCCATTTCTATTATTTGATGAATATTTCTAATTTCTGGAAGGAAGTTATTTTGGATATCCAATGGACTCATTCTTTGAGCGTTTATCAATGATGGATGATGTACATCAGGCATTGGGAATTGATTTTGTACTTGGTAACGATGATATTCTTGTTCTTGGGGTCGCATAGGAATTGGAACATTACCCAGGGGGACAATAATTGGTGTGAGCATCTCTTGTTGTTGTGGTTGTTGTTGTTGGCTATAGATTGGATAAAAATATTTTTTAACTATCAAATTATGTTTTTATTTTAAATATTAAAAAATAAATATAATTTTAAATATTTACTCTTGACGTTTAGGTTCGCCAGATTCGCAAAGAATTACTACACGTTCACCGCTGAGTCGTTGATCATGAGGACGATTGTTGTTGTCTAATTGAACATTTCTCTCATCTGAATATTCATCTGTTCTACGACGCTCAACTACACAAGAGACAAGACCACGAGATTGTCTCATCAGTGTCTGTGAATGGTAAGAAATTTTTTAAATAATGAACCAATGTTTTTCTTTTAAGTAATATAATAAAAATTCTTACGTTTGCTAAGTCATCTAAATCAAGTTGAAGTGGGAATTTAATATGAACTCCTGAGAAATCTAAGTCGTTATAATCATCGTCATTATCATTGTCATTACCATTATTGTTAGTTACTTTTAAATTATCTTTATTGTCTTTATCAACTTTTGAATTCTTTGAATCTAAAGGTATTTTTTTTATTGATACTGAATCTGTTTCTGAGTTCTGCAAATTATCTTTATTTTCAACAGCATCCTGCAAATAGAGATTTAAAGAAATATTAATAAAACTACAATATTTAACGATTGTACTATAAAATTATTCAAGAGTAATCTATTTTTATTAAGTTATTGAAAAAAATTCATTTTAAAAGACAATGAATGAATGAAGTTTAAATTTTCTATGTTTTTATTATTTTATATTTTCTCAATAATTAATTATACGTTGCTATACGGTTAGTCGCATTTGATTTCTATTGAGTTTCGAGTTTGCCACAGCTATAATCATCAACAGGCTAACTTTCACCACGACCTGGCGTCAACGCGTGACCGGAAAAGCATGTTGCTGTGGAGGAGTGATGCGCACTTAAAATTTTTATAATCGTTGACTGCGAAAGTTTAAGTTATAAATAGTTTCTATTAATATTAGTCAAAATTATTAAAAAAAATTTTTTTTATTTCAAAATATTAATTTTAGAAAATAAATTAATATCAAATTTATAAATGAAAGTAGATCTTCTTTTAAATTTTATAAAAGATTGTTCTAATGAATATTCATCATAATTGATAGTTATTAATTTATATTATTCTCTTTATAATTATAAAAAGATTCAATGATTAAAGAGAAAATAGTTTAGCATACATTCACGTCTCTATCAGAGTGTTACTGAAACAGCTCACTTTCGTTGTAATTATCCTATACTAGTAAACAATTTCACGTTGCTGTATATTTTCTCAATACCTGTACAAGAGCTTCTGGTTGTAAATGTTTAAAAAGTTCTTCTGGTTGAGTGTTGATTTGTGGTTGTGTTATAGATTCAGGAGTACATGAGGCACGAACTTGAAGCCAAGCAGAAGCAAGCATAAAACTACCAATGATAACAGAGATAGTTATCAGGGTCATGGCAATTATCCTTGCAATCTGAACTGCACTACTTTTCATTGTTGGCCTAGAATAAGCCTAAAAGAATATATATAAAAAAATATTATAAAAATTTCAGTTATTAATTATTAAATAATAATTAAGTAAACTTAGTATTTCTAAAAAGGTAGATAGATCTTCAGAGTACAAATAATATGCAGAACTATGTATACAGAAAAAACCACAGTAAAGGTAATAATAAAATGTATTGGTGTACGTCCGTGCCAGCTTCACGCTTGGTACCCAACCGAGTCGAGGCCTTTGTCGTTGTGCCGCTTCTTTCTTTATCGATTCTATGGATTTAAATCTTTAAACTCGGTAGTATACACACGATAAAAATTATCACTTCATGAAGTTCATAAATGCAAATGAATAAATTTGACAAAACTTTCTTAATAGATTTTTATCATTAAGATCTAAAACAATTTCTATGTAAATAACGATTTTAAAAATTTCGATAGAGAAAGTTGCATTATCTCACGTACATTTATTCAAAGATTTCAGTAACAGTTGGCAGATAAATAAAAAAAATTTACCAATCTACCGTTAATTCTTATAATTAGATGTTCTAGATCTTTAAATTGGGTATTATGATTGAAGTACATTAACATCAAAATTAAATTAAAACATGATCATACTTTACTTACTATGGAAAGAAATATATAGGATTGAATAAAAAAAAATTGCACAAAATAGAAGAGATACAAGATTTGTATTGACCTCGATGTAGATAGACAGTATTCCGGTGAGAGGACTCTTAGTAGAGATAGTAGGCCATCCAATATAGTAAACTCTTATATACAACTGAAGATGAAATATTCTGTTGCTAAATGACTTGTACTTATTATTATTATCATTATTACATGAATCTCCAAAACAGGCGTAAGCCGTGTTTATGTTAAAATGTTAATAATCATAGTAAAAATGTTATTTAAAAAGACATTTTATCAGTTAGCATGTAATAAAATTTATGCCCATACTCAATAATATTTTGTAATCAACAAGTGTACTAAAACTGTTCTGAAAGAATTTAAATAATTTTATCAATTGCTTCGAAGTTTTCTTTTTTTTGAGTAACTTAAATATGATTCTAGTGATTTCAATGCTTTCATTCAAATCTTCTCTACTTACACAATAACTTATATAAATATATCAATATTGTGCTAATTTTGGAGTATATAATTGAATTATTTTTAGTAATTGAAAAAATAAATGACAAATTCATTTAAGTTTCATTAAATAAATAACTTATTGACATTAGCTTACCGGTGGTGATTCAGAACTTGAATACACTTCGCTGGGTGCATAATGACTATGAGGTGGCGGAGGAATTTTTTCAGATCCTACTGTCACAGTAGGCAGAGAATCCAGCTGTTCTTTATCCATTTAGAATAGTTAATATCACTATGATGATAACTCTGACAATATCACTTAATTTTCAAAGTTCAAAAACTACAAGTTGACCGTCCAATGTTGTCCAATGATTATCCAAGTAGTGAATGTTCAAGTACTCTGAACACCGCTAACTTTGGTGCTATCCCCACCAATTTAAAAACCACTGTTGGTTGTTGTTGGGCACGATGTATACTAGTATGGGCCTTTTTTCCTCTTTCCGTTCATCGCTAAGACGTAGAATCAATGTACAAGTATATAGAGAGTTGATCTCATCACACACTTATAAATAGTCTCAGATTTTTAGTACATAAAATCTGATACTAATATCAAGATTTTCCAATCCTTAAAGTTTAATGCAGCAAAAGATGAAGTATCCTACAAAAAAAATATCAAGTTAAAAAATAGTTTATTACAATGCTACATATTGAAATTAACATTACTTGTTTTTCCATGAATTACGAAATATTTTGGATGCTTATCATTTCAAGGTTATCATAACATTTTATTTTACGCCCGGAAATCAAACAGAAATTTATATTCATGTTTTATGTTATCGGCTATTCAAACTGGTAAAACAATTCAAGATTGTAGGTATTTTGCTTGATATGTAATATTATCAGTCATGACTGATATTTTTTACAATAAATTTGATGTATTATTTTTGTTTAAAAATTTATTACAAATACATAAAAAAAAAAAAAGATAATGGCAGTGAAAGTTTTTTAGCAAATTACTTGGAAATACATCAAGCAATGTCACTTTCTCCATGTATAATGAAACTAATCACATATTACCAAGTTACAGAGTACACCTGATATTGAAAAAAACAGGAAACAAGCCATCAGAAAACATTTTTATAATTTATGAAATTAAATAATGTCATACTCTTATGATTACATTTACAACAATGATCATTAATCGGTCAATCCTTTTAATAAAATGTTCAATTATAATGGATGCTGGATATTGTACTTTTCACGTAAACATAAATATGTGTATGTACATTCTACTTTTTGTATTTATCATTTGTTTATTATTATTGAAGGTAATTATTTTTATTGACTCAATTAGTGTATGAATGTTATGAAGAATATTAACTCCAAAATAGAAATTTGAATCTTGAAAGCATGTTTTGATCTGTGGCAAAGATAAATGCGTATGAATTTGGCACAAGAATGTCAGAGTTGAAGCTTAAATATGGTTGACTTGTGTCGGATTGCAAATTTTCTCTTTAAAAACTTTCTACAAATATGAGCAGTCCATAAATAAAAAAAATAATTTACTTTATTTAAGCTTAAAGTCATTGGCATTATGTAATTAATGAAATAAATTTTATGTATGTTGATATTACAAAAGAATCTTTTTTTAATGATAGAACGGTAATTGTTTTTTGTAGAATTTTTTCATGAAATAGATAGTAACGCCACACATAATCGGGTTATGAACTGTTTCTTTTGAAAAAAAATCCGGAGAGATTTGGGTTTATATGTGTGGGTACAGTTGGTGTCATTAACATGAAAGTCAGGTTAGAAAATCTGAATAACAAATTTCATGTGTTTTCTTGTTACATTATTACTCTTTTTTGATGATCGATGTAATTATTTATTCATGAGTGTTTATTCAACAATTGTACCTATAGAATTTACATGTAAAGAAATTATGTAAGTAAATTATATTACTTAATTGTCTTCACTTGTTTATTTTGGTTATAAGTTTAAATAAACAATTTTTGTTTTTAATCAATCATATATTTGAGCTGAATTACTGAAAAAATTCAATTAATAAGTCATTATTTTCTAAATTATCTTACAGGTGTTAACAATAATTAGAAGAAACTTTATTAACGGCAGTCAAGATAATGTTGACCGAAAAACAACGTCAAAGAATGGAGAAAAAAAGGAAAAAAATGGCAGCTTTATTAGAAATTTCTAAACTTAATGATAAAGATAGACAACGTAAAATGTTAGAATATTTAAAAACAGTAAGTTGCATTATTAAACAATAATACTAATAAGTATAATAATTATCATAACTTTCTTTGAAATGTATTACTATAATTTATTCTTATTAGGCTGAGTGTTCAGAAGATGAAGACATAAATAAAATGTCGACAGTACAAAATTCTAATAGAAAACGCTCATGTGATGAGTTTATGATTGATACACCTATCAATACAGAAAACATACAAAATAGTTCCGATGATTCAGAGCTTCAAAATAAAAAACCTAAATTAGTTGGTGAAGAATATCTGAAACTCAAACAACAATTAAGAGAAAGAAAGAAAATCTTAAAAAATATTCCAAGACTTAGTTTAAAACTTGTGGGAGAAAATGCTAGTTTAAATATTAATGTCAATCCAACGGAACGTATTCCTATTTTTCTGACTGATATTCAACATCTACTTTTATATTCTTTATTCGGTCATAATTCACCACATTCACCAGCAAGATGGTGTACTTTAGAAAAATTCAACAGAGTTTCACATACAGTAGTTTTTATAGTGGAAGGGCTTTCTGTGTTTCATTTTCATTCACATGAATCATTATTTTCTGGTATAACGAGTCTCCTAGATCATCGTTTAGAAATTGTAACACCTGCAGCCCATGGTGGGTCAATTATCGAAGATCTCGCAACTATACCACTAACTGGAACACAACGAAAAAATTTAATTGAAAAATTTGGTTCCTTGAAAGCAGCTATACAGAGTACTGGTGATTTGGTGAAATTATTAAAAGTCGTATTTCCAATGCAACCACATATTAGTAAACAGGACAACACAATAGATTCTAGTGTATTAAAGGAATTGCCAACAACTGACAAATTTCCAAGAACTCAACTATTGTTATCTCCATGGCAACTTGTTGAAGAGAATTATCCTTTACCTTTACGAGGTGGTTTAGCTACTAAATATAAAGATTATATTCTTACAAAAGATATTTATTTAGAAGCTACACCTAAATCACCAATGTTTGGTTTAGATTGTGAGATGTGTAGAACTACATCTGGGAGTTTGGAGCTTACTAGGATATCTATTGTCGATGAAACAATGAATGTCATTTACGAAACTTTAGTAAAACCTACGAATAAAATCACGGATTATTTAACTCAATTTAGTGGTATAACAGAAAAAATGCTTCACGATGTTGATACTACATTATCCGATGTTCAGACAGCAATACGAAGCTTACTTCCAGCTGATGCAATACTTGTCGGTCAAAGTTTAAACGCCGATCTTCATTCATTAAAAATGATGCATCCATATGTTATTGATACTTCAGTTATCTTCAATATTACTGGTGATAGATATCGTAAGACTAAATTACAAGTTTTAGCACGTGAATTTTTGAACCAACGAATTCAAGAAAATAATAAAGGTCATTGTTCTACGGAAGATTCTCAAGCATCAATGCAATTGGTGCAATTAAAGCTGGCCAATAGTGTTGACTTTGGAGATGCTGTATTGATAGGCCAACGACGTTTGAACGAAACATTAAGCAAACAAAATTCCAATAACATAAATGGTGTGGAAGCTCATAATTATGGAATTCCTATTTTTAAACACGTTGCCAAAGAGAAAAAAACAGCTGCAATTGTAGGTACTGAAGACGTGTTAAATGAATATTCTCAATACTTGAAATCATCCTCTTTGTCAATTATGGATGATGCTAATTTCAATGATAGAGATCAAGTCCGCCTCGTAATGACGGAAACAAATAAACAAGCTATTGACAGAGCTAGTCAAGTTGCTATAGAACACGCGTTAACATTCTGTCATATTAAAATACCAAATGATTCCCTGCAAACAAATTTGGAAAAAACTTGTCAAAAAATTGATAGATGGACACAAAAAATCTGGCATCACATGGCTGTCAATGGACTTCTTTGCGTTGTTTTCGGTGGAGAAAAAAATGCTGCAAATGGAGCATGTTTTTTAAATTTGAAGAAAGAACACACACCTCTACATCTTTAATAATTCATCTTTATTATTCAGATATCTTATTTAAACTGACATGAATCCGGTAAGTGAAAAGATATCGAGGTCGACTCTAACTGACGCACCTCATTTTTTTTTATATATAACTATGTTTGTCTGAGTCTTGTACAAACGATTCATATGTTGTCAATAAACATTTTATACTTCGTTTATTTTGATATTTTTGCTATTACATTTATTGTTATTGAATTATTAATCTATATTATGAATTTTATCATTCTGTGATTTTATTTTTTGGTTTTCTAAAATAAGAATTTTTAAAAAATTCTAATGATATACATTAATACTTGTAATTAGCCAAACTAGTTTAGTTAATAGTAAACAAAACTTTATCAAAACACATAGAATTAATTTACTTGAGCAAAAAAATAAATAAAATAAAAAAGTATAAGATTTTCAATTTTATAGTTAATAAAAAATATAATTCTTTTGCTAAATTTTTTATAATAAAAAATAAGCACTGAATTTTTGTAGTAAATATAATTAAATATTAGCTATGAAATTATAACAACAAGCCGCTAAATAAATGTAAGATATTCCAATATTATCTTATGATTATTTATAATTTCAACAAATATTTGAAAGTACACGCGACAGATGGGCGATCAAATATGTATTAGAAATGAAAGGTCTTTTGCTCTTTTGCAATATTTATATAATTTTTTCTTGTTTTTTTTCACATCTTGTATTCATTTTTTAGTTTTTATGAAATTAAATGAGGGTTTTTATAGAATTCAATGATATCTGAGAGAAGCCGTTCGTTTTTGACCTCGAAATATGTATCGAGAACTATTATTTTATTTTGGAGTATTGTTGAAGTGTGCTGTTAGCAATTGTTATCGTGAAAAATTATTGATTATTTTCATCAGTGAATGTGAATTAAAATAATTATTCGAGTGAATTTTTATAATAAAAATAACAATTATGATAAAAAGAGAAAAAACAATTGACGTCATTATTCAAGAGGGTTTGGATTTGACCTAATTCTCAGTTATAAGTGTCTCTTCGTGAATCGATATTCCCTCTAAGTAAACCATAGACAACCCCATAAACTGGGTCTGTTTTTTTTTTCATTAGTGATCAGTAGAACCTCATACTTAATAGAGCTAGTCGAAATCTTCCTAAGTTATTAACATAAAATTTTCATAACAAACATCAGCTTGATCACATTTTTTATAAACCATGTTTACTGTGAAAAAATTATGTTTTGAAAACCTATTTTTAACTACCACATTAAATTAACTATTTTCAACATGTAGGTCACTGTTATGACCTTGAGTAAGTTTCCAAATTTTATATATTTAACTAAAACATCAGCTAATTAGTTTTTTTTTGTTGTGTTTACTTTGCTTCAGTTATCTATAAAAAAAATTAATAACAATATTTGCAAAAAAAGTATATCGTGAGATAATATTCTAAAATAGGTTCGTTCGAGTTAAAATTGTGAACATAAGATTAAAAATTACGCTGAGCTCACTCTTGGATATCTTTTTTTACACTGATAATTAACTAAATATTACAATCAGAAATAAAGCTTAGCTAATATTGAATTTAGCTTCTGTTTAATTATAGCTTCATTAATATATATTATGAAATAACATTTTTTTATATCAAAAATCTATTGGAATAAATATTTTTTCTTCGAATAACTTATATTATAAGGTGAAATAATTTGAGGGCTGAAAAAGCTCAGCGGCTGCGCGTTGTAACATTTACCAGCTATGAATATCACCAGTGAAATGGTCTGTAGGAATGTATGGTTCCGCACTGCAAATTACATGCTTACTATAGCTTCAGTCGTCAGTTAATACACACTCTTTTAGTTCAGTTGATACATACCATTTAACTTTTTATTTAATGGAAAACTGGAATTATTTAAACTTATGTGGTGAATGTGATATTCAGTTCTGAAATATTTAGTATCATAAAAGAATTGAGGTAAATTTTTATCATTATTTTTTATAACAAATTTTACTTCAATCAAGCTTCTGATTTGTCAGTGTATTAAAATTGAAATTATTGCTAAATACTAAAAATTAGAGAATCAATAATTTAATTGTGCAAAGGAAAAAAAGAAATTGCCATTGTTCAATACAACCATCACCTTATGTATTTTTTTTTTATTCCAGATGATGTTACTTTTATTATGATAAAAAACTTACAGATTTTTATAATAATTATCTCTCCACTAGGAATCATTTTCTTTTGTCTTTTGCCACTCTTAGCTCACGCATATTGGCTGACCATTACATGTCTTATCTACTTGTTGTATGTTTATTGATGAAAAAACATGAATACAAAACTTTTCTTTAAGACGATCAAAATTAAACCCTACGTAGTTTTTGATTAATATCTTTCGTATCAAACTGTACAGCATTTTATGTCAGTATTGATCAACCCCTCAGAATAAATATACCTACCCAGGCTTAGTGTTCTTTCTTATCATATCTTACTTTTTTATATTTGTTTTGATTCAAAATGATTTTTTTAGCTGAATAATTTATATAAATATCATTGTATAATAAATATAAAATTAATATAAATTAATTTAAGTAGCAATTTTTATGGCTAATTAATGAATATATGTACTGTCATTTGAATTGTCTTATTCTTATCTATCATCATCTTATTTCATTTATGAATTAAAAATGTATTTAACAAAATAACATCTTCAAAAAAATCAATAATAGAATTATAATATAAGATTGCTAAAATAATAATGTAAATAATCATTATTTTTCAAAAGACAAACTATGCTTGAATGAGTTTTCAATTTTAATGAGATAAGAAAAATAGAGTTAGCTTTTCAGGTATATATAATAGTTGTATTATCAATGATGTAACTACATTATATTTTTTCATTTACAGTAGTATCGGTTAAACCTACTATCCTAGTAGATAAGAATTTATAATATACGTGTTAATTATTACATATGTTCTGTATAATATTGTATGTGAGCTTGTGAGTCATAGTAGAATTCCATTTATATTTTAAGAGTTCAATAAGACACTCCAAATAGCCTGGAGCAATTTTGAATTTTCCTCTGTATCATATTAAATGGATGATACATTCGATTAACAATTTCCAATGAATTAGCTATTATTTTTTATTTCATATAGTTTTATTCCATCAACGATGTTTGTTTTTTTAATTAGTAACCTTGTAACGAACATTAAAATCTTCGATTATTTTATTAGCAAAATGTATTTTCACACATCTCAACGATTGCTAATAGCATCATGCTCATGTAAAATATTTTCGCACATTTATCTTATTGTTAGATTGTCCTCACAGTCTCCTTGTAGTATCCCTGCAAATTTCATACTACAATTCATCTATTGTTCAAGGTTTTAATCTATTATTCAATATCATTTATTCAAGGTAATGGTAATTTTTTATCATTCAAGTGCAGTAATTTTTATTTACACATTTCGGTACCTTTTACTCTTAACGTGACCCACTAATATTAAGTCATCAATCTAGATTGCTATTACAGCAATAACTTATATACCTTTCTTACTCTTTTTAATAATATTTTTTGTATGTATTCCATCGATGAAAATCCTTGATTTAAAATACAACATTTAAGTGTCAGAATTTATTGATATACATTTGATATTTCCAATTTAAATTGATATAATTGATGTTTTGTGATAGTTGAACAAGAGAGCAAAAATGCGGGTGCCATTAATTAAGCTTAATAATGTTAATTGAATTAAATATGTGTTTGAATACGATGTTAACTTATTGACTATAATCCGTATTAATTTTCATGAGAAACAGTGTTTAGTTGTGAAGAATTGCAACTATAAAAATATTTATCAATTAAAATAACACTGATAGAATTATTTTTTTATACTGGTAGATTTAATTAACACTAGAGTAACCATAATTATTATTTCAAATGTCAATACACTATATGTTCTATAAATAAGTTAAGTATGAATTTATTTCATTCACTGAATATCATCACTATTTATTTACATATCTTATTGAATCACTCAACTCATCATAACATCTGGTTCGACATGTTTAGTTAACACCCTTTGATCGTCCACAGAATCGTTATTTCATCTTCTAGGTTGAAAATGGAATAAATTAGAAACAAAAGTTATAGCGAGTGTTGTTGCTCGTGTTAAACACCTGCATCTGCTCATATTTAACATTTCAAGGCCAATATTCCTATTTAGCATCATCAAAGATGCTTGATAATGTACATCAATTATCCTAGATTAATTATGTCTATTTATTAATCAATTAATTATAAAATATTTTTATTCCAGTTAAAGTGGTACATAATAATTTGTTATGTATAATTATTAGTGTCCATTGATTCAGGATGATTTTTTTTTTTATTTCCTTCAGAATCACTTATTCGATAAGTCCTTTCAGCTTGTTTTACAAACATTTATATGAACCTCAGTTGATCGTAGAATGCGTCAATGTTGCTTGACAATGATATGAGCTCTTCTGACTCATATAAAAAAGAAAAAAAGAGAAAGAACATAAACGAATATAAAAGTACTGGGTTTAGCAAATGATTCCTCGCAGTGTGAATCAAGTGCTCACCTAGTAAGGGTTTCAGTGATCATTTCTATAGGTTTAATGACAGTTTAAATAATACTTGTTATTTGTAAAAAAAAAAAAAAACACAGATTATTTACATTAAGTGTATTCCTATATAATTTATATTATCAAAAACCATGATTTATCAGATAAAATATTGGCAATTAAACAAGTTAATAGGAAAATGTTTCAAATATTTTTATTGGAAAAACTACAGTGAGTATAAAATAATATTTGTTGTATATTAAATTTAAAATTGTTTCAATGGTAAAAACTTGATGGTATTCAATGGGTATTGCTATCTTGAAATAAAAAAAGAAGTTTTTTAAAATTCAAGTTTTACTATCTGTGGTAAACATCGCCAAACCCTTGTATGATTTAGATACGAATAACGACACGTTCTTTTTACCTGTATCCGACGAAATCAATAAATATATAGATATATATAAAAAAAAGTATCTTTAACAAGTGTTAACGTTATCAAATATTGAGGACAATAAGTTTAATTTCATATGCTACAAGTGATTCATTGAGCAAATTTTATTCTCAATATTCGTAAAATAAGAAAACATTTATTTCATAAAATCAGCAAAAAGTTATGACTAGCATAGACATACTTTACATCACATTTATTTGAATATTTAACTTGTAATCTCATATGAATATAATTCAAAGCTTAATCGTATTATTTATCATCATTATTTCAACTGTTATATTTTACAGAAAACAATGATCATTATCAAGAAATAACTAAACATTTTATTTCAACGGTAATCGATTGATTTTATTTATTAACTTGGCTCCAATCAATCATTGACAATTATCTTAAGATTATGTCACTAGTTTCTCTTATGACAGACGACAAAAAAGTTACTTTGGGAAACGATCCCACCAATAAAATAGTTTTAGAAGTAAGTATTCAATTAGTTAAATTAATTATTAAATAGATTTTATCAGATTTTAATATATATAATTCGTTTTTAGGTCGGCTTTACTGGAGATACATGGAAATATTCTATAAACCGTCACGCTCTTGCTGAAAAATCCGAATGGTTTCGAGCTTTACTTGTGGGCAGTATGGCACCACCTATCAGTGACCCACCACCAATTATTCGTCTTCAACATGTTGACAAACGTGCATTTGATCATCTTTTCAAGTTAATATAATTTATAATTTATAAACGGTTTATTCTCAATCAGTTTATATTTAACTTATAAATTTCAGATACTTCTGTGGTGAACCGATTCATTTTAATTCAGTGCTTACAGCACGTTCAACACTAGATGCTGCTCATTATTATATTTGTCCAGAGCTTGCTAAGTTAGCTATTGACTATATTATTAAAAATCTCACTCCCTCAACAGTTTTAACTGTATATCATGGACTTAATTTATATTTGAATCATAGAAGCCGTATCTCTCAAGAAACTTTAGCTATATCTAATGATGATGTGACTGAGATTGGTAAGATGGATTTAAAAAAAATTCACTGATTACTCAGTGGCATTGATCTATAAAAAGAAAGCAACTTATTTTTATACTTAATAATGTTTTTTTTTATTTTAGCTGTGGCGTGTTCACAACTTTTTAACGCTTGTTTAGCTGTAATTGATGGTGCTATAGACCAAGTTTTATGCCAAGAAAATTTTGAAGAATTAACTTGTGAAGAAGTGAGACTTATAGCATCTAGAGATGATCTTAAATTAACACAGGAAAGTATTCTCTTTAAAGCGTTGGAAAAGTGGGCTGCATCAGAATGTAGACGATGTGGAGTTGAGCCTACACCCTACAACAAAAGAGCAGCACTTTCTGATGAAGTTTGGTATAGTGTACGATATTTATTGATGAATGATAGAGAATTTATTCAAGGCCCAATGGCAAGTGGAATACTTACAAGTGAAGAATCTGCTGCAATAGTTGCTAAGATTCTTGGTCATACTGAATATCAAGGAAATAGTAAAAGATCGAATAATAATTTTATAGATAGAAAATTATTGGCAGTTCCTCGAAAGAATAAAATATCTAGTAAAATTAAAAAAAATAGTATGAAATTGGCGAAAAAAGAACGTGAAGATAATAAAAAAAATCAAAAGATAGAACATGCTAGCCAAAGTCAACAAGCTTGCGCTCGAGTTGGAGATTTTGTCATTCGTGCGTTGGCTTATGTTTTTGATTGATATGAAAATTGTCTATAAGACATAACTTGATATTTTTGTTGATTATTCGTCGTAATAATAATTTAAAGAATTTAAACTAGAGAAAATTTATATATAATATCTACATAATATTAGACTGATATTTTTGACGAAAAATTTTTATACTATTTTGATTTTTACTGATCTCATAAACATAAAGATATATTTAAAGTGCAGGTATGAATATTTTATACAGATATTTACACTGGTATACATTTTATTATTTTAATGATTTTTTTTTATCTTATTTGTTGAAATTAACACAGCGAAAAATATTTCAACAATTTTAGAAAAATTTGTTTATCTTTATTATAATTATGTTGATATAATTTATAATGAATGTTGAAGTTGGATATTGTAATTGAATTGTAAAATTTATACAGTTATTTTTGATGTTATTGAATTTATGACACAAAAATTGTGAAAATGATTAGATAATTATGGCTGGTCCAAAATAGAATTTGTTGAATTTCAAATTTAGTTTATTCTAAACAAATTTACATTATTCAAAAAAACTGATGAAAAATAGATATGATTCATAGAGAATGTATTGTGAATATTGTTGTGATGATGTTGCTGTCTATGTAATATGTTTAAATTAAACTTATAATGTATATTTAAATGTATTTATTTCTAAATAATTTATCTAAAATTTTTTATTTCAAATTAAATGAAGTACATTCTTTTATTAATTAAGATTTATAATTCGCTTTCTATGTGAAATACATTCATATTTTTATTATTCGATTTATTTTAAAATCAAACATTGCCGCCTGCATTTGTGCACAACGACACCTATCGGCTGGCTAACTGAAGCTTTTGTGGTGACTAAACTGTTTAACCAGTCGGTCTAGTCTAGTATTAAATTTTTGTATCCAATGTTTTTATTATTTGCTCCAAAACAAAACCTAAAATACATACTGTAAACGTAATTTCGTATAGTGTGAAAGATAAGCAAGTAACTCTTCAATACAAGTAATAATAAAAAGTATGTAATTATTTATTTTCACATCAATTTAATACATTGATTATGTAATTAACAATTATTAATATTTCAGAAATCAATCCTCAAAGATAATCATGAAAATACCATCAACTAATGAGTTTGTGCTACGAGGAGGTGGTTCAGACTTCTCTCATAAACAAAAAACCCTTTTTGATGAGTTATTACAAGCTGAAAAGAAATATAAGAAAGATCAAACAGCAACAGTAAATTATAATGATTATGATTCAAATGCATCACATTCCTCTAGACACACTGGAAAATCGAAGCATGGTAAAATTAGGCAATTTCAAGGTAGAGAAAGCATTTTTAAACGTCAAGGACCATCAATTTCATTTCGTCGAGATAATACAATACCAGATTATCATAAACATCCTCACAAATGGACTAAATACAGTTTAGAAGACGTCCAAAATAATGATATGACTGACAATACTAATACTAATGTTGCGTTATCATTTTTGCAAGAATTAAGAGCCAGAAATTCTCAGTGTGAAGAAAATGATATAAAAATGAGTATCGATGAGCAAACTGAAAATGATGTTTCAACATCAAGCGATTCGATTAAATCTACACCCATAGTGTTCAAAAAACCATTTCCGAAACGTAATGAGCAAAAACAAGTTACAGTTCCAGCAGACAATAAATCATCTGTGTTTAAAGGTAGTAAAGTTATTCTTCCGGAATATGTTGTAGGTGAAAGGCCTAAAATTAATAAAACAAAAAAACCAAAAAAAATTGCTTCTGATGAAAATTGCCATCAACAGATAAAATTAGATCACTTGAAGGATTTTGAAGATGAATGCAATTAAATACATACATAATCTATTTATTATTTTATATTCAGATAATTAACATTGCAATATATTATTAAACTGTAAATGTTTTGATATAGATTTGATTCTGATTCACTGTTAAATCATCTCTTTAATGTCGTAAATACTATGAATAATTGGCAAATTATAGACATGCAATAAACAGAAATGAATAATTTGATAAAATTATTTCCAAGTTTCACGCTACGATATATATATATATATATATATGCATGTAATATATATATATAATTACTTTTACGAACCAGCGTCCTTCTGTACATATCATTTATAGCAATTTTCGATATATTTTCGACCCGAATACATAAAGTTTTAATATAAACGTATGAATGAACAAATAGAACACAAGGAATTCAATTTATTACGACGACATCTAGTTCAACCAAGTCTGTACATTTATGTACTGTCTAAGAACTGTTTTCAAGTTCTTTTCTTATTTCTAAGGTTCACTGACCTAGAAGATAAAACAAATCTAGAACAGTGATCTGATCGAGATAGTGATCATGATTTTATAGCGAACTTCTGTAATTTATTATTGATTCAATGCCATAATAGTAATATTATATTTTTACAAATTTTTTCTTTCTAACAAAATAAATAAGACAATTTGTAAAATACTTGGAGTATTTATTATTATTCTTATACTTGATTAAATTGTAAAAAATAATTGTAACTATATTTATTTAAGTATTAAGAAAATATTAGAGTTATTTTGTAACTTACAATTAATTAGTTTCAATTTCTTATTGAAAATGCGAAGATTATGTGCAACTCGCGTGTTATAGAATACATATAATTTTATCAACAGTAAGAAGAAAGAATTTTTCTCTCATTATTTCGTTTTTCTTAGTGTTGCAGGTAAAAGTGTAATTATATATTAAAAATACATTTATTTATCATATTAAATTATAACTTTCACATGTGTTTTTTTTACGTGACAAGTAGATCCAATTTATAATTTGTGAATAATAAAACGTACATATACATTAATTCGTTTACTCATCAGTCATTAATCATCAGATTTCGCTGATAGGTATTTCGTGTGAATATTGTGTTACGCATCAATAGGCAGTGTATTTAGATACATATTTTAAATAAAAAAAAAAAAATAAGAGTAGTATGTTTGTGTCAAATTCAGAATGTTTAAATCAGCAAAACAATTGTATTTACTGAAAATTGCTGTTCTATACTTTCGTTTTTTTTCTTTTTAATGCACTGTAAAACCGAGATAAAGAAATAAATGTAACTATAAACTTTAAATCAACAGACTTTATTTATGATTTATTTATTTCATGCCAATTTTTCACTTTTCTTTAAACCTAAAAGTTCAGCGTAAGCGCAACTAATCAGTAATTAGAACTAGTTTTATCACATTCAATGAAGAAAAAAAAAAAAGGATAAGGAAGAAGAAAAGGTATTTGAAGAGTTTCTTCATGGTGTTAAACAGGATGAATGATGCGCGAATACCGGCCAACGAACCCGACCTGAAAAGATTTCCTCTTGAAAGTCAAGACATAGTTGCGGCCTACTTAAAATTAATCTTAAATTTTAATACTTTCATCCAATCGCAAATTAACAAAATTAGTATAATGTTTAAGGTCATTTCATTTATTTATTACTACTTAACATAAAAAATCTATTGTATTGTTAATGTAACGATAAAGATCATCAGTTTGTTCAATACAATAGTAGTTGGTGATTTTTTTCTGCCAATAATTTTTCAAGTTTACAGCTCTTATGTCTATTGTATAATTATGAGAAAGGTAGAAAATACATTAAGAAAGAAACCAGTAAATACAACCAGTGTCAATGCCACAAAATTACGTAGATTGGTATTCTTCTTGGCATACCGGAACGGGAAATGCTATGGTTCGTGGGAATCTTTTGAAACTTGTACATTGCCAAGGATTATTAAGATAAAAAAAAATATAATTACAAACTAAATGTAATATATTATAATTCACAAACATAGAATTATTTGAAATACTATGTTTATTTGACGTTGTTAAATTGTGATTCTTATCAAATTGATGACTTCAATTTCTGAATAAATATATATATATATACATATTACTATGTTTTCTTTTATACATCTAATTAAAAGATACAAAGTAACAAATTTATCATACTATTCATTACTAATAATACTATTTAAAATCTATACATTTCAATATCAATTCAAAAATTCCATGTTATTTTAACAAATAAGCTAAAGCTATTGAAAAGTTAAAAATACTCAAATTCTTTAGAAGATTAAGGTATAAATTTCGAATTGAATTGAAACCATGAAGATATTTGGTAGCTACATGGAAAAAAACTGTAAGTGCAACAAGACACTGCCGTGTTGTCAGGTGGACTGTGTCGTGCGCCTGAAACAGAACGGTCTTGATGTAATAACGTGACTGTCTTATTGCAGACACGAGACACTGTTCTATTACTGCAACATAACGAGGCTATATTGTGAGCAACAGGATTATCCTGGAATAGGGAAAGAATTTTCCTGTATAGATAACTTTTCTTTTATGAACAAGTTTCTGCATAAAAATGCTTACTAATAACCGGTCCAAGGCAGGTCAGGGTGCCTTTTATCAATAGAAATATTTTAAAAATAGTTCACAGTTGGAGGCTCGACTCAAATTTCAATGACATTTTTTGAATGTCTAGATGATTCTAAGAAAAATCCCATCGCTCCATGGGCTCAGGTAATGACCCTTTAAATTGCTTTTTCAACTGTAAAAATATTCATAACCTAAAGTCAGCTACTTCTTAAAATATTTCGGCTTTGATGAAGATATGTTTAACATAAGAGCTCAACCATTAAGATACTGTTTAGATACTCACGTTAATTATGAGATTAGATGAGCGATTTAAAATATAAAAATGTCTAAAAAGCATTTATCATGAATGTACATGGCTTCAGATTGGATAAATTAATATTCCTGATCACAATTTCAAGTTTTATATATTCAAGAGCAGGTACTAACGTCATTAATATCCAGAAAATACATGTGTTTCATGATGCAGCTGAATTGTAGCGCTGAGGGCAGTTCTTAGAAGCGAAATAAATAGCCACATCTTCAACTGTCGTTATCCTACACAGTGATGTCTAAAACAGTCTAAAGAAAAGCCTGACTTGATTCAATGATGCTGTAGTTGACCGTTAGGTCTGTTGTGGCAATGAACTCGCTTAAAAATTATTCACAGTGTGGGTAGGGTCTTACCTATGATGAAAGTTTTATCGTCAATGATCTTCAATTGAATACATAAAAAGTATGCAATCACGAACTTGAATTGAGATGCAAGAAAATTACAGCATCGACAAATTTGAGTAAGATCAATGATCGTTGGATGATGGCTGTTTTACAGTTCTTGAATACTAAGTAATATAAATACTTGATCTTTTAAGATTATTCCACGATACTCATTTGATATCCAGTAATGCAGGTCCACTGGTTCACCCTTGTAGTTCCTTTTGAGGCAGAGTGGAAAACTCTCCGGAGTTATTCGCATTCAATAAATTCTAATTAGTCCACTATTCTTGATAAGAATGATTCTAAAAGTTAAAAAAAATCGTAATTGTTAGGTAAAATAACAGCGAAAGTAATTAGGTTTAGTCAAAAAAGAAATATTTAAATAAAAATAATTATAGAAAGCTATACCTCACATTTGTATATGATATTGATTCAAAATTTATCTTTGTGAATAAATTGAATGGTAATAAGTAGGAAGTTCTACCTGATAAAATTGCTGTCAAGGTGAAAGGAGAAACGATCTAGAATAAAATGATCAAAAAAAAAAGGTAGAAAGAGCCAATATATATGTAAAATGAAATTGTAACAACACTGCAGAAAGCCTGAATTATAGAGAAAAGAGATGATATAGAAGTATGTAGTAGTAATAGTAACGGGGCCGGCAAAAGTCTTGTTTTGAGCGGGAACGAGATTCTTCCGCAAGGAGTAGGAGTTTGCATGAACAAGAGAGTGGAGAACGATGCGAAATTGCAGTCGCACGTTGATCAGTCTACACGTCAGACAATCATTTCAAGTCACTATCAAATATATTTTTATCACTCTTAATACTTGATTTAATATGGTGTCCATACTTGATATAGAAATTCAAATAAATCAATAAATAATCATATAAAAAGAAGTGCAATAAAAGTTATGTAGTGACGAGACTAATCAATTGATTAATTTATAATATTTCGATTGTGCGAATTTATTCAAAATTGCACTAATAATTTTTATTAGTGAATATAAGTGAATTTTATTTTCAATTTCCAAGCACTTTTTTTTGGTTTATTTCATAATTATGGTGAATTTTAACCTTATTAGTTTATCTTATTTTTTTGCAAACATTAATTCTTATTCTTTAATACATTGATATATTTGTTTCTTTGGAATTTAAAAACATGAAAAGTTTTGAAATGATGGTCAAAGATAACATGTGGAGACAAAGACGATTGACCGTACCAAAAAGGTAATCTTAATCTTCCATTTATCTGTCATTTTTATCTTACAAAAAAATCATACCTTTTTTAAAATTTTCATGATTTATGGTTAATTATATCTATAATAAAGATTTAATTTAATAAATTTATGAAAATTTACGGTTCGTGAAAACGGGTCATACGTAAAATTCTTGTCACTTTATTCCAATTATTAATGCACTGTTTAATTTTTTAAGTATGAATACTGTCCAATGTTTTTTTACCTTATGATGTATATGTGTCTGTCTAATTTTTAATATACATACATATATAAATTATTTAATAATATAGGACAAGTGAATTAGTTGCTCTGGTTGCTTTATCCAGCACGCTCTTCCTTTTTCTTCATACTCGAGATCTGCATTCACGTTTGCATGAAATGGAAGTAAAACTACAACCTAGTGTTAATGAAATTTCAAGCAATCAATTATCATCTGGTAAGTTAATCATAAAAATTATTTTTTTTAATACTTACATATGTTGTAAAATTATATCCTAGTATAGATTCATTTTTAGCTGCTATAAATAAATAATTTGTGGTTTATCTTCTTAATAAAATCAATATTCGATAGAATGCGTTACAAAATAACCTGAAAAATAAACCATAGACTAAATTAGTAACGGTAATGCTACGTCTGCGTTGATTTGCGTAAAATGTATGACCTTTGTTAATTAACCACATGAAATGTTTTACGTGAACACATTTAATTAGTTTTATTTTCTACATCACCAACTAAATCTTTAAAAGAAAAATATATTTTAATTAGTTACAAAGTACATTATTTATGGTTAATAATTTTCAGATCTTTAATATTTATCATTATAAAGATGCATTAAACTTTTAATGTAATTAAATGGTCATTCATTTTGAGCAATGAGATCGTTAATTTAAACGATATATATTTCAATACAATTCACTGAGCAAAAACAGATAATATGAAGGTATAATGGAAGTGAAGAATTTATATTACCTTTATAAAATAAGAAGACATTGATACCTTGATATTCAATTATGTCTTTTCTGTTGAAGTAAGGCAGCTTAATTATTGTCAAACATAGTGAGATTATTAAGAACGAATAAATCAGAAAGAAAAACATGCGTAAGACTGTGCGTGTCAACATGAGACTTGTTATACTGTACGCATTGCCAGAAGGTCAAGTTCGTGCTTTAGGGGCAACGGTTCTCGGTGTAGACGTGATATGGTATACTGTATAGTAGTGAAGGAAGTCTTGAAAGTACGTTATGATCAACATTATTCAAGGTACTGATCGAGAGTATGCGGAAATGTAAGAGATTATTTAAGAATGTTCCCTCATCTCTTACTCATTGTTGAACTAATTGTCATCAATAATTACTGCGAATTTATTGTAAATAATATTGATAATTATCTGAACGTCTTTAGATTTTCTTATACTGTTTCTCAGTCAATTATTTATTGATCTATATATGATAATTAACCTCTCAGGTAGTATAAACAATTATTATTCAGATAATTCTGGGAAAATGATGAATTTAGTAAATTAGGTCAAATTAAAACAATGTAATGATCACATAATATGCTCTTACACAGGTATTATAAATGTAGAATTTAGAAGAATGTTAATTTTATGAAATTAAATATTCATGGATATGTTATAAATATTTAATTATCTCCAAGTGCTGATTTAAAACAGTTCTATATTTTATTTAAATTGGAATGCTAAAGCAATATTTATGATACTAAAAATATTAATTATTTATACATTATTGTATATTGAACAATTGGTAGTAACGGAATCATGAAGTTAAATGATGTTATGCAGATTAAGCGGTATAATTGGTTAATGCACCGGAAAGAAATTTCTCTGAGTAAGGGTACTTAGAACTCTTGTGGATAGTCACAAATAAGTGTCAGATTTATAGGGGAAAGATGAAAGTCTAAAACCTAGTCTCTCTGTCAATCTAAGACTTAGTTCCAAACAATTAATTGACAAAATCCAGTCTCAAGACCGGAAAGAAGAAAAAAAAAACAATTTTTTAACTGCAATACCTGTCGCTTTCTCAAGTTCTGGGTCAGCAGTTGCTTCGATCCAGTCATTACTTATTTGGGAGATGTCCATTCACTCTAAGTGAATTATAATTTCTAACATTTCATGAGTTGATTAAAGAATATAGAATAATTACTGTTGTTAAGAAGCTAAGTAAAATTTGAAATTAACTATTCATTTTAATTGAATACCAACAAGTGGTTTTGACTTTCTTCAATAAAACGTTAAGTATTTGTTCTTTGATAATTGAATTACTGCACATTACTACAATGAAAATATTTAGCAACTTTCAACAATTCTTAGATACTAATTACTATCATGTATTCTAGAAATTTATAAAAAAAACTTTAATGTACATACATTTTTTATAATGAAAACCATTAATTAATGATAAAACATTCTAAATTATTCTAATTATTCTAGATATTTTATACATCAAAAAAAAAGAAATCAAATAATAGCATTTTTTATTGCCTTGTTTCAAATGTTTAGATATTATTATTTAAAATTACCCTGCTATTATATTAAAAGTAAATTCTACGTAGAATGATTGTCTGTAAATACCTATATTATGCTATTTTGATGATGAAATAACAATTTTTTATTATTTTAGGAGAAGAAATCCAATCTGTATCAGCAATTTTATCTTCACAGTATTATAGGCAACCTTCTGGTCAATCGGTAATAATCATTTTTTCCAAAAATTAGAGGAAAAAAAAATTACACCAGCAACTAAACAACTTTTAAAAAATTTTTTAGTATGATACTTTGGAACCATTGGACTTGGATTTACTAAATAATACAAAACGAGCCGATAAACATGTTCTATTCTTCAATAGAGTACCTAAAGTAGGCTCCCAAACATTTATGCAATTACTCAGAAGACTTTCTATACGAAATAACTTTTCATTTAATAGAGATCAAGTGCAACGTGTAGAAACTATCAGACTTGCTCCATACGAACAGGTAGAGAAAAAAATCAAGAAACAAAGGCATTGATCATCAGGAAAGTCTTTTAATGTTTTTTTTTTCCTTTTCACAGCGTCAATTAGTTAGACTTGTGAATAGCTATAAAGAACCTTCAGTTTATGTTAAACATGTATGCTTCACTAACTTTACTGAGTGAGTATTAATTTGAAATTTTAAGATAAAAATGTAATTAAAGACTAATTTTATTAGTAAAACATATAAAAATGATACAATTATGCTAAGCTATTTTGTTAAGCTATAAACATAATAGTAATCATTAGCAGTAATCCTAATACAAGTTAACATTTTTTATTGTACTACAGATATAATCTTCCTCAACCAATTTACATGAACGTTGTGCGCGATCCAGTCGAACGAGTAATATCATGGTATTATTATGTTCGTGCACCCTGGTATTATGTTGAAAGGAAGCAAATATTTCCGGATTTACCACTACCAGATCCTGAATGGCTCAAAAAAGACTTTGAAAGTTGTGTTTTGAATGGTGATCGTGAGTGCCGATATATAGAAGGTGAATATCATGAAGGTATTGGTGATCATAGACGACAAACACTCTTTTTTTGTGGTCATGGAGAAAAATGCATGTACGTTCATTTGTCTATCTTATGAATTCTTATTTGTATTTTATTTTATACATTACGATAACTTCTATTATGAATATATTTCATTATGAAAGTGTTTTAATTTAGGCCATTCAATACTGTTGGTGCACTAGAGCGAGCAAAATTATCCGTTGAAAAACACTATGCTGTTGTAGGAGTACTTGAAGATGTTAATGTAACACTTACAGTCTTAGAAAATTATATCCCACAATTTTTTCAAGGTGCAACAGAGCTTTATTGGGGTAAGAATAAATTGTTAACTTATAAAATATTGTTTTCTTTTTTTTGTTTTGAAGAATAAAATTAAAATAATTTTTCTAGATGAAATGAATTCGTTTAAACGGATTAATAAAAATTCATTTAAACCACCAGTACGTGAACAAATAAAAGAAATGGTGCGTAAAAACTTTACGAGAGAAATTGAATTCTATCAATTTTGTAGACAGCGGCTACACAGACAATTTAAAGCACTTAAATTATCTAATAAATTATCCATGACATAAATAAATGCCAATAGTTCATAAGAATAGGGATATTTATTTTTATCAATAAAGACGCTACGTTTTATAAAAAATAGTTTAAAAAAAAATAAAAACACTATCTTTTAATTATTCATGTGATATTAATAAAGACTATTTTTTTTAATAATAATAATAATAATAATAATCATCATCATTTTTGTTGTAATAATGAAATTTATTCTTTTAATATGTATACAATAATTACAAATATTATAATTTCTCCTTTATTAATATTCATTAATTTATTAATTCACTTATTCACTTTATCAGTCTCGTAAAAACATGGTATATATATATATATAAATCGAATAATAAATTTAGTTAATAAAACTTTCTATATACATAACATTCGATCCATAATACGAGGATTAATTTGATTTTTTCTGTATTTAATGCTCTATTGTTGTCATTTACTTTGTATAGTGTAACTTTATCATTGTTATGAACGCATACTTGAGCAAAAAAATATCGTAATTCATGTACTCATGTAAAACAATTGTAATGATTTTGTTAGTACTTAAGATAATAATTCACATAACTAACAATGATTAATTATTTGTATGATAATATTACATTATTCTAAAAATTATAATGCTAGCAGTACATTATTAATGGTGCATATACAGACCTATGATCTTTTATATACTTAATAATTTAATCTTAATAAGTAATGTTTAAAATATCAGCTAAAACAATTTGTTGAAATGATTGAAAAATTAATAATTCTATCTTCAACAGAGTCTTCAACAGAGAATTAATACATTGAAACTTTTCAACGATCAAAGACTAGAAATTTATATTCCTTTTACAAATCTAAATAAAATATTGCATAAAAAAATATCAGTAATAATTTGCGGATTTAAAATTAAAATTATATACAATTTGTTTACTTTTAAATATCATTACATCCATTCATTTATTTGTATAAAACAAATAAAAGAAAACAATTACTGCTCAGAATATTATGAGTGTTAAAAACAATTTTTTTTTGTTCAATATATTGAATTGTTTGATTGAAAAATAATTATCAAATTTTTAGTAAAAAGTTGGAGACCAATCATGAACATTACAATTATGATGAGATGAAGTAATAGGTATATAACTAACTGGTAAACTCGTTGGTAAACACTGAAAACAGTAATTAGAATCTAAATTATTGTCCCAATATTGTGCACCTTTGCATTGAAATCGAACAGCGAGTTCTAATCTTGCTCCAACTTTCAAACTATGACAATAAAGTCGAAAAGTAAATTTATCACTGAAACCATCACACGAATTATTAACATAGCTCGCTTGAAGGTCACTAAAATTTTTCCATGAGTCTAATGTATATCTAATGTGAACAGATTTGTGAAAATCAAGATTTCTGACACGAACAGTTCCTTCAATGCACATCGATATTGGATCTTGAACTATCACATTTTCTAAACAAACTTGACGATCTCTTACAATATCTAAAAAGTTTGGAAGCCCTCCTGGTTGCTGAAATAGTGGAACCAACATTTTATCGGGTTTAATGCTATTGTTATTAGACATTGAGAAAGAGTCTGAAGTTGATCTAAAGAATGATTGTCGTGAAGAAATGTTATCATAAAAATTTGGACTTGAATCTTTTGAGAAAACTTGATCATAAACCAAATCTGAAAATGCCGAATTTGGTACTTTCGGAATTTCATCAAGGAATGTTCTTACATCAGCAAGATCAAGACCAAGAACATCAGCAAATCGCACAATCTTCTTTCTTCCTGGAGTACCCGGAGGAGTTTTGCCTGTCTTAAGAGATGAACATCTTCTAACTCTCTGTGGTTGCTCTTCTTCTTCTTCTTCTTCTTCACCTTCTTCTTCTTCTTGCTCTTCATCTTCTTTTTTTTCTTCTATTCTCTCCTCATCTTTAATTATCTCTGCTTCATTATTCCCTTTATTTATTTTATTATCGTCGTTATCTTGTATTTTTTTTATGTTGTGCTCTTGGTCAGTTTTATTATTTACAATTAGTTGTCCAGCATTATTATCAGACCGATTACAAGATATTGTGGACATTTTTTCACATAATTGTGGTACGTTAATTTCATTATTATTAAAATGTTCATCAATTTTAATGTTTATTTCATTTTTGATCATATTTTGAACTGTATTTACAGGTAATCGTTCTAAAGGACATTCAATTACAAGTGCTCCAGGAATATCAATAGTACTACTATATGTTGAATTATCATCATCAGTCAAATCAGTTCCTGAGTCATCAGATGTACAAGTTAATTCTTCAGTTTTTTCATTTCTTTTCAAACAATTACTTTCGACATCAACTTTATGATTTGATGTAGCTGGAGTAATATCTAAGACAGGTATTGATATATTACTATTAGTAATTAGTGAATCTGAGCATGATTTTGAGATCGTTTGTTTATGCTCTTCGGAAGAAACAGTTGTTAGAGGCAATGAATTATCATCAAGGGAAGTTGTATTTTCATCAAAAGTATTTTGAAGAGATTCGTAACTTAATGAAGTGTTGTCTAAAGAACTATTAATGTCATTTAATGTTTCATCAAAACTACAATTAGCGCTTGATGTTAGTCCTAATTCATTTATTCCTTTAATATGACCATTCATCGATGAGCTTGATTCAGATGTATCATCAATTTTCTTTAAATCACATGAATCAATTTTCCGACGGGATGATGATTTATAATAATCAGACTTCATTTGATTAGATGTATGTAAAATTTTATCACCTTCAAATGTATTAACAGTATCAAAAAACTCTGTACGATCAGCATCAGATGATTGAAGATCGTAATAAGTCTCACTAGTATCGTCGTCAGAAGGCGTAGTACCGTTCACTGACGATGAAAATTTATATTCTGATTCTAAATCATTACTTTTTTCTTCTACATTCTTTTTATTCACCGTACAGTGACAGGCATCGTGATGATTAGCATTCAAGAGCTCTGAATGGTTAACAAATAGAGTTGCCAACTCTGCAGCACTTACAACTTGATCTGGTGAGCTTATACCTTCTTCTTCATCATCATTGACATTTGAAACAGTTATAGTAGAATTATTGGCATTGGTAGAAATAGAATCTGTATCATTTAATGATGTTAATCGATGATGAAGGCGTCTAGCAAATGCCTCTGCACGACCCCGGCAGCTAGCAGGAAAGATAGAGCCCACTAATCCACAAGCAGAAGGTCCAGTTCTGTGACCATCTCCAGGTGAATCTGTACTACCCATTTTACGATTTCGTTCTTCAAACAAGGCAATAGTCTCGCCAAATGGTTTTACAAACGATTCGGTTGTCTAGAAGTAAAAATGAATAATTAAATAAATAAGTTAATAATTAAAATATGTAGTAAATTATAAATATGTATGTATTATTGTAAACTAGAGAGATTAAATAGCTAACTTTTTTGTTTTGCTACATGGCAACAATTATACATAACAAAAAACAAACCTCTTGTTTGCAACTACGTAAACGCATCTCACGCATAAAGATTGGAATGACTGATCACGCAAATGTCTTGTGATTATTATGAAATATTTATCTGAGACAGTTCGTGTCCTCTATAATAAGACCAGCAGACACCGTAGTTAGATAAGGCGATTATTTTTTGCCAATATACAATGTCTTTTCTGATTAATTATAAAATTGTAAAAATCTGCATTTTATCATTATACGTCATCAAAAGAATCAAGAAAATATTTATATCAATATCAATTGGCCTTATTGTCAATAATTATTAATATTCATTTCTCTTATCATCCTCTTCATGATCATGATAATTGATATGCACATTAAAATTGATTAAAATTCACATTCTATTACCTTATTTTACAAAGTCATTGACTTTTTAGCATCAATTGTCTCTTTCACGATATGTTTATGTAAATCAATTGATTTAAAAAATGTAGAATATACTATATAAAAAGCCAATCAACTCAAAATTATGTAACATAATCTGTTATTCAGACTTACAAAAACAAATTTTAATCCTATAATCCATACAATACATTTTTTATCCAGATTGTATACGATAAATTTTTAACAACAATTTGTTTCATTCACAAAAATGGTAACATAATTTTGTCCAATTAAAAACTTTAAAAATTACACATTAATATTAACTGATATTTTAATTTGTAAATTTATATATTAATACTAGACATAACATGAAAATTGAAAATTTCTACATTAATAATTAATTACAATTTTTTTTTCTTCATCGATGGATTGATGATCTTGACCTTGCAATTAATTCATTGTAATTATAATAATGTCAGTTCATATCTTTTCATGAATTGATATATACTTTAATTAAGCATACACTTGTTGATTTATCACTAAACAAACAACTTTTAATTAAAGATTTTATAATAATCAATGGAAATGATACTAAAAATTTTATTTCAACTGGTAAGATGAATTTTAATATTTAATTAAAATTGATATGGTCCATATTGTAAAAAATTATGATGGATGCAAGTATATTCTGGTGTCAAGGTACTCGAGAAAAATGATCTCACTTTAGAAGGTAGCAGTATTTAACTTTACTTCAAACTTATTACTATATTTATTTAAATGTAAATCAAAATATTCTAAAATATTATCCAATTTCAACGTAATGAAAATTTCTTTATAATAATTAACAATAAACTACGAAAATATTTTTATATAATATCAAAGCGTATTCGAATGATAAGTTTTGAGTCTAAGCACCAACTTTAAGCTTACTGCACACACTGACGTATGCTGTTAAACTGATGTTGGTCCGAAGAACTGCTCCTCTGACAAGTTAAGTTAAATGGTGGAGAAAGAAGTTGATACCCCCGACTGTAGGGCCCCGTTACAATATCACTTAGCAACCGATTCTCAATTGAGTACAAAAACTAACATTTATTTATTTATTTTTGTGCGTTAAATTACTTTGTTTTTTTTTTTTATTAAAATTAATTAATTTATATAGTCATAATAAAGTGAATTTTTAATTATTATCTTTAAAAACTTAACAACTTAAAATCAATATAAAATAAACAATTTGTTTTTGTTAGTAGAACATTATTTACAAAATAAAATAGTAAACTTTATGTTAATATTACTACGTAATGTTTCATTTTTATCACGACCTTTTGCTTAATTCAAAAATAGATTCTTTGAACGTTAAAAGATGAAGAAGAAATAGAAGAAAAGGACGCTAGGTCAGAGATCTATACCGCATGCAAACTCTCTTAACGCATGTATGTACCAATGTATGATGGTAAATGCCCACGCGCTTAAAGTGGAGTATGTGACTGTCTGACGTCTAACTACAATTAAAAAAAAATGCTACGTGGACATTTGCCAAAGATCAGTTAAAATGAAGACGATTGCTGGAAATAGAACATCCTGAGCTTTATAAACTTTCACACTTTAATATTTTCTAATTCATTTATAGTTTAATTATAAATCATTTAATTTACTATTTATAACTGGTATGAAAAAATGATCTGTTTTTTTATGATGGATCATAAGTTGAATTGACTACGATTACTTTTTACTTTTACATCAATAAATTGAATGATTAAAATAGATTGTACTGTCAATCATACGAATACTATTGTTTCTGTTTTTTTCTTTCAATGAATACAGATTTAGTGATGTATATATAGATATATAGATATAATATTCAGTTGCATATCTCAGTCTAGACTCCAGACAGTGTAGAAAATCCCCTGACCGGTTTTAAAGCTGCCTATATCAGTTATCTCATTGGAATACACGTTTGTAAAACGTTTTCTTAAGTTGATTATATAGTATGTCAACTATCACGGAATATTCCATAGCAAAGAAAGTCTGCATCGATATCTTAAAAGAGAACGAAGTTGAGGGATATAATTCATTTGAAACATCCGGATGCTGCGTGATCATGATACGTAGAAGAATATATATTTGTTTCACACTTTATAAAACTATTAATTTAAAAGATTTACTGAAAAAAAAAAATTATAAATTTTATAATCTTTGTTTAGCATTACATTTAATCTATAGCACATTACTGTTCAATGATAATATTAATATTATTTGAAATACTTTTAGAACGTAAATAAATTAAAAATTTCAGAAAAATTGGCGTGAGTACTTGTTGAGTATATTTTTGAAATCTTGTTAAAATCACTCATTTTTTTCTTGTAAAATAAAAAATAAAACGTACTCAAGAATTGTAGAATCAAGATGAAAAATAATTGGAGTTTCTTCAGCTTCGAATAGAGGATCCACAAATGATCTGAACCAGAAATTGGTATCAGTAAAAAATATTCTTTCACAAAAACAATATAAATATTACCACACTGATTATAGCTTTTTTTGTACCACTCTTTATCATAATTACTAAACATATTAATCCGGCAATTTTTCAGGTGTACAAGAGCATCTTCGACGATGTTTGTACGACAACATTAGTGACCCTCTTGTGGGTTGTTGAGTACGCCATGCCATTCCAACAAGGGCATTCAAGGTCATAATTGTGCGTAATACGCAGGTGCAGATTTGGGCATATCTATATATATATTATTTTTTTCTATTTATATATTTACACGTTGGAATTATTTAAAAATTATATAATAATTAAAAAATAAACAAAACTGATTCATGTATACGTTGAACTTCAAAGTGGGATTATTTTTCTCCATTATTAAAAATATATCTATACTTTTATATATATATATATATATATATCTCACAATATAATCAATATAATGATGACAATAATATTTTTCTCGTCATCATTCAATCAAAAATCTGTACAAACAATTCAATTTTACCTCAAAAAAATAATTAAAATATATGCACAAGAGATAAATAATCGACTAGAGCCATCTAGTGAATTTTATTGGTAACATCTATCCACAGCAAGTGTTTTTTCACACTACATATATATAGTGTGTATTACAGTACCGGACATAAATGCTGTTTAATTTTTTAAAGGTTATCCATGTGATTTCCCTATACCGTCTTACAGAAAATCACACAGCATTTATGTCCGGTACTGTACAGTGTACAACAATATGTACATACACGTGTGCATGTGTACATGCAAATTTTGCAGTGCAATGCATGAGCACGCAATGTACATGTTTGCCGCAATTATACTGCAGTAATTTTCTATATATGAATAGTAAACATTTCGTTTGAACATATTACAAATCCATCTTTTTTATTTATTTTACAGTAACAATGGCATAGTTTTTTACTTTAACATGCTTTGTTGAAAATTCGATGTTCAATTGTAAATTCTTCGAATTTTTTGGCTAAAGAATGCATTGTCAAGAGAATACTCTTTAATCAAGAATGAACATTCGTCGGTTTCCAGGATTTATTTATCATCATAAATTTGTGGCTTTTGGAATTTTTCTAACATTTTTTATTATTGTTTATTTATTGTATCACTGGGGAATTGTTTGCACTAATCTTGAGGCTCGACATCATGTTTCGACAGTGGTAATATCATAGTTTTTATATATTTTATCTAATCATCTATAATAATCAGTGTTTAAATTAAAAAATGGAAGTTTTTAATCATCTGTTCAAATAAAAATCCTTTATAAATGTTCTTTTAGTGTAAGAACTTTAGAAATAGGAAAGCCATGGGCGTTTTATGTGAACCATTATGTTCAGAACAGAGTATTCATTCACTTGCATGCGAAAATTTACACTCTGGTAAAGAAGCAGTATTTTCTGCTAGTTGGGAGACGACAAAACTTGTTTTTAAAACATCTAGGTAATATAATTCACCTAATAATTTAATTAAATTAAAAAACAAAATGAACTAAGAATAAATTTTGCTTTCAGAAAATTATCAGATAAAGAATTATATGAAGCTTTATATTGGGTAGATACTTATGGTAACAAACATTATCCATCAGAGAATGAATTTGAGAAAATGATAAGTGATTTAGTTTATAATCGATTAAATATTACAATTAGTCAGAGACATTTGGAGAAATTAAGTCATCTACGATTAGGTCATCAAGAAACTGATGAAGAAAGACGAGAATTTGAAATGGAAAATATATGGAGGTTATTACAAGAGAATGAATATCTTATGTCAATTATTTATGAAGATAGAGAACTTTTTCCTCGTTTAATTGGAACTTGTGGATCTTTCTATGCTGTTGAATATGTTCAACCTCTTAAAATACCATCAAATTCTCTAACGGAGTTAGATACAATTCGTGAATGGGCTATAAGACTTAAATTAGCTATAATGATAATGGATTTTGTTGATGAATTACAGAACAATTTTCCAGAATCACTTTATTTATGTGATGTAAAAATTAATCATTTCGGGATTCCATATGGTGACCAACGACTTAAATTCCTTGATCTTGATGCAGTTTTTCCTAAAAGTATTGTTGGTCGTTTCACTGGTGATGGAAAAACATGCATTAAACATGAAGACTGTGATTATTTTGATTGTAGATCGGTATGTTCTACAAATAAACGTTGTGAATCTCCAGTCGTTAATGATAATCTTCAGGTATATTTAAATAAAAATAATTACAATATTAAATCAAATAGGTTTTTATAATTATAAAAAATTCTTCTTAGATTATTTGTGAAAAAATATTTTTGGGATGGACACTCTCAGGTACAATAATGATTCCTGGCCTTTTAATGTCTAGAACAACGACTGGTAGTCTTGCAATTCTTTTAAGACAATGTGCTAATCCTCATGGAGATGTAGGATATCGTCCACGTGCACCAGTCCCATTAGCTGTTAAGACTAAGCTTTATAATATGCTTACAGAAATGGAGAGACAATATGCATCATTAATGTAAATTGCATATTGACTGACAATTTATGAGTATTGGCCTTATTAGATTTAATGAATGATTATTTTACGCCATTAATGTATAAATACATTTTTGTAAATATCCAGTATTATTCTAGTCACGTAAAAGAATTTTAATGCTAAAACATAGTAATTGTTTTTGTTAAAAAATGTAGTATTTAAATTTTATTAATATTAATTAAAAAATTTAAAATATAGTTATCAAAAAAGAAAACGGAACATGTGTTTTTCTTGAAAATAACTCATGAAAAAAAAAATAATCTTCAGCTTTTGATAGATTTTTTAGCATACAAATTAGAACAAGACATTCACCTCTAAGGTGAATTTATCGTATTTTTTTATCATATCTTTCTTTGACATAACTGTATTGTGATAAGTTGATAGCAGAGGAAATGTATATTTTTTATTGCCGGAAGTAGATAAGATAGGATACATTATTATTATCGTCCATTGCGAACAATCTACACATGCTCCAAAAATCTATATTACGTAATGTATTTGCAAAAATGCAGTGGTGGGGAAAGTTTTATTGATATAGTTCATGTTACCTTTTTGACCAACTCTATTCATGCAATGTATACATATGTGTACGTATATATAAAGTATCTTATATACATTACAACATCGTATTCAGGTGGTTAATTTTTTGAACAATCTTTTATAAAACGTGTATACGTATTATATATATATATTGTAGTGAGAGATAAACGACATTCTGTGTAGAGATTTTTCATACGCTCGGTTGCTTCTGTAATCAATTTTTATCTAAAAAGTCAAATAAACTCATCAAGTCGATAGACAAACGGAATGCATTTCGTTTTGGTAAGTATTGCTTTTTTTGTTCTAGTAGAAGTAAAAGTAAAATAATGAATAAAATAATTTTATTATTCTGAAATATTCTTTCTACTTCTAATCTTGATAATATTAAATTTGAATTATATTATTTTTTCAGATAAATAAATAGTGAAAAGTTCTTTCAATGTATAGCTATCATCTGTAAATAATCATTACCTTAAAATATTATTAAAGGAAAATAAGTTAACAGAATATTTTGGATAAAAAATGGTGAAATCAAAGTCACACGAGCGAACGCCCAAAGCAAAAAATAAACACCTCAACCATGCTTGTCATAAAAAAGAAGCTGAATCCACAAAGATGAATTTAATGAATTCAGTATTGACATTAATTTGCATGCTTGTTGCTGCGTGGTTTGGATACAAAGGATATTTAGAAACACGAGTTAATACACCATTTGATTCAGAAAAGGTAAAATATTTTATATTAATATCGATCAATATCATTGCTATGATGAACATATGGATACAATAAAATAAATTTTATTCTCTTTGACAGCTTGTTTCGATTAATGGATTAGATACGGCAGATCGTTACTGGGGGTCTTATAGACCGGGTCTTTATTTTGGAATGAAAACTAGGGATCCTCAGTCACTAGTGAGCGGATTAATGTGGTATAGGCCTCATAATTTACGCCAAGGGGGTGAAAGTTTTAGGCATTGGTGTGAGCAGGGAGATAAATTAGATAAATATGGTTGGTTTGAACACGATGGAAAAACCTTTGGTATTCAACAAGTATACGATGGTGACTTGCTAATTAATATTTCGTATGTAAAGAAGCCTGGTGGTAGGCATGGAGGTGATTGGACTGCAAGAATTGGAGTATCTCCAAGAAATTCCAAGATCAAAGATCTTGGAGAAATATCTTTTATATTTTACTCAGCACTTGAGGATAAATCTACTGGTAATATTAAAGCCTCACTTGGTGCTGATAATAGACTTTCAGGGATGGAAGGTTATACTGATGGTTTGGGAGCATACAGATTCAGTATGAATCCAATAAAGGGGACAGTTGAAGAGCACTCATTTTTAATAACTGTAACTCCTGGCCTAAATCTTGTGAAAGAAACGATACTACAAAATTTAAGATTAGCTTCTCAAAAAGGTTCGAATATTAAACGAATAGTTTTAGGAGGCGATCAATTGCCTTTAGATTCAGAAGGGAAAAAGACTGATCCCAATTTTTGTGCAACTCAAGTGACAGCTAAAATACCATTTGAATTTGAAGTTCTTTTTGAATCTGGCAGTGTTCCACTGCGTAAAGAAAAACTAACAGGAAAAAATTTCGATATTGCTCTGAACGAACAGAGAAAACGATTCAATGATAAGTTCGAAAGAATATTTAAATTAAAAGAAAAAGGTTTTAAAGAAGACGCGATAGAATATGCTAAATTAGCATTTTCCAATTTAATTGGATCTATCGGATACTTTTATGGAAGTGCACAGGTGCAGAGTGTTTATACAAAAAGTCCAGTACCTTATTGGAAAGCTCCGTTATACACAGCAGTTCCGAGCCGCAGTTTTTTCCCGCGAGGTTTCCTGTGGGATGAAGGATTCCATGGCCTTATTATATCAACATGGGACTTGGATATTGAATTAGATATTATTAGCCATTGGTTTGATCTCATGAATTCAGAAGGTTGGATACCCAGAGAAATGATTTTGGGATCAGAGGCTTTAGCTAAAGTACCTGAAGAGTTTGTTACTCAATTAAGCAGCAATGCAAATCCGCCGACATTTTTCTTAACTCTCGAATATATATTGAATACTCGAGAAAGTGAATTATTAGATAGACATTATAAACTACTTGATAAGTTATATCCAAGATTGCAAGCTTGGTTCGAATGGTTTAATACAACACAAGTGGGCGATATGCCAGGAACTTATCGATGGCGAGGTCGAGATAGCTTGACAAATCGAGAATTGAATCCAAAAACTCTGACATCAGGTTTAGATGATTATCCACGTGCTTCTCATCCGAATATTGATGAAAGACACGTAGATCTTCGCTGTTGGATTGCATTTGCCGCAGGAGTGATGGCACGTTTAGCTAATGTATTACATCATTCTAGTGAAAAATACAGTGAGACTAGTCATTATTTAAAAGACAATAATTTATTGAATAATTTACACTGGTCATCAGCTAGTCAATCATACGCTGATTACGGCTTACATACTGATAAGGTTGAACTCAAACGACCAACAGCACCTATAAGATCACCAACTGCTCCAGATTTTATAAGAGTGGTTTCAGAAGATCCTGTTCTACGTTATGTAGATTCATCGTTTGGCTACGTATCATTATTTCCGTTTATTCTTCAAATCATCGATCCAGACTCTCCTCATTTAGATAAAGTTTTACAAGATTTAACAAAGTCTGAATTATTATGGACGAAATTCGGTTTAAGATCACTGGCCAAAACATCTCCCCTATATTTAAAATATAATACAGAGCATGATCCACCCTATTGGCGTGGTCCAATATGGATAAATATTAATTACTTAACTTTAAGGGCTTTGAATTATTATTCTAATACTCCAGGACCATATGCAGTTAAAGCCAAAAAAATATATAAAGAACTGAGAGAAAACATTATAAAAAATATGCTTACACAGTACAATAAAACAGGATTTACTTGGGAAAATTACGGCGATAGTAATGGTGAAGGAAAAGGAAGTCATCCGTTCAATGGATGGTCATCATTAGTTCTAATGATAATGGCTGAACTTTATTAAATATCTTTGAGGTGTATTGATGAAAGACAGACTGTTTTATTGTTTTTTCTTGTGTAAAAAATCAAGTATAATGTGCAAGGAATGCGGACAATCAACCAATTTTTTTATAAGTGGAACGAATTAGATATCATTTCACTTCATCATTTAATATTGTATAATGAAATGCGCTTCAATACATATTAATTCGCTGCTTATTGGCGTATATGACTATAATATAGAAATAGCACAAGTTAATGACGAGGAATGAGCCTCACTCAAAATGAAATGACAAAAACATTTATAATTTCTTTTATAACAAAAAAAGAATAATATTTTAAAAATGGAAAATAATTCATTTTAACCGTGTGAGGCTGGCTCTCACTAAAACAAAATTTAAGTTATTTCAATATTCGCTTTAAAACATTGTAAAAAATTTAGGCATAACAATATTCATCATTCAATAGTGGTAATTGTAAATTCAATTAATGATCAATAATTACTCTAGGGGTCAAATAGTTATGTTACTATTATTAAATAATGAGCTAAAAGTTTTATAATAAACTGCATAAGACTGCATCATAGCAGAAAAATAAAAATAATGATCCATAGAATTACTTCCTAAATTCACAATAATTAGTACTTACTGGTGATAGCAATGATGAAACTCCAAATAAATTACTTTACACTTTTTTTTTATTTTTATCTAGTATATATGCATATATATATATATTAATTATTTATTTACCACAGTTTATTAAAGATCGGTATAGTAGTGCAATAATTATTGGATTTCTTATTTTCAACAAAGAATTCTTCAAACCAGGCTGTGAAAAGGATACATAAAACTGTATGTTTCATGGTAATAATATTAAGATCATCAAATCATAAGGAAATAAAATGTTTTGAATAAGCATAAAAATACAAAAAAATACTTTAGATAAACTTGAATATTTATTATGTAAGGAACTTTGAAAATCAACCACTGATAATCATAATAATGTATGAATAATACTAAATAAGATTAATTATAAGGTAATAATTAAGAAATTATACTTTAAAATTCGGTTTACAATAAACGAAAGCATTTACTAGTATAGTTGCAAAATTTGATTGTTTTCGTCACTAGTGAATTAAGCAAGTTATATTTGCGTTTCGTTAATTGTGATGATATATCACTTATGAAATGATGTATTTGGATATAGATTAAATATATCCAATTAAATTTGCATGTGTACAAATATATTGTATAGTTAATTTATTTAGCACAAACGTACAGTAATATAATAATAAAATATAATTATTTTATAGGTTTAAATAGTTGTAAAATTCTTTCTTGGTTGGTAATCATTTAATTTTTATTCATCATATGAAGACATTTAAATCAATTCTTTAGTATAAGAATTAAATCTAGTAAAATAATTAATTAGATTTATTATTCGTTATCCATTTTATCACTACTAATTTTTGCTTGTTTTGGATTCTCTGATGAATCCTCAGCTTTTCGTTTCTCTACTTTTTTGTTTTCTAAAGAATGTCTTTTTAATCCTTTCATACGTTTAGTTTGAATATTCCTGATATTTTGGGCTCCAACATGAATAGTTGCAAGTACCGATCCTTGACCATCAACTGTGATATTTTTCTTTTTCTTTTCCTTTAATTGTTTAGGCTTCCTACAAGACTGTTTAAATAGATCATCAGATGCAAACTTGGTTCTTCTGATCTGTAAATCCATACTTGGTCCAACCTCTGTTAATTCAACTTTAGGAATTCTCGTGCCTGATTTTTTAAATGAAACTCTACAAATAGAATATTTTTTTAATTATATGTTTTCTAGTTCGATAATTATTAAGTTTAAATAATAAATAAATTTACTTGTAACTACGAAGGTAAATTTTTCCATCATTAGCTGTGAAACTTAAAACATGCTCCAATCCTTGAAGGCGTATGTTTTGAGTTGATTCACGTTGGAACATATCAACTAAAAGATTTTTTATCTTAACGTACTGTTGATTGCATTCAAAGTCATCACCATTGAAAACAAGAATTGGTTTAATTCCCGTTGCAATTTTTTCAACTTTGAATTCTTGCACACTTTTAAAATTTTCTACTCCAAACTCTACCATATCCAATAAAGTATGTTCAAATGTTCTACCCATTACTAAATTATGTGGACGTTTCTTATTGTTTGAAGTGAACATAAATAATGGACAATTATGTTTTTGGCAAAACCTTTCAATAGGTGTTACATCTTCAAAAGGAATAATTTGATTTTTCTTTTTAAGTATTAAACCATCGGGCTTTTTAATAGTATACTAAAAAATAGATATGTATATTAGAAACATTGAAGTCATTTATAATTTTAACATATTAATAAAATCTTACCAAGTCTTTCATAGCATCATTAACATATTGTGAAGCCGTATTGCCTTTAATAAATATTGTCTCTTTTAAATCTTCAACTAATTTTGGTTCTTTATTGAGAATTATTTTTTTTCCTTTATGAGAAGTTGGTTTTCTGAATAAATAAACAATAAAAATAAACGTTAAATAACCATGTTATCAAAATTTCTGTATGCATGATTTTTTGAAAGAACGAAAAATTTAGATATACTTACACAATTCTTTGTAAAACAGGCATTTTTAAAAAGTATTATGTTAAATATTTATTCTTTAATAAATATAAATTATTTATAATTTATAAAATATAATACTTTATTCACGTACTCGTGGCCCATTTATTTATAAAATTTGCAGGTTATGTTGCCCGTGAGACCACACGAAAAATAAATTGAATGGTACTGTAGTAAAAAACCTGTATTCAAGGAAATGTATATTTTATGTCTAATATCAACAAATGTGAAAACAAATCTTATTTTTCACAAACAAAATTTGTTTGTAAATATGTATTGTAACATCAATATTAAATTTAAATAACATGATCTATTACAGTCTAATGAAAATAATAAATTAACTAATAGCTGATAAAAACAATTATCGACAATCATTTAGTAATTATTACTTATTTATAATATTTTACAATTAAAATAACAAAATGTTACACGAACTTTTGTTATCAATTTGGGGGTGTTCAACTAGTTTAGAAAAAATTGTTGAAAGTGACGTAAGTTGAAATTTGAAATATTTAATGGATGATTTGTTTTTGCTGTTATATATTATAATTATTTTTTATTTGATAGTCAACATTATTTGATAAATATTTCCATCCTGGTGAAAAGGGTATAATTAAAAAAGTATTAAGCATCGCTAATGATTATAATACCATTAAAAATTTTATAAAAACCTATTCATCTATTAATATTGATCAAGAAAATGCTAATGGTATCGTATGACATAATTTTTATTAATACAAATATTTTAAAAATGAAAGTTCCAATAGCATTTGAAACATACTAATTAATTTTAGATACTGAAACAGAAGTTAGGATATTAAAACAAGGCCTATATTTGCAAGCCTTGTGTGATGGCATGGATCAATCTTTGGAGCCTTTTGCAGATGAAATAATACAACTTGAAAAATCTATTATTAATAACATTCATTTACCTGCCACTGCTGTTCTCTCAACGGTTGAAAATTATCAACATTTATTCAATGTTCTCATTAGAATTATTTCTAAGGTAAATTTATATAATGTAATTTATGTATTGTATTTTTTTTTAATTCACTGAGTGTCATTTATAGATAAAAACTCAAAATATACATGGTTGTGCATTACTACAATGCATCCATGAGTTACAAAATACAGGTGTTGTTGAAATTAATGTAGCCATGCAAAAAATGTTACGTTGTGGCCATACAATTTTTTACAAACAATTAACCAGCTGGTTATTATATGGACACTTAGAAGATGTTCATGGAGAATTTTTTATTCAAAAAATTAAAACTACGGCTGACAACTCATCTTTCTTTGGGAATGTTAATAATTCCGGAGCAAATGAAAAATTAAATGACATGTGGAATTATGATATTGCCATAGCCATGCTACCATCGTATATTACATTATCTTTAGCAACTAAAATATTAACAATTGGTCAGACTATAATAGTATTTGGTAATGATCCACGTCGAGGAACAGGTAATCATGGTTTGAAAATAATTTACAAATTCTAAGTTTTTCATACGAATAATTTTTTCATGTTTAGATTTCAGTACAATAGAGAGTTCTGAAAATCCTGTCTGGGGTAAAAGAGAGCATGAATATTTCCGAAAGCTTCAAAATTTACAAATGAAACCAGTCTTTAATATTGTAGAGCTTGAAAATACGATTAATGAACTGAAGCATTGTGTGACGAAGCTTTTATGGCATGTTGCAGTTAATGATGCCCATCTATTACAGCAACTGAAATTGATAAAAGATTTTTATCTTATCGGTCGAGGAGACCTGTTTTTAGATTTCATTAAACTTACATCACATATTCTCAATAAAATACCTGTGAATCACACATCAAGAGATGTAAATCTTGCATTCCAGATGACCATAAGAAGAATGTTGTTAAGTGATGAAAATTCTGTTGATAATTTCAACTTCTTAGTTCCAGTTCCAGATAGTGATTCAGAAAATATCAACAATAAGAATGTTGAACCTATTCAAAAAGATCGTCAAGATCCTATCGGTAAGATGATCATTTTTAAACTTAATTCATTAATGATTACACTCTATTTATTTTTATAGATAAACAAGGATGGGGATTAATTATTTTACAATACAGAGTGGTTTGGCCTCTTCAACTTTTATTCAGTCCCAAGACTCTAAATGATTATAATAATATATTTCGATTTCTTCTTCGTGTTAAAAAGACCCAAATTAATTTATGGAATTTATGGAGTGAACATACTCGTTCCAAAGACATGTAAGTAATTTTTTCAAAAAATACTTCATATCATTATTATATAATTTGATAATTATTTTATCTTTTTCATATAGAGATATTAGTGTATTACAACTACGAAATCATCTTATTTTTATTCTCGACAATTTACAATATTATTTACAAGTCGATGTACTAGAAAGTCAGTATACAATAATGGAAAATCGTGTTAAAAACACAGAAAATTTCGAAGACGTACAGATAGCACATTCTACATTTTTAGCAAACATTCTGTCTCAAACGTTCTTGACTAATACTAGTGGAAAAAGTAAGAATCCAGTCAATAATTTAATTCGTTTACTTTTACGACTCTGTGATGATTTTATATTACATGCATCAATATGGGAAGTTACACATTTACTTAGTACTGAAAAAGAAGAGTTAAAAACACTCACTGATACTCTGAGTAGTGTAATGGAATTATTGATTAAAACACTTAATAGAGTTCGAGCACAACCAAGTGGTGCACATTTAGCACAATTACTGTTGCGTTTAGACTTTAATCGATGGTTTAGTAAACAAATGTGAATAAAATATATTAAAAATAACATTATATAAATTCTTATTAATCACTATCATCATGATAATCGCTACTTTTATATTCGTAACTTTTATCGTCATCATTGAATTGCCTATTGTTTAATTGTATTAAATTTTTTATTGATATTTTATGAGCTAAGTCTTCAGCTAAAAGGTTTTCATTATTTTTCAATGAAGTGTCTGCTCCGTTATCTAGTAATATGCTTACTATCTCTAAGTGTCCACGGCTAGCAGCAATGTGTAAAGGAGTATCGCCAATTTTATTCTGAATGAAAAAATTCTAAAATAGTTATTAAAATAGTTAAATTATAATAAACTCCAGTAATGTTATTTACCTTAGCATTAATGACATTAATGGGTACAGTCATTAATAATTCTTTTACACAATCTAAGTGACCACCACGTGCGGCCCAATAAAGAGCAGTATTCCCTGCTGAGTCTAGACCTGTTCCTGATACATTTTGTCTTAAACATTCTCGAAGAAAAGAAAGGTTTCCTCTTCTAGCAGCTTCATGAAGAGGAAACTCCATTTCTTCTGTTTGTTCTTCAACTAAATAAAACAATCTGTTAGATCAAATATCAACTGGTGATTTTAAAATAAAGGAATTCAATTAGCAGTTGATCAATAGTACCATAATTGAAAGGTATTAGACCACTTCTATCACCACATGTTGCTTTCCACCAATTGGAGTCAGTGTGACAATCATGTATATAAAGTAAGTCACCTTCATTAAATGATAACTCGGTACTCTATAAATTAAAAATATTTACAATAAATGTTGATTTATATTGTTATTTAATATAAAATAAAGTTAAAACATGTGTATATAATTAATTAATAATTAATTTATTAAAAATAAAGCAATACTTTGCTTACATGCTGAGCAGTGTAGTTATATAAAGCCCGTACTACCTTGACTTTCCCTTAAAATTTCAATTTGTCATAAATAATTTATACAACACTTATTAAAAATTACACAAAAGTATCAAAAAATATAAGTAAAAAGGTTATTAACAAAGTATTTACACAACACAAACAAACGTGCTGAGAACTAAATATGAGAAACATAATAGAAAATAAGAATTTTAAATAAAATAAGCTGTGAGAAATTATGGTTTATTTCCATCTGTATTAGTTTGAAAATTACCAGGTTTCCAGGTAGGTTTTGGAGGACGAAAAGATTGTTTTGGAGTATGCACTGACTCGGATGACGCCATTTTTATGACTTATTATGTTCAGTAAAGCATAAAACGGACATAGATATTTGTAGGAGGGGTAATAAATGTACAGATGAAGGTATAAGTAAACTTAAATAATTTATATATATTATTACAAAGAAATTCATATATAAAATATACATATTCTTATGTTGAATTAATTTTTAAAAAACATACAATAATAAATAATGTGAATGATTCATTTTATGTGGTAAAAATGTCTTCTTTCAGGTTTTCTTTTTTACTACTTTCATGAATAAAACCATATCTGTAAAATTAAAAATTATGATTTATCGTTAAAAACTGGCATGCAATTAAAAAAGAGATCTTGTTCTTACTAAAAAATACAGTAAAGACAAATGCAATCATGAGCCAAACCCAGCATCTCCAGTTAGATTTCGTATGTTCTTCAAGTTTTAATGATTCAGTTTTCAATTTGGTTGTGTTAGCTTCTGTTAACTTATCAGACTTTTCTAAAGCAGCCATATCTTTTTTGATAATAGCACTAGCAGTGAGTGCATGCTCTTTCATACTATTCGTCATCAGAAGCATATTTTCAGCAATTTTCTCCTGCATGTTTCTATTGTATTTTAATAACGCGTCTACATCTTGATCCTCAATAGGACCATTTTTCAATATCCTTTGTCTAACTGCTGTTTCTCCATTATCTATAGAGGTATGATTGTAAAAGTTATCAGCATGGCTGATTTTATGGCTTATTTAAAATAAAAAATATATACCTGAGTTGTTAGAAAATAATTCTGATCTTATTTCATGATGGTATTTAGCTGTCGTTTTCTGATGGATCTGAGTTGCAATATTATGAGCATTGGAATCAATTAGAAGTGTTGATGTTTTGGGTAGCATCTGAGCAGCTACAACTCTTTCGATAGAATTGGATATTTTTGATGTATCTATCAATCCTTTCAAAAAATCAATTCTTTTTGTGTATTCCATCATTTTCTCTTTGCATGGTTTGCTAAAAAAATGATTTATAAGCAATAGAAAAAAAAGTACTGTAAAAATGTATTGCTTAAAGAAGTTTAAATTATTATTTGAAGGATTGTTTGAATTATGTACATACTCTGATGAAGCTTGTAATTTATTCAAGAAATCTTCCAAGGCATAAATGTACTAAAAATAAAAACATTATCATTTTTGAAGTACACAAAAATAAAGACAATTTATCATACCTGCTCCAATCTCCAATTTTTAAAGTCTTCTTTAGCTAATAATTCGCATCGATTGAGAAGTCTATTTATATTAATTTCCACTCGAGACATTTTCAATAGTGTACTTTGTTAGGTAATTTTGATAATTGTAATTTTTATTGTTATATTAACAATCAATTTACTACAATGATCTTTCGTGTTATTTCACTTAACATTTTACATATGTTACTGATTTTTAAAAGAATAATATTTACTAAAAATTTTAAAAGATATCGTTACTTTAATTTTCTTATTAATTTTTTCGCAATTTAGTAGATGTCGTTACACACGAATTTTTACAAAATTTTTAAGAAATTTAAATAACGTCATCTGTCGTATTTATTATTGAAAGGAGACTATTTTAAATTGAATTAATCTACAATAGTATTAAAAAGATTTATTCTCATTATCGTTTTTTCAACCATCATTAATGTGATGTTTATTTCCTAATTTCTACAAATAAATACGGTCACACGTGTTGTGTGACGTCAATGACGCAGGCTGACGTCAAAATTAGCAATAGTTATGCGTACTAAGTGATTGGTGAAAAATCAATGAAGTGACCAATCAGAGTGCTTGTTTCTCCGCAATGGTCGTGTAAAATTAATCGGCCATTTTGTTATTATTTTCGAAAATCGTAAAAAGTACCATCGTGCAGAGTGAAGGTATACGAGAAACGTAGGGTATTCGAATGTGGAATTTATTAAAAAAACAATAAATATTAATAGTATGATCATACAGAAATAAGGTGTAATAGAAATAATAAAGGATTGATCATTTCGGTGGGTATTGTAGTGTATAGTAATAATAATAATGTACATAGTAACTACTTCACTATACAATTCACGACGACGACAACGACGACAACGATGAGGAACAACGACGACGACATCGTTCATTTCACGCAGTCGCGGTATGGTGTGTGGTGTTGTTGGTTGTTATATTGAAAGAATATAGGAAGAACGATGAGTGAGAGAGAAAGACATACAGAAGCCAATAGAACCGAATATAAGCAGGAGTGAGTGTGTGTGAAATGAGAAGCGAAGTTAGTCGCGCGCGGGAATCGTCAGTTGTATGTTTCATGGTTTCATCCTTTTGTGCTTGTGATTTATCCTAAGATAAATGTGGTTACTGGTGCAAAACGTTTGTATGTGTGTATGTACTTTGTGAATATCTTTTTTCCTTTTACCGCCAATGACAAAAATTTTTTTGTGGAATTGAATTCACGGTAGATTGAGGTAATTAAAGAAATATCGTGTCGGCAGATCTGGTATTCTCTGTATAATAGGGCTTAGAACGGCACACAGGCGCAATCGAATAACATATACCTACATCTATTCATTTAGATACTGTTAATAAAGCTGCGGAACTTTCGAAAATGCGTTATATACCAGTCATCTTTTTCACTGTTTAATCACATTAATAAATTATTTGGAGTCATTTATTCACTTATTCTAACACTAAAAACATCGTCGTTATTTATTTAATTGTATTCCATTTGAAATTTACTAATGCCGGAATCACTCATTTTTACATAACCTTCTTTGTAATTGTCAAATATAGGTTAGGTATAGTGATCATAGTGCGGTAACTTTTATTTATCCACGTTTTCTGTTAAATATTATTTACACAATTATTTTCTTTCATTGTTTTTCTTCTGTTTAAACTTAAAACTTCATTTATTTTTACAAACTTCCACTCTATGTATTTATTTAATTTCATTTCAACTTTTTATTAAATTCATCTAATGTTGATGCATAAATCATTTAAAGTGCTTCTCATTTATTTTTTTATCAAACAAAATCAACAATTATTCTAAACAATAAAACTAATAATAATGGAAATATCGGATTTCAATCATTTATCATTACACCTGATTTACTTTTGCTATTGTAGATTATAACAATTAAAGCTACAATTTATTGAGCAAAAATGGCAACATTAGCAGAGCAAGCATCAAAATTGCTAGACTTTAATCAGAAATTGGACATCACTCTGCTAGATTATATAGTAGGATGCATGTATGATGGAATGGGAGAACAGCAAAGAATAGCACAAGAGGTGCTGACAACCCTCAAGGAACATCCAGATGCATGGACAAGAGTTGATACCATTCTAGAATATTCGCAGGCAAGTTATTTAATCATAATTAATTTCTAATAAAATACAGTTATTCATAAATTTAAATAAACAATAAACTAGAAAATTATGTTACATTCACTAACTGATCAAAACGATGGTATACGAATAGCAAGATGATTCACATTGTCGTTTTCTATTATTACAGAACCAACAAACGAAATATTATGCATTACAAATATTAGAACAAGTAATAAAAACACGATGGAAAGTACTTCCTCGCAATCAATGTGAAGGCATAAAAAAATACATCGTAGGTTTGATCATTAAGACCAGCAGTGATCCTCAGTCTATGGAAGCTTCTAAAGTTTATCTAAACAAACTTAATATGATTCTTGTACAAGTAAGATTCAATGTTTAAATAATGCATGGTGATGATTGTTTTTTTATTATTGATAATAGTATTTTTATTTACATAATTATTGATTTTTTAATGTTAAATGTTTTTATGAATTAACAATAGGTGTTAAAGCGTGAATGGCCAAAGAATTGGGAATCTTTTATTGGTGATATTGTTGGTGCAAGTAAAACAAACGAGAGTTTGTGCCAAAATAATATGGCCATTTTAAAATTATTATCTGAAGAAGTTTTTGACTTCTCAAGTGGTCAAATGACACAAACAAAAGCAAAGCATCTCAAGGATACAATGTGCAGTGAATTTTCTCAAATATATCAACTTTGTCAGTTTGTTTTGGAAAATTCACCTAATGTACCACTTGTAACTGTTACCCTAGAAACGTTACTGAGGTTTTTAAATTGGATTCCTCTTGGATACATCTTTGAAACAAAATTGATTACAACATTAATATTCAAATTTTTAAATGTACCAATATTTCGTAATGTAACGCTCAAGTGTCTTATAGAAATAGCTGCAGTTACTGTAACTAATTATGATAACATGTTTGTAATACTATTTGTGAACACAATGCAACAACTAGAGCAAATGTTACATCCTAATACAAATATTCGTGATGCTTATGCTTTTGGACAAGATGAAGAACAAAATTTTATTCAAAATCTAGCTATGTTTCTATGTACATTTTTAAAAGAACATGGTCCATTAGTTGAAAAGAAAGAATTCAATGATACACTATTAAAAGCACTGCATTATCTTGTATTAATTTCGGAAGTTGAAGAAGTTGAAATTTTTAAAATTTGTCTTGAATACTGGAATGGATTAGCTGCAAATTTATACAAAGACAATCCAATTATGTCAGTATCTCCAATTTTAGGAGCTAAAAAAGATGTGACAATTCCCTCTCGACGAGCGTTTTACTGTCCGGTTCTAACTAAAGTTCGATATATAATGATAAGTAGGATGGCCAAACCAGAAGAAGTACTTGTTGTTGAAAACGAAAATGGGGAAGTTGTTCGTGAATTTATGAAAGACACAGATTCTATTAATTTGTATAAAAATATGCGCGAGACATTGGTTTACTTGACACATCTTGATTGTGCAGATACTGAAAAAGTGATGACAGAAAAACTTCAAAATCAAGTTAACGGCTCTGAATGGTCATGGAAAAATTTAAATACGTTGTGTTGGGCTATTGGTAGTATTTCTGGAGCAATGCATGAAGAAGATGAAAAACGATTCCTGGTAACGGTTATAAAAGAGTTGCTAGGTTTATGTGAGCAAAAAAAGGGTAAAGATAATAAAGCAATTATAGCAAGTAATATTATGTATGTAGTCGGTCAGTATCCTCGTTTTCTTCGTGCTCATTGGAAATTTTTAAAAACAGTAGTAAATAAATTATTTGAGTTTATGCATGAGACACATGATGGTGTCCAAGATATGGCCTGCGATACTTTTATTAAAATAGCTATAAAATGTCGTCGACATTTTGTTACAATTCAAGTTGGCGAAACAATGCCGTTTATTGAAGAAATACTTTCTAGTATAAGCAGTATCATTTGTGATTTACAAACTCAACAAGTTCATACATTTTATGAAGCTGTCGGATATATGATAAGTGCTCAGGTGGATGATATAGCGCAAAAAGAAAGAATTGAACGGTATATGTTACTTCCTAATCGAGTTTGGGATGATATTATTAGTCAAGCTTCAAAAAATGTAGATGTTTTAAAAGATCAAGAAGCTGTTAAGCAGCTCGGCAGTATTCTCAAAACTAATGTCAGAGCGTGCAAAGCTCTAGGACATCCATATGTAATGCAATTAGGAAGAATATACTTAGATATGTTAAATGTGTACAAGGTAATGGGATATTATTATAATGAATAGTTTTATAATTACGTATTTTAGTAATTATGTTACTAAACATTTCTTTATTATTACAGGTAATGAGTGAAAATATAAGTGCTGCGATAGCTTTGAATGGTGAAGTGGTAATGAAGCAACCATTAATTAAGAGTATGAGAGTTGTGAAAAAAGAAACATTAAAATTAATATCTGATTGGGTGAGCAGATCTAATGACCATCAAATGGTGAGTTATAATAATCATCAATTTTATTTATTAAAATTAAAAATTATTACTAATTCTATTATTATTTTGTTTTTTTTTTCTGTTTCCTAGGTTTTAGAGAATTTTATACCACCTTTATTAGATGCCGTACTATTGGATTATCAAAAAACTAATGTTCCGTGTGCAAGAGAGCCAGAAGTTTTGAGTGCTATGGCAACGATTGTGAATAAATTACAGGGCCATATTACTAGTGAGGTTCCTAAAATTTTTGACGCTGTATTTGAATGTACTCTTGAAATGATAAATAAGGACTTTGAAGAATTTCCTGAATATCGAACAAACTTTTTCTTATTACTTCAAGCAGTAAATGTATACTGTTTCCCGGCATTTTTAACAATTCCACCAGCACAGTTTAAGCTGGTTCTTGATTCTATTATTTGGGCATTTAAACATACTATGAGAAACGTTGCTGATACAGGTTTAGCGATCTTGTATCAATTATTACAAAATATTGAACAGCATGATCAAGCTGAGCAAAATTTCTATCAAACTTATTTTACCGAAATTTTACAACATATATTCAGTGTAGTAACTGACACTTCACATACTGCTGGTAATTTTATTTATTACAATTTTTCCTTATCGAAAGATCTTTTGTGTACATAAATTATTTTATAGGTCTCACAATGCACGCGACTATTTTGGCATACATGTTTACATTGGTGGAGTTAGGTAGAATTCGCGTACCACTCGGCCCAATACCTGACAACAGACTTTATGTTCAAGAGTTTGTAGCGAGTTTATTGAAGGCAGCTTTTCCACATTTAACTGATAATCAGATTAAGATCACAGTTCAAGGATTATTCAATTTAAATCAAGATATTTCAGCTTTTAAAGAACATTTGAGGGATTTCCTTGTACAAATTCGGGTAAATAAATATATTATTATCTTAATTAAAAATTTATTTAATTCATCAAGTATTTGTATTTAAATATATCTTAATCATTAGGAATATACGGGAGAAGATGATTCAGACCTTTTCTTGGAAGAACGTGAAGCAGCTTTACGATTTGCCCAAGAAGAAAAGAGAAGGCAGCAGATGGCTGTTCCAGGTATACTTAATCCACATGAGATGCCAGAAGAGATGCAGGACTGCTGAATTTTCACCTAATCTTATACTTATTTCATTTTACGCATGTTTGAATGAAAGGCACGTCGTCATAATTATTTTTCTGAATCCTTCCATTTACAATTGTTTTTATTATGTCCTATATTTCAGTGTATGAATCACTATCTGATTTTTGAACGAAAAGTAAGCCCGAAATAAGCTCATTGTACACGTCAGCATTGTTTATGAAGACAGATTTCTCTCCATGAATTCAATAAGTGTGCCTGATTTCATTGGCATAATTCCACATATTTCATAAACAATAATTCTGATAAGAATATTCTCAGTAAATATATAGGATATAAATAATGAATAAATAAATAAAAACAAATCGATACTATTATACATGGTTAACTGCCAACAGATGTTTTATTTTTTTTGTGTGTATATGTTAAATAAATAATTTTCATATTTTATAAAATTAATTAGTAGATGATGAAAACTCATGTCTATAAAAATTAATTTATATACATTTTGAAGAAAATTAAACTACTTTGTGACGTTGACGGTAAAATAAAAAATTTCATACTACTGTGAGTAATAAATAATTAAATTTCTTAAAATATGTTTACTGAAATCATTTCATAATTACAAATACATACATTAAAAAAACAAAAAAATAATAATTATAATATTTCCATTAACTAATGGTAATATATTTTCTATTATGAAAATACATTACATTATTAACATTATCATACAATCCATATTCTTATATTATTCATAATGAATGATTTTACGATGAAATTGTTTTGTAGTAAATAAAATAAAACAATTGAAGATAAATAATAAGCAAAATAAACTTCATCCCATTTATTGGAATATGAAAAGTTTTATTATGATAATATTAGGAATACATTATTTTTAATCCTATTCGAGCCTATTTGAGCTTACTAATATCTTATTATAGTGTAAAAATAATACATAATGTAAATGGAAGGAATAATTTGTGTTATGCTTACTGAAGCATTTATTAATGAAATATAATAAATCTTTTCACTTCAAAGAAGAAAAGTATTTAACAGGAAAAAATAATTACTAGTATCATCTATTCATAATTATTATTCGGTAAAATATTCTGATCGACATGAAGTTGAATAAAAAAAAAATATCATTAGTTAGTTTTCATGATTGGTACGGCAATTGGTAATTTAAAAGTATTCATTAAAATACAGCAACAAAATAATTTCTCAGTAAATTTCCATATTTACATATGGTTAATATATTTATTTAAATATTTTTACCGTAAATATAATTCTTCATTGCGTATTTTTTATTGTAAACGATTACGCGATAAGTATATGAATTGACAGAACTTTTTTTCTATTCTTTTTTACAATGCTTGTTCATATAGGCATTATGTATGATTTTGATGTTATTATTAATTTAATTACTATAAAGAAAAAAAAAAATTTTTTTCTAATTATTTCGTATTCATAAACACTGTCACTATGTATCCGCTTTATAATTAATTGAAATACATTATCCGGTTGCAAATGATACATGTAAATAGAAAAATTTCATGAAGATATAGAATACATGAATGAACAATACGTGTGACTGACAATGTCTCTTAATTTACTAAAAAGGAAAAAATTTGGTATATTTTTTTTTTTTGCAAGAATTTGTTTTTGAAAATGAATATGTATCGAAAATGGAATATTAAAAATGGCTATATTTAAAAAAATTATAAAGGTATGTTTGAATATCAAGTTGTCATTGTGCGTTCTGTCGTTATGTTTTTGTTAATACTGAATGAATGATGTATTGTTTTTATGCCTCTATTGAAAAAAAGAAAAATTAGAAATATTTATTTATAATTCACGAAACATCAAAATACGATAGAGTATCACTTTGTGTAATATACATATATATGATAATAAAGTATTGGTTTATACATAAGTAAAATAATTTTTATATAATTGCAGTTTAAATTCATTATCGTTAGAACATATTCTTAGACAAACAGTTACACATGACTGAATAAACAAATTTATGATGGATATTCATATATTTTAGCGGGTTCATCGAACAACAAAAAACTAATGAAATTTGAGAAGAAAAAAACTATTATAAAATACAATATGATTGATCTAGACGCGATAATGTATTTATATTTTAAATTTGCAAATATTCTATATTAAATTGTAAGTTTGTAAGCTAATAAAATGTGACAATGAAAGGAAAAAATTATCAAGTAATGCGTATAAATAGTTTATTGAAAATTCTTGTGAAATAAGGTTCATAATAATAGAAATAATAATTTAGTATGTCATGCGTATATGAATTCGAATGCGTGATAATTAATTTGTAAGAATTTTATTAATTATTCACTACATAATTATTAAATATGTAATGAGTTTAATAAATACTTACTAATACAATGATCAAAGAAATTTTTTGTTTTAATAATCATATTATTATTAATTCACGAAAAAAATAGTTATATTCTTTTATAAATTATTTTTTATCTTGTACTTTAATCGAAAGTAGCTTGTCTTGGTGATATAACACCTTCACCATTGACAGCTCGATCCAAACTTGTTGGTGTTGATCCTCCTGCCTTAGTAGTATCTTCTATATATTTTGTCCAATCAATATTATCTAAAGAAGGAAAAGGTTTTTTAGTAGTTGAAATAATTGGAGGCAATGTTTCCGGTTGGGAAATAGTAGTTAATTTTGGAGTAATTGTAGGATTGTAGTTGTTGGTCACGCTATCCCTATCGATACTCCAATTACGTTGGGTGGTTGTTTGTGGTTGTTTTTGATAATTATGGTCATTATTATTATTATTATTGTTCTGATTATTCAACCAGGGATTGCGATCATATTCCTGCTGTTGATTGTAATTTGGTTGTAATTGCTCAGGAAATTTGGAAACCATTATTTCATTATCAATTACCATCTACGAAAATTGATTAATCCATTAATTATTTAATAATAATAATATATATTTAAAATATTGTAAATAAATATTTTATTTTCATAATATATTTTACTTACTGTGTCTCCAGTTTTACTGCTTCTGCATACCCATTCAGTAGTGAGGGTTTTCCCAAATCTAGGATCATCTCTCATGTAATTATTTCCTGTTTGTTGCGGATACCTCATTCCATTATTGTAATTTTCATTATAAATATTGTGACTTCTACCATTGTCATGTCTTCTATATGGTCCATAATTTTGTTGAGGATATTGTGGTTGATTTTGTGTTCCTTTAGGTGGTGAGACTCCAACAATTTTACCTGTATCTATATCAAGCCAAACTGTTTGCGAATAAGTCTTTTGAATCACAGCCATAAAATAAATTGCCATAAAAATAATAAAATATTTGTTACAAAAAGCCATTTTAGAAATTTTTCTTAAACTCTGACGTTAATTTTTATTTACTGTAATCACCAAGTCACTGATATGTGTATTCATACAGTTATTTTCACTATGTGACATTTGAATCAAGGAATTGCTTTATCACCATTGTAAATCATGATCATCATTATTACCAATGTCATTAGTATGTATGAGAATGTATATACACGTATAATAATAGACTTATTACATAGTATTAGCTAGAATGTATAAATCGATGTGCAATTTATTCAGAAAAGAATTTAATTTCTTCAATTTTCGTTTTGACATTTTCAAATAATAAATAACTTGAGGAGTTTAAAAATACTCAATTTATTTCGTGATGATTAAAATAATAAAATTGTACTAAGCAATACATTTTTTCAACTTAAAAATTTTTTTAAAAGTTATTTTGATTGTTTGTAATGATATTTAATTGGAGAATAAACAAATTAACTAATTATATCTATTATAAGTGTATAAATATGGTTGATAATATCTGTCTCTGGGTCTAGACCTGAATTGTTCTCTTCGCTCCTGACGATATCTAAATAATGGTCGAAAAACAATATCTTCAGCAACATCCATGTCTGGAACATTATTGTCAGCCTGTAAATTTAATAATAATTATGTGTAATAATTATAAGTTTCATAGTTTACAATTAAAAATGGATAACTATATTGAGTTAAATATCATTAAAAGTATTTATATGTAATTGATCGTTTTAGAAAAAAAAATTACATCAATCGATCATTTACCTCACCTGATAGCATGTTAGAATCAGTACTGGTGGTAGTTAAATTTAGATCACTAATCAATAAAGGATTAATTGTATCATTTGTATTAATGAGATTGGTATTGGTAGCTGTAGCTACTGCTGGTATTACTAAAGGAACAAGAAGTCCTCCATCTGGTGCATCAATTGCATTAGCAACATTTGGTTGTAAAACAAGTGGAGCAATTTTTGGAGTAGTTACATCATTTTGATCATTATTTTTATCAGTCTCTTCTTGTGAAAGCTTCAAAACATTTTCATCACCAATTAATCATTCAACTTAGTTGAAAAATTTTTTAATTATAAATAAAAAAACAAATTACCGAAGTTTCTGAGATTGAGTCAGACATGCTTTCATCAACAGGATCTAAACCACGAAAGCTTCTTTTTTGTAATGGAAGAGGTTTGTAATCAATAGTCGTTGTTTCAGTCAAAGCATTTTCCGTTTGTGGAATTAAACTATTATCCGTAGCAATTGTTGATGTATAGTGAGAAGACTCAATTAAGATAATTAACCATAACGTAAACATAATCGTTATTTTAATGATCTACTACCTATTTAATTCAAAGAATCGATTAAATAGTTAATTATATAAATATTTATTAAATATATAAATGATACTTACAATTAATTTGAAAATTATAAATTGACAAAACGAATCAGAAAATTATTTCTTCGATGAATCTCAAGCGTTTTTAACGTGCCTCTTATTGAAATCACTGAAGACTAATTTATGAGGTATGATTTATAGTCTATGAGGATATGTATGACTATCAAATCTTTACGTTTATTAAATGACACTACTGTTATAATTAACGATAATTAAAATAAAATTTAACAACATTTTGCTAAAAGAATTTTATCGATTGCATCATTTCAAGGATGTATCACTTATTACACATTACAACTGTTTTCAACAATTGCTATGTTATTTTAATTTAAATAAACTAAATTAACTTAATAAGTTAAAATATTTAGCATTTAAAAATCGTATAAAAACAGTAAAACTATACGTTGTAATTTAATAAAAAAATATTCAAAGATATTAACAAAATATTTTCAAATTATTATCTTATTCTTGTGCGTTGTTGATAGGCTTTTGCAAATTGCCGTTGTTGCTGATGTTGATGACTACGACGATATACAAACAAAGGTCTTAGCAAATTGGTACCTGCTGCAGTTTCAAGATCCATATCATCATCGATCAATTTTGGTTCTTTAATTTCTCGCTTGATCACTTTTATTGGCAATTGATGAAGCATCTCTGGCCTTCGAATAGTCTTGGTAATTGATGATAATTTATTTGGAATTATAGCAGCAGTAGTCATCTTTATTATGTATAAGATAATGAACAGGGCTATGAATATTTTGTTGCTGTGATTCTGAAACAATTTTTTTAAAATGAAAATATAATAACACGTTAATACAAACGTACAATGATTTTGAGGGGATAAGTCAATTAATCAGAATTACAAAAAGTAAAAAAAATTACCATTTTAGCAGATGAAATATTAGAAAATTTTTATTCAAAAAAATAATAACAAAGCTCTTGTGGCCAAAAACGAGATCCACTGTCCGAATTTGTGGAAATAAATTTCTTTTATAATGTTTTGACAAGTCAATATTATTTTAAATTGACGTCAACACTCAATTAGCCACAGAATGTTTTTGACGTAATAAAGTTTGAGTGAAAATCAGTTTTGTAAATAAAAAAAAATTTATTAGTTCCATAACTTAGGTTCTGAGTGAATAACAATTTTTGATTGATCAACAAGTATAAAAATATTGACAACTCTATTTAGCTTCTTTATCATAACATTTTTTTACTCAGCTGATTCTTGTTTACATGAATAAAAAAAATTGGTGCGTATTTCGTATTAAAAATCATCAAAAATAAATTACGTTCATTAAAGTCATAATAGATTTTTTTCGAAATAATCATAAACTTGTCAAATAAAATAAGCGCTAGTGGTGTACATATGTATACATAACCTCACTCATGCGCAGTATCTTGTTTACCACGTGTCAAAAACTTTTTTTTAGTAGTTCTGTTTATCATATCATATTTATAAAATTTGTTAATTAAAATTGGTAATAACATTTTTAGTTTTGTTCAACGATTATCAATTTCCATGATTAAAAACATATTGGGAAGGTGTGACAGAGATACAAACTCATACAAATACAACATTGAACTGTATACAAGGTATTTTTATTTTATAATTGATATTTTTGGAGTATAAAACATAGTATTTTGTGAAAATTATTGTATAGATTTTACTTGTAATTCAATTATTATTAATTTCAGTTAAATACAGTTACGATGAAAAAGTATTATCAAGCTGCCTTAGCTCTAACCGCAACTTTGAGTATCATAGCATTACTCTTCTACAGACATGAATACAATAAATTAAGATTTGTATTGCAATTTTTTAATTCCTTTGGTTCACCACCAAATAATAATAACAATAATACTTGTGCCATACAATTTGAAGATCACCTTTCATCCTGGCAAAGGGTTACTCATGATCTTCATATATATTCTGCTTATAACCATCATGATGGTGAAATAATATCTATAGCTCTAGGTAGAAATACACAAACATTAAGCTTTGCCTGTGATATTTTATTCTCTGATGAAGTAGAGCCAATTGCTGGAAAATTTACATATGAAAATATTAATATAAATAATGACAATCTAGACACTGATTATGATCGACAATTCAGTGGATATTTATTTAAATGTAAGTACGATAAAAATTCAACAAATAAAACTGTTGTTGGCATACAGTTGTCAAGCTTACAAAAAAATAATAATGAGCTCAATAACTTTCCGATAATTCGCGTTAATACATACAGTAGAAATAATTATACTAAAAAAACTAATGTTATCTGTGTATCTCCACCGATGCCACGAATGATGAAATACATTGACATGGTGAGCTTTTTAGCTTTTCACAATAAAATCGGATGGAATAAATTCCTTGTATATGATTATGGTATTTCACCTGTTTTTAATGATGGCATTAAAAAAATGGAGTTATCAAATAATTGGAATTTTACCTACACATTAGCTTCTTGGAATTTTCCATACTTCAAAGTATCATCTCAGCTCATGAAAAATATCATAGAAATTGATTGTCTTCATAAAAATTATAACAGAGCTAATTTAGCTATTACTCTTGCCTGGGATGAGTACATTAATCTAAAATATCATACATCAGTGGAAAATTTAATTTTTGACGTTGGAAAAGTATCTGGTAAGAGTGCTGATAAATTTCAGACTACTATTGAAATCAATTGTATGAATAAAAATCGAAGTTTTTCGAATATTCAAATTCCTATGATATACAGTGAAACTCGTGTTACATCGAATATCAATCAAAATCAACCACAATATATTTATAAATTAAGTAACATTTTAAATGATTATATTATCGAGCAAAATGTTGATGATTTGTTATTTATAAAAAAATACCAAATATGTAATGCAGTGAATAATAGAAAAAAAATGATCAATGGAGAATTAAGGAATAGTGAAAATTTAGGGAATTTAAAAATATTTAAATACTATCTTATGGGTAAACTGTTTAGTCAATAAACAAAAAATAAAAACGATTGACAATATGTAGATGATCTGATGGTAATCAAAAAGGCAATAACATAAAGATAATAATGTTATAAGCGCTTTTACAATTAGTAATATCGTTCGAATGATAAGTTGAATTTTATATGATTGTATACTACTTTATATTTATGTATATTGTATTACAATAATTATTATATGAATTCTTTTTATTAATTAAATTTTATTTTCTATAAACACATGTTTGTATGTAATTTTAACAATACCTTTTGGTGATATTCAGTATTAATTACTATAAAATAACGGCATGCAAAAAATATTAATAATTAGAATAAAATTAAAATTAATATTATTTTACTTCAAACGTTGCATAATAGCTGAATTTTTAAGGCCCACTTCATCAATTGTTTTATCTTCTTCAGTCAGTTCTTTTATAGGATATGACGTTAATAAAATAAATTCTTGATTAGCGTACTGCGGCCGCATTGTTGTTATATATCTTCGAATATCACCAACAGTATGAGTAAGATTAAATTGTTCTCGAATATTTTGCCCGTCAGCTAATCGTATTTGAATCGTTGTAACTGGATTATTAGTATCTACGTTCAATTGACTTCGAGCTTGTGATTCATTGGCTATTTGGTCAGCTGTATCACATGGTATTGTCATACCAACAGTGGCAGGTGAAGGACTAAAGAAAGAAATATAATTAAATTTTTTTTCATTAATGTAACTAATAGAGAAGTATTTTTACTATTTACCTTCCCAATTTGTGTCCTCGACCAGTGAAAGCTTTGACTTTTATTTTTGAAGGTACATATTCTTCATGACGATGATCCTCCATGTCAAGACGCACTTCAGCATCTTGTACCTCTTGTCGTAATTCAGCTGGAATTTCCGCTCGTTTTATAGCTTCCATAAATTCACGATTATTTGGATCATTGTAGGATCGAAGTTCACGATCATTAATAGTAAACCCATCTCGCCAAAGTTTTAAAGTTATTACGCCTGAATTACTTGACGATTGTGAAGAAGGCGCTCCTGCTACAACTGTAATATTTAAGAATAAATTTACATTATGATCATTACCTAATGGTGTGAACAAGAAGATCATTTTGGTAATTTACTTTCAGTATCATTATTGGTTTGCCCTAATTTATATCCAGTTCCACTAAATGTACTTGGTCTTTGTTGATGAGATCCAGATCTTTCATCAATTGGAATCGATTGATCTCGACATGATTTAAACATATCATTAATAATATCATTCTTTTTTTTACTAGGACCTAATACTTGTTGTCCACTACGTTCTGATCCACCAGCATAAAATGCTTGGCCTTCTTCTTCAGAATCACTATCTCTATTTTGTAATGAACCTATAGTACCGATCTTAGAATTTTTATTTTTATTTATAGGCTTTGATTTATTCGGATCCATTGAATTTGCTTCAGAAAGTTCAACAGGTCTTACTGATGGTACACTTTCTTGATTTGATATTTGATCACTTATGATATCAGGCGATGGTCCTTCTTCAGCAGATCCTAATTCTACGCATTCATAAAAATTTGCCAGTGCAACCTATTGAATAATTAATACGTATTGTCAGAATATTAATATTATTAGTTTAAAAATAATTCAATCTTTTCTTGCCACCACAGTTGAATAATAATAACTTAATTAATATCAAAGTTAGAAATGAGACTTGTAATTACAAATGTAATGCCATCAAAGAATATTCAATAAATAATAATAAATAAATAAAACATAAGTTGAAAAAAATTTAAGAATACTATAAAAAATGAATGATGACACTCGATAAACATATATGCTGTCTCACCTCTAACTGGTTAGCTGATGAGGCTAGATAAAATTCTGCTCTTTCACGGTCGACGCCAGTTATATCCATAAATTGGGATATAAACTCGTCCATCGTGTTTTTTAATACAAAGAAATTAGTTAGTATTCCACTCTTGTATAAAATTACTGTTTTTACCTCTTCGACAATCGTCTGATAATTCGTATTCTTTATAAAATTCAATGAAGATGACAAAATGAAAAATGTCAGGCAAAAACATCCGCAAATCCTAACCTTACTTTAGATCCAATACACGCGAAAATAAGGTTGCCCTACCCAAGAAAAATAATCGTCGGATTTATTCGGATTTCTTCCCACTCTCTTCCATCGTTGTGTGTACATCCATTAGAGACGATCTTACGCATGCGCCATTTTGTGTTCGTTAGAATGGGGATAATTCGTCGAAGATCCTTCTTTTGCCAAATGTTTATATCTTGCATACACTATACATGCACAAACTGTAGATGTTCTTTGTTATCATCAGAACACAAGTTTGTGATTCCACGAAGTGGATTTGATGCAAATTATATTTCGTAGAAGCGGGAACAAGTGAAAACGTAAACAAAATGTGGTCAGTTAAATGTGTTTAGTATTGGAATTTGCAAAGTGAATTGTGCTTTTCAAAAACAATGGGAATAATAAACATTTATGACACTCGAAATTGTGGTAAGTAAAAACAATTTATTATTTACCGTCTATACAATATTATAATAGATTTATGTAATATTATTATATAAGCATTTCACTCGACTAGACAAAATAATCTTGTACCATTTTTTAAAAAATGTGCATATGAAATATTTGTCGGTAATTTTATTCCTGTGATAAAATTTGATGTTGTATAATATTCTACTGTTGATTTATAAAGTGGACAAATATAGCAGTTATGATTACTTTGTTTTTTATCTAAAAATGGATCATAAACTGTTGCTGAGTATTGAACGATCGGCATTTTATTAAATTGAATTTTCGAATTATTAGAAATAAGTTTTTGATTAATTAAATCCCATTTTGCTCCTGATAAATATAAGTCATTAAAATACATAGATCTGGCATGTGAGTTATCAACATTACATGCTGATAAATCACTGTCATTATAGGTAGGCATTACTACAAAATTAGATTGTATTTGATCAACAGCTACATCATATTGTTTAGAAAAAAATATTGGTGCTATTATAAATAATCGGTGTGGGAATTCCAGACCACCTAACCAAATGTTCAATACTCTTTGATCATCATCACTATCAAGATATTGAATCCAATCATTTAGAAATTTGTACCTTCTATTAATATTCACAATATACTTAGATAACGATTTAACACATAGTTTTGAATTAAACGTAAAAATAAACCACGACTTAGGGACTACATTAATCATTAAATCATTAATACAATCATCCCTATCATCATTATTAGCATCATTTTGTAATGATGTTTTTATAGATTGCAATATTGAATTATATATTTTAATTTCATCTATAAATATCATATTGAGATAATAGTCTTCTAAAAATTTATTAGAATTTTTTTTCATCATCTTTATCTTCTGTTCATCTGATAAAATTAATTGTTTAGGGAGTTTCTCTTTAATTTCATCGATTTTTTGACGTATTAATTCTTCATCATGCCTTCCTTTATCATTATAATAATTAGTCTCAGGTAGTTTATTTATCATCAATTTAAAGCAATTGCAGAAATTTTCAAAGACTAATGTATTTCTTTGGACCTCAGCATTATCATTCAGACCAAAAATCACAGCAGGTACTAAATCATGATTTTCAATCATATTTATTTGTCGAATATAATCATGATACTCACTACATTTATCAGGAATTTCAAAATAACAATTATAAGTACTACAATTAGATAATAAATTTCTATATTGTTTTACAATTTTTTCATTAAAATAATCCTGTAATATTGATATTGAGCATCTTCTATCAGTTGCATCAATTATTCTTCCGCCATAGTTACAATCACCAATAAAATATGTTAAAGCCTCATAGGAGACTTGATTTGAATTATTACTGTCATTTAATAGCAGCAGTAACGTTTTCAATTGTTTAGCAGAAATAACTAAATCATAGTGGCTAAAATCATGCTTAACATTCCAACTTGAATCATTAAAATAATTACGTTCTCCAATAATAGCATGAAAAAATGACAATGAGAATAATAATCTAGAAAAAATTTTATTCTTTCCTGAACAATTATTAAAAAAATCGTATGAATTTATTGGCTCAGTATTATAAGAATGAATCAAAGATTTTTTGACAGTTTTTGGTTTATTGTATGTTAACTTGATACTATCTTGTAAAATATTTATAGGAAATTGATCAGTAGGACAGCTTGATAACCACAAACGAAATTCAATATTAATATTAGAGTTAGCTGAATGGTTATTGATGCTTTCAAGCTCTTTTGATAACTCTGGAATAGCTAGATGACAGTCTTGAATAAATAACCATTTACCATCTTTCTTTGAATCAGAAATTATTCTTCGTAGCTCATGAGAGTAATTTTGATGATTTAAATTGAAATAAGATGAAGATATTATATTAAATTTAGATGAATAGCCTAGCTTACTAGCAAATTTTTCTAATAATTTAGATAAATCAATGTAACTTGGTAAAATGAACAGTAATGGAGTTGAACAATTGGATTGTGAATACATATAAGATAGATTTAATGGCAAATCTAAATAATCTAGAAGATTGGTATTATCAATCGTAACAGTTGATATGAATTTTAATACTTTCATCAGCATTCTGTCAGGTCTGATGATACTGACTAAAATTAATTTTTGAAAGGATGTTAATTTATGTTCCCAAGGTTCTGGAAGACAATGGTTTTCTGGAGTTTTTGCATTATAATAATCTTTCCATAATAGCTGATCATCATTTTTTATACTTTGTTCCAATCCTTGAAAAGCTTCTATTGATTTAGATAAAGTTGATATTTGCATCCATATTTTTTCTGTAATCCAGTTATCATCTTGAAGCTGCTCTTCTTCATTATGACATTCAATATTTATTTGTGTTGTTGAAGTAATACAATTTTCTATAAAATACTGATACTCTTCATTGGTGATATCATTTTTATTGATTGATAATTTCAAGCATAATAAAAAGGTGTATAATAATTTATGCTTTTCGTAAAGACCATTAACAATATTACAATGTAAAATTTTGGTAAATGATAATTTGAGATAATTCAATCGCTTATCAAGCTTCACACTTGTATTTGAGTTTGAAATAGACTTGATGTAGAGTTGTAGGAACCAACGATATGAAAATTTATACATGCAGTTTAAATGAGTTAGAATTGTTAGAGTATTAAATAAATTAGCACAATATTGTGCTAATTCATTGTAATTATTACGGAATAAATTAATTTTATCTATTTCTATTTTAATTTCTTTATCTTTTCGTTGGAGATCGTAGAATAAAATTTTTGTTGAATCTAATAATTTAATTGAATTTTCATCTTCTAAAATATTAACTGTTGATGTTGAAAGAATGCTTAATATATTATTTTCTTCTTGTTTCAGTACTTGTTTATTATCAATATTTTGAATTAACAAATTATCATATACTTCCTGATACTCTGGACATTCTCTTGATACAATAATATCTAAAAGTTTATTATATATTACTTGGGTAGGTAATAAAAAATTAATTATTGTCATTTTCTCAAAAATGTACGATTCATAAATAGGATTATCAAACCTTGTTGTTATGTATAATCGAAAATTTGGATGATATTCAATCACTTCTTTATTAATATATAGATATTGTTTATTATTCATAGAATAAATATGACTTCGTGTAAAAATAAATTCCAAAGGGAGAGAAAAATAATGTTGTTGAATATTATTTTCTATTAGCACTGGTTGACCATTTCTCATGCATGTCTTGATATCTTCCAGACAATTATTTGAATTGACTTGAACTATTTTTAAATCATTTTTCAATTCAATATCTTTAATCCATAAATTAGCTTGGTTTTCAGGATCTATAAATAAACAGTACTTTTGAGAATAATAATAGATCAGTGCATTCTCAGTATAGAACCTATTATTCTCAAAATGACGATAATTTGATGGATTTACTGTAGTACCTCCAGCTTTAATGACATTAACAAAATTGAAATCAGTTGAATACGATATACCCAAGTTGAGCAAAAAATCTTTCCATTGTTCTATGTTGATATCTCGAAAAGCTAAATGACAAGGTGATAAATAAATAACTATAGCACATGATATAATTAAATCACCAACAAGATTTTTGTGTGATGTTTTCAGACTATCTACAGACTCTGTCCATTTTTGTTTCTCACCACCAAGACTTTTTATCAATTTCTCAGCCTTCACTAGTCTCTCAGTACATTTAGTTATTTCACTTTCTAATTCCATTTTATTAATAACTGTTAATTTAAGATTATTATTAAGTGTTGTTAATTTATCATTTAAAGCTGATAAAATTTTTCGTTTATTATTGAGAAATGCTATTGTTTCATTGTATTCTTTCTCTGCTCCAGCTAGTTTTTCCTTCTTTGGTGCTACTACTTTGACAACCTCATCATATGAAACCATTGCACGTACCCATTTGCAAAGACCTTCAGCAGCACTTGATGCTTTAGCTACAATATGTGGCATAAAGCTTTTATCAACCATGTAGGTTTTTTTGATCACTTGCATTATACCTGATGGAATATTATCTTTATCATAATCCTTGAGATTTTGTAAAAAATTCATATCACTCAAAATACGTTTACTAGGTCCCCAAAAGTCCATTGATTTTCTACCGGTGATTGGATCAATAACTTTTTCTGCTGGTACCCCAAGCATTACACATACAGCTGCCATTACAAGTTTCACTGTGTCAGGAGGGTTTTTCATAGCTTTTACTAATGTTATGTCTGTTGGTTTGAGTGTATTCAGTGCAGCTATAGCATCTTCAAGAATAGGAATAGCCACTGCTAGATCAGCTTCACATTCTGATTTCAATGTTGATGCAATTTTAGCTTTTCTATTCGCTACTTCTTCATCACGTTTCACTTGAATTGTTGTAGTTTCAACAGTAATATTTTCATTTTCTATTTCTCGCATAGTATTTTGCATTTTTTTTACTGATTCTTCTAATTGAGGTCTTAGTGATGTTAATATTGTCTTCATTTTATTCACTTGTTCAGAAGCTAATAATAATTTATTTAAACCACATAAGTATTTATTTTGTAAATCGATTATTTCAGCTTGTTTCTTGTTCAATAATTGACAGAATAATTTAATCATATAAATAAATGCTGATGGATTATAGACATGAATTATTCTATTGAATTTTTTATAATAATCCATTTGTAATTTTTCTGATTTATCATATAAATATTTACATGCAGTAATTACTTTTTCTTTAGTACTACGATCAATGTGTACATGATCATCAAAAACTAATAAATAATTTCCTAATTCAGTAAATGCCTCTGGTGGCCAATTAATATAGCAATCTATAAAACAATATTTTATTAAATTCTTCCATAATTTTAATTTATTTAAAGTCCTTTTATTATTATCATATACATTAAAATACAATATAAAATGTAATTTTAATTTACATTGATTAAAGAAATAATCCATAATCTGGCTAGTCTTAAGCTCTAGATTACGATCACCTTTTTGAGCTAATAACCTAGATATTTCAATTATTTCTCGCTTTTCATCTGCTCTAAATAAGTCTAGTATTTCTCCAGTGGTTAATAAACTATTTATATCATCAAAGTAGGTATCTTGAATGTATCTTCCAGGTATAAAATATGTACAATCTTGATTGTATCCACCACATATTTTTAAAATACTTTTTAAATTGTCTCTCCATTCGTTTAATAGAATATTATTATCACTATCATTTTTATTGCTAATTGTTGATGTTGTTGATAGTTGAAAAAATTTCTGTTTCTGTATAAATGCAGCCAGTCGAGCTAGAGATCTTCTACCTGTACCTCCAGTACAGAACAGTATCAATTGACCACCAGGTAATGTCAACACTCGACAAATTCTTATCAGATGTTCAACAATATTAGTTAATATTACAATATCTATTTTTCTAACATTGAGTCTATTAAATTCATTCAAACAGGCTATCAATTTATTCTTTAAAGCATCTTTTGAATTTATTTCTTCATATTTACAAACTCGAATATTATCTGATGATAATGATTCAGTAATTATTTCTTCACTGTTACTACTTATACTGGTATTAGTATTATCTACTGAAAAGTTAGTAAACATTAAATTTGAAAAACTTTGTCGAGTTAATTTTCCATTATACTTGGGTAAATGATCAAATATTGAATCAAAAGTATCTTTAAAATAAATACCAACAGCTTCTTCAATTTTTTTTAATAAAAAATCATAGTCAGTTGGTATCGTAATTCGATCACCAAATACTCGTAATGATTCATGAATCCAAAGACGAATTAATGTTATTTTTGTTTCAACTGATTCTCTATGAATAAGACTGCATCCATTAATTACACGTGCAATGTCTGCAATATCAAATTGATAAAAAATTTGCGTTGGAGTTGGATGAAAAAAATTCTTCATATTTATATAGACATGAATGATTGAATTAACAATACTGTTTATGCTTCCAATAATATCATTAGAAAATTGGTTTCTCTTTAAATTGAATAATAAAATATTACTAAATATGCGTAATAAATTGTCTTTATTTGGAGTAAACATTGTATAAAAATTAAAGTGTCTCAAAAATCTATTATAACAAGTTTTAATTTTTTCATTAAAACTTGTTAGCCCACATAAAAAAATAATATTATTATTATCTTGGTTTAGAAATAATTTTTTATTATTATTCTCAGTTGGAGAATCATCATACCAGTATCCATGATCAATATATTGTCTAATTAAATCCAATATTGAATGACACTTGAATTTTGAATTATCTATCAGTATATTAAGATCATCAATATAATTAATATATAATTCTTTATTATCTTCAAAAGTAGTAACAATTTTTTTAATAAAACAATTTTTAGCCTGTGAAACACTAGTTGTTTGTGTAAAACGATACATGTAAGCTAAGTTTTTAGTATTTGGTAATTTTTTTTTCAACAAATATCGTATACAAGATGTTTTTCCTATTGATGATTCTCCATTAATAATAAAAGGTACTCGATATTTAATATGCTTTAGAAATAAATCTATATATTTAATAGAATCAGTAGTAGGTACTATTAAATTATTAAAGTCATCACAAATTTCTATATCCATACTGTAATTTGATTTTAAAATATCACTCCAGTGTTTCCATGATCCAGCTGCTTTGAAAATAAATATATTATCATGAATTGTCCCATCAGTTGGTAATGGAATAATATCACATATTTTTAATATCTCTGGTCGTTGATGATCTTCAATTTCATTGTTCCAAAGTGATAAGCAAAATTCATTGAAAATACTTTGATGGTCTACAGTTAGGCATCCACCAATCGCCCAGATGATTGCAAGAATTAAAGCAGCTTGACACCAAAGTCCAAAATATTGTAATTTTTCTTTAATTTCTATTGATCCATCACTGAATGCATCTTTTAAATGAATGTCAAATAATTTTAATGTTGATATTACCAAGTAACTGTCACTTACTGCAGCTACTAGAGTACATTTTTGATTAATAAAATTTAAACATGCATCCAATGACCATTCTAACATACTTGATAAAAATTCATAATATTTTTTTTCAACATCAAACTTTTGATTCTTTATCCAAATTCTCGTATAGAATCTCCAACCTTTAGTATCAAATGAGTCAACATAAATAATACCACAGCGTGATATTGTTGATGGTGATGCATTATTTAAATTATCTGTCTCAAACATGATTGAAATATTATTATATTTAGCTTCAATTATTTCTCCTGTTGGCAAAAAAAATAACTTATCATTATCTAATAGTGTATTCATGTTATCTATCAGAAATGAATTATTATCAATTGAACCATCAAATATTATCCATTTTTTATGTATAAAGCTTGGATAACTATTACTTTGAACATTGCTATAATTATTAGCATCACGCAATATTGATGTAAATACACCATCATACCACTTTTCTAATTTAACGTTAAAATATCCAAGTATATTTTCTATTGTCATACAATTTTGATTGATCCAGTATAAATTATCCTCATTATTATTATCATTGTCATTATTATTTAAAATTGATAAGCACTTAATAAATGTTTCAATTATTGTTGTTTTACCACTCAAAGATTCTCCCAAAATAATTAATCCATTTTTAATGAATATCATTTCAAATAGTTGAATAATCTTTAATTTAAATAATTCATGAAACTCAAGGTTATTTTTTTCCATTATTTGCTCAAGAACTTTGAGTAAAGTTGTATAGTTATTAGTCAATAAGGAAGATGTTGATTGAATTATTTGTGGAAAATAACTTTCTAACAATTCTTGAAAAATTATAACTTTATCATTTGGAAAGCAAGGCAAATAGATATCCATCAATGATCTTACAATAATCATTTCATCATCTAGATAAGAAAATTTAAATTTTAAATTAATTGCTGTTTTAATTATCATATTAATACTCTGATATTCTACATTATATGGAATTTTAAAATTTGAAGAAAATTGATGAGAACTAATAAACTTATAAATATCAACAATTTTATTAGAAAGACTTTTAGAATTAATAAATCCACTGGCAAATAATTTTATTTCACAAATTTGATTAATGTCTGAATTAGTATAGGCTATTACTCGAAAAATGGCATTAAAATTATCAGTTAAATAATTATTGATTGATAATTGTTTCAATGAAGTGGAAACTCCAAGATTTACAGTCACTGCTATAAATCCAGAGCTTTTATTAATTGGCAATTTTGTTAGACCTTCGAACGTAATTATTTTAGTAGCTGTTGAACATAATATTTGTGATATTGTATAAATATTATTTATTAATAGCGACAATATATTTAAGGGAAGATTATTAATATTTTTAAAGCATATCCAAAAGCTATAAGCCATAAAGCCCTTGAATATTTGTGTAATGTATTGGTAACTGATATATTGCGTACAATGAATTGGATATAATTTAACTGCCAGAGCACGTGATAAGCTTTTTATAGTTTCTATTTTTCCAATACCAGTTGATCCAATGAGTGCTCCAAAGAAATTATTATTAGCTCCTTCAAAAAGGATACGATAACATCTATCAGTTAATGGAGTATTTATAAATGACTCACCAGTACTCATGAATTCATATTCATAATTTTTTATACTATTCAACATGTATACTTGAACATTATTATCATCCTGAAAATAATATCGTAATTGAACTATCCAATAAAAATCATTTTCATGTTGAACATTTTTATTAACTAATTGACTAATGATTTCTTGCTGATTTATTGAAAATACTACATGTGACATCAATATAATTCTATGACATCTTGGACTAATTTCTTTTAATTCAACAATTAGGTTATTTATGAATTGATTATGCTCGTTCAAAAGTAATTTGAACTTTGATGTATGAAATTGGATCAAGCATTGTTGGATGCTAGATGTCCAAAATAACTTCAAAGTACATTCTGTAATGAGAGCTAATGAATGAGTATTTTTGATTAATTTTGAAATTTCATCGACTAAATTATCTATATTGATGTTTAAATTAATACAATTACTACCAATTTTATTGCGCACTGACATAATAATTATAGATTCAATAAATGTCAACCAAGTGTTATTATTTTGTAGTGACTTTAGACAAATGGTATTGTTTGTTAGTGTTAGTATCTCATTATAATCACTGATAATTGACATCACTTCATTTTTGCTATTTAATTGTATATTATTGATGCCACAGAAACATTTTTGTAATAATTTTTTTACTCTTGTAACAGTATCAGCTTGATTGAATAATATTTCAATTATTTCAATGTTTGATAAAAAATAAAAACGAGGAAAATTTGACCTAACATATTCCAGATAATTATTAATACCTATTGTTATATGTTCAATTGTTGCTGATATATCTGTTAATTGTTCTAAATAGGATAGAGCATACTTACTTATAATAATAAATTTTTGATTAAATGAAATATTTTTCATAATATTATTTACATTATCAATAATTTTTAAATACAAAATGGATAATTCTTCAAAGTCCTTTGTTGAAGTTGATGATTGATTGTTAATAAATATTTGTTTAAAAAATACACATTCATCTTGAATATAATTCCATTTTTGAACTATATCACGTACTTGATGTAGAGATTCACGAAAATTTTTAACTTCAGTGATGATTGGTTTAACGAAGTATGAACTTATCATTTCTTCTGTTAGCACTAGGTGATGTTCAAGAAGCAATTGAATTTTGGGAAATTGAACAAATAGAAATTTATTATCTTTTGTACAATCATTTTCAATTGTAAAATTGATATCATTCCATTCCATATTCATCATTTCAAGTTGTTGTTGAAGTAATAATTCTTTATTAGCACTTATACTTATTACTTGATATTTATCAATATCTTTCATCAAATCAAGTGCGATTATTTTACGTAATGTTGTACCAGCATTTGGAGTTAAATCATTACCATAAATAATCGACATTTCATTCCAATGACGTCTTGCTAATGCTTTATTACACATACAATTAATAAGAGGTATATATTGATTGAATTGTTTAACTTGTTCTAAAACTTGGTAACACAGTTTAAGTGGTGCTGATTGTTGCATTGGGTCTGGATCATCAATAATACCAGAAAACTTGAAAAGTTTATTAATTGATTGTGAATCAGCTTTAATTTTTTTCTTCAATAATTGATTTAAGTCTGAAAACTTTTCAAAATAATAGTTAGTTGTCTTTTCAACATAATTTGAGTCAATATACTCATAGGGTCCATCCATCCAAATAGAAGAGTATCTAGTCCACTCATTGATCATGATAATTAAATCATAAAATGGTAGAATGATATCTTTTATTTCTTGTATTTTTGGAAATTGAGTCTCTGGAAATTTAAATAATTTCTCGTCTAAATTTATTTCTTCAACTTGTTTATCAATAGCTTGAATTTTTTTGACAAGTATGTCCAAGTATTCAATATATTCATGAGCACGTTGAGCATCATCCATAGCATCTAGAATTATCAGACTTGGTACCACAATATCTACTTGAGTATTTAATAAATTTATTTTTTTTTGTAATTCATCTTCTAGTTCACTTTTCATTCCTTCACATAAACTATTACTTTGATTGAATATATCTTGAATTAATGTTAACCAATTGATTGTATTTTTATTTAATTCAATATGTTCCTCTGTTATTGGAGTGATTTGCATCAATGCACTTAACATTTCAATTGATTCTCGGATTTTATTTTCCAATTTTTCTATGGTTATTGTAGAAGCCAATGCCATTTGTTCACTTAACTCAAACAGGTCTTTTGTATTGTTTGGAATATTGAGAGCTTTTGATTTCAAGTCTTCAAACTCTTGACAAATTTCTTGATTATAATTAAAGTGATACATCTCAAGTTTATTAATAAGAATACCTTTGATCTCATTTATGATATTTTTTAATTTTTCCTTAGCTGTTATTTGATTAAGTACTCCAACATTGTAGTACATATAATTCTCCATTGAATAAACTTTCTCAAGATAACTATTGAATACTTCAATTTGTTCATAATAAATATTAAAATTATAATTCTCTTCAACTAATTTTTGGGTATTTATTTTAGTTTCAGGATTATAAATAAATTCTAATTGATCAGATAATTTATAAAAGTCATCATACATTGGTTTAAATATATTTATTATTATTAATTTCAATTCACTGTGACATTTCATTGTAAACCACTCAGGTATCTTGACATTTAAATTAGTCTGTTTTATTTTTTTATTACCATTTCTTTTTATATAACATTCAAAACAAAGTAAATTTTGAGCAATGTTTTCAATATCAATCATAATTTCATTATAAAAATTAATAATTTGATCAATTGATGGTTCTATAACAAGACAATTATTCTCAAAAACAAGTTGGAAATTTAATTGTGGTCGACATTCAGAGTTCTTCAATGTATCTATAATATTATCAATTGTTTGCATCATTACTGATAGGATTTGTTGAGTAAATAAATTTTCTAAACAATTTATAAATTTAGAATTATTATTTAGAGTAGTAATTTTTGTTGATTTTATTTTTAAAAGTATTACAGTAACCCCCTTATAAAATTTATTCTTTATATCTGTCATTACTATTTTTATTGATTTTTTAATCATGGCTTTCAGTTCTAGCATCTCTAAAACCCCAAAGTCTCGATATTTTTCTAATTGAATAATTGTTTGTGGCAGTATAATGTATGCAGTATTCATAACGTATCTCATTAAGGCGTGGCTTAGTAGATATTTTATTTCTATCGATTTTCGATTACTATAAAATAATATATTTTTATTCCTGTAACTACTTATTGTTGATGAACAACTTGGACTATTTATTTTTAGGGTATTAACATTTTGTTCTTCATTATCATCATCATCATTACTTAATATTTTATTGTTATTGTCATGTATAACTATTGAGTTTATAGCTGTTATCTTCATGTCATCAATGTACATGTGTTTCATTTCTTCCATTAATTTTTTCAACTTACTAGGATATCGACTCTTATATTTGTGCGGGATCAATTTTATTATATTTTTTTCCCATTCCAGTGAAATCCCTATTATTGGTATTTCTTCAGACCAATCACGTAATTTCGATACATAAAATACTTTTGGAAGCTTTGGTTTAAATATCATTGCATTATTATTTTGTATCAATTTTTTTTCTAAACTCTTGGTAAATTGTTGTTTCTCTTTTGCTTTCAAATACACATGAAACAGTTTTTTATACTTGTTGTCATGTTTACGATTCCTGGAGGATTCATATTCACTTTCTACACTCATGTTTAAGAATTTTGCCACACATCAGATTGAAAACAATTCACAATTAATTATTTGTTTGAATAATTTTTTAGCACTCTTCAAGTTGATTGTTATGATTTTCAGTTGTTGAAATACTAAATTTGTTTTATCAATACTTGAATTCAAATCAAATCTCAGTTATATATTTGATGAAACAAGTATACTTTTAGTTCTATTCATGAACTATTATATCAAAGATCGCAATTGTGATTTGCAGATTTTTAGCAAGGAGGCAGCACTTGATAGCATTACTCAATTTACAATTGATGGATACTTATCTTACTGTTACTTCCATAATAGTTGAAGAGTTTGGAAATCGTTACAATCATTTAACACCAGTTAATTCGTCATGATCATAAAAATTTGTCTTATTTATCTGATTGGTCAATTAAGTTTTTATTATATATAAACTAAATATAGACAATAATTATCGCATTGTGAAATTATATTTATATATTTACTTCTAAGAATTTTCTTACAACATATGAGGATTTTTTTATTTTATTTTTGTTAAAGATAATTATTTATTTATCTAACATATAATTTATTAGTATTACTAGAATTAGTGCTAAACTAAATAAATTCGTTTTTTTCTTATTATTTTGTATGTAATCAAGAAAAAAAAAAATTAATGAGCGGATGTGAAAGTGCGTGTAAATGAATTAGTATGAATTATTCTATGATTTGCAACACATGTAATTCACCAAGATATTATATTAACTATTTTTTAATTATAAATTATTTTTATAAATACAAAATATTCAGTAAGTTTTTTTCATTCTTTATTTATTGAAGAATAATATGAATAATTTTTGAGAATCATCTTAAAAGTCAAGGATAACTACAATAAAAACACTTGTTTATATTTAATAACGATCATCAATGTTTTTTAATTAAAAAAAAAAAAAATGATATAAATACAAAATAAGAAAGGCAGGATTTATTTAATACATAAAAACGTACGTATAATATTTTTGTACATAATATTTTTTACGGTACTTGTCGCCAAGTAGTAAAATCTGGATATTTAGAGTAAAAAGTTGTCTCACATTTCGTACCTTTTATCAGATCTTGAACTTTACCCTTAAAAATACGGAAATTTATATCAGTTGGTTTTCGGGTTTTATTAATAGTTTTTTGAAGTCTATTAGTATTAAACCAAAGTTCTTCTTCTCCTTGATAATTTTTAATAACTTTCATACCACTGACATATTGAAAAAGATCTTCATTAATAGCTAATATTTCAATATAATCATATGTAAATGGTTTTTGAATATTCCAACATGCAATAGCTGTCAATTCAACCAGTTGAAAAAACATAACGCCATCTTTTGATATGGCTTGGACACCTGCTTGACTCTGTCGTTTTATGATTGATTCAAATACTATTGGCTCATTGAATTCGTTGTTTTTTACAGAATTTGTTGGTAGAAATTTCTGACGATAACTTGCTAATGAATTGAAATATAAATATCTAGAAAATGAATAAAATTAATAATTTTTAAAATAAAATAAATATAATATAAAAATATAAAATATTATACCTCTCTTCAAATAAATTTAATGGTGTTAAAGCCATTCCAAGAATACCATCAGTCAGATCAAATGATTCACCAGCAATAGTTATATTCATGCCATCCGGGTCAGGTCCAAAAGCATTTCCTTGAGTATTATTTAGCCTCCATGATCGATTTTGTATCAAGTTATATATCACAAGGCCGTTTTCAGAAACATCAGCAACATATAATATTGCATTATTGCATGTACCGTTTACTAGTTCAATAATTGGCGTAACTAATGATGCTTCTCCAAATGTTTGGCTACTTGGGATGATATATTTATGAATCAAACGATCAGTGAATAAATCGAATATCATTATTTTCATAGGGCATATTTTTTTTGACATAACTCTTCCAACATCAACAAGCCACAGTCTATTGCATTCATCAATCTTTAATATACCATTAAACATAGAAAGAAAATAAGAGATATCAAATTTGAGTAAAATATATTTCAATCAATTGATGTGAATGTCATGTTAGTTTGAATTTTATTTAATATTTAAATAATTCATAATAATAATAGAGATAAAATGGAATGAATTGAATATTAAATGAAATTTATATTATATGCTTACCGCAACCCTATAAACAGATATGAGTTTATCACAATCATTGGAAGAATGCCAAGACCAATGTGGATAAGGGGTAAGTAACGGGCCACCTGGCCCTTCTAAATCTGTTACAGTAGATAGAGTAATTGGAGTACCGTCCAACCACTGTGGAGTTGTGACAAATACACGTCCACTTGCATCTACATCTACATCTTGAGTAAAAGGATTCTCAAAAATATACCTTTTGCCTGTGAGAACAACATTTGGCCAAGTCCAATCTATATACTTCCACTGAGAAATTATTTCCAGGTGAGATGAATTTACTAGACTCACTGAACATAATTGTAAAATAAATAACTGCCACTTCATGTTGTTTATGTTCTAGTTTTAAAGATTGTACAAAGTTTAGGTTTAATTAATTATACTTTTTATCTTTTAATTTAATCTTAAAGACTTTAAGTATTGATAAAATTATGATTGCATCGTTGGAACGAAAAATTCTAAATGTCTAAATGTATGATATGTTTTTGCCTTACCACCACTACGTTATATTGCATTACCACTCCTTCAACATACCAATGCCAGTCACTCTTAAATTCAAACTTATACCTTGAGTTTAATGATTCTTAATGGAAAAGTTCTCATGCGATTGAAATAGAATCACATATGATTTATACCTCCTACTTATTACATATTTCAATGTCGTATTCTCAATCTTCAATGATGAAAAATCATAATAAATGTAGAAATATAATAAAACAATTTATTGCTTATAAATTCAATAAAGTTCATTGAATAAAATGAAATAAAAATTGAAATCCAACTGAAAGAAGCAGCACAAATAGGATTTATTTTTATAATAAAATATCAATCAAATTTTATATAATAATAATTATTTTTATTGTAAATAATTATTTATTAGTTAATTACATGTGAAACTAACTCGTTAATTACTTGAAAAAAGATAAGATAAAAAAACAAGAATAAAGTGAAAGTAGACAAGTAGAAATCAATTTGATACAAATGTTGTTTATTTGGTATGCCTTGAATTATTTAAAAATTGTATTAAAATATTTCTTATCGATTAAATGATTTAAATATTAGCATATTGAATATTAATATGATTATTGCTGAAATCTACTAAGCCTAGTAGGTATGTTGTTGATTTGGAAATAAGAGAAATAAATAATCAATCACGTGGAAGAAGTATGAGAAGAAGTACAAAAAGTTGAATTTTTCTTCATTTCTTATTCTTTCCTTTTATTTGAAGTATATTATATAAAAAGATACATCATAAAATAATATAGTAAAAAATTAGAAATTATTTATGATAAAATAGATAAGAACTTTTTAACTGTCTACAACATGCTCAACAATAAATCTAATAATTTGAGTTATTCTCTATCTATTGCTTTTATAACATCGATCTGCTTGAATATCTTAATAATTCAACGAGGGAATGGATGCAAGGCGTCTTTATACTGTAAGCTATTATGTGTTATTCAAATCCACTGATGTTCTTGTATAGTTGTATTATTATGTATTATTTTATTGTACTTTCAACTTTCATTATTATTAGTAATAATTATTTATTTTTTTTTCATTATATAATCAGTTGATTGTTTTCGTCCTCTTTATTTACATTTTAAATGTAGTGTATATGAAAAAAAAAAAAGTTAATTAATTTGTTGAATAGTGAATAAATACTCTTCAATATATGACATAATTCTTTATTAATTTATGATTGAGTGATTTTAAATATTTAATAAATTTTGCATCTTTTAAATAATTATTATTTTTTTTTTTAATATTTAAATTGGTTTTGTTTTTCTATTACAAATGGTATAGTTTTTATTTAAAATATTTTTTTATCTTTAATTTTTCAAATAATGAAAAAATTTTTAAACGTCTTTTCAAGTATACTGATATTTTCCTTGGGATATTAAAAAATAATTATGCATTATTGTATACAGTAAAAACTTTCATTTATTAACATAGAATTTAATTTACTTTATAAAGATGCAAAATTGAATATTTTCAACAAACAAACAAAAAAAAATTATTCTTTCTTTTAATTTATCCTTTGTTTTGATGTCTTCATTTCTTCATAAAGGATGTGTATACATGAAGGAGAAGTACAAAAAATTAATATAATTATGAAAGAAAAGCAAAGAAAGAGAGAAACAAAAGGAGAAAATTAATTATTTTTTTTTTATCAATAATCTTGACTGTATATTTTGCAACTTTATCATCTTCTCTCTCTTTATATATATATATATATAGATATAGTTGTATATGTTATATACATCACTTATGGTCCGACCTGTAGCATGAATTTCTACGTTCAATACCTACTTGTACCTTCCCTCTTGAAACGATCGATAATTCCTGGAGTAGTATATGTATAATCCCAAGAATGCACAATAAACATTTGCAAATCACATTATATTTTTATACAATCTTTATTTTTTATATTAATAATTACATTGATTATGATTAAATAATATAACATAGATTAATTTAGATATAAAAAATAAATGTATCATGAGTACTATAGGTTTAACGTACATGGAATAACTTTCATATGTAAGAGTTTGTGTATATACGTTTGCGCATGCTTACGCTATTATTGGTAAACCCATGTAAGTGTATTTTTACATTGCATACTTGTGTATGGGTTGTCAGATATATACAAATGATTTAAACAAAAAAATTATTGTTCATATGAAACCTTTAATTAAGATATTTATTATATTAAAAAAAAAAAAGCATCAAGCAATCAAGTCTGATACATACAATGTACAAATGATCAACAGTTTATTTGTTTAAAAATTCTCTATTTACATCAAAGTACTGGAAAATAATTATTTTAAATTATAAATTTAAAAAAAAACTGTGATTCAAATGATTTAAATAATTATATTACATATTTTCCAGTATAAAAATATTATTTATATATTTTTTACAAACTACAAAAGCATGGTATATTTATTGCTTTCCAGTACTCAAGTGTTGTACTTTATTGAAGATAAATAAAATTCTGTATTTCAAGTAGGTTTAACGACGGTGTAAATTGAAAGGATAAAAGAAAGTTTTTCCAGCTAAAATTATCTTTCCAGAGGGAAATAAATGTAAAAAAAAAAGAAAATTTTTTTTTTTCAAGTATTATATCATTAAATAACAAAATAATTCCCTATAAGATAAATATTAAACCATAATTTATCAATAATTAATTCCTATATAATTCGGGGCATTCAAGTGATCATTAATGCTTACAATACCCGAAATAAAGTAATATTTCATTTCATTCCCTATATGAAAAATAACTCATGGTGAATCGATTTTTCTTTGTACGGCGATGTGACGTAACAGCGTTGAATCAGTTACGTCACAACCATCAATCCCAAAAGCTTGTAGTGCAATATATAGGATACTTTGTGTCGTTAAAAGCGCTTTGTTGATGTAATGGTATACATGAGAATATTACAAGTACGTATATGAATTAACTGTGTATGTATGTACATATATATATATATATATATATGCATCTATGAGCTGAGTCAAGCTGACAATTTCCGCCACGCGATCACTGTCGCGACATTACTTTTTAGCCCTCACTTGCTGTATTCATTTTTATTTGACTTATACAGAGTTATTGAATACGTTAACTCCCTTGATACAGTATCCACTTTTGATAAAACATTATTTAAGAATATAATTGTAAATAATGGCATTGTATATTTAATAACTTTTTTATATGAATGTAATGCTGTTATAAATGAATATTTTCCCTTTTCTTTAAATATAAAACATGAAATATAATTATTAAAAGATTTTAAAATGTAGAGTCTGCTACTATAAATGTTGTGTTCCTTGTAAACAATAAATATTATTCAAAATGATCTATTCAAAGTAAAGTACAACTTTGCATTAGCGTTTCTGTAAAATGAAAAGAAAAAACAGCTAGAGTATTTTTTTATTTTTATTATAATTGAGATTTGTTATAGAATAATAAAGGTATTTTTATTCTAAAGATTCGTATCGGAAATTTTTCATTTTCACTGTGCGAGTGAATACAAAAAAGTTTGCAATTAAAAAAAAAAAAAAAAATAGCAAACAATAGTTGGTTGTTTATTATTGGAAAAAATAAATGATTATTTATTTTTTTTTTTTTTTTGGTAATTTGATATGAATTAATGGTTGATTGATTAGATAGTAGATGATTGAAAAAATGAGTTAATAGTTGATAGTTATAAGAATAAAATAAGGCGTGATTAAGTAGCAAAACATCTTTTCATACACCTCATGAACGTCACCTACTTTCATCTTACTCATTCTATTTTTTCTCATTTTTAAACTTTTTCTTTCTTACTGTTGCGTCGTCCTTGCTGTTCTATCATCCCTCTTAGTTGTTGTCCCTTTTATTCTCCCCTTACATCTCGGACCAACTGGAGTGGTGGAACAAGAGAGAGAGAGAGATAGAGAGGAGCCGCGAGCAGTTTGCGCACGTTTGATTGGCTGTGAGTGCTTGGGCTTCATCGATACCGGGAGCTGAGGGTAAATGAAAGAGAAAGAGCATCAGTAGGAGTGGGAGAGAGAGAGAGAAAGAAAGAAAATAAGCTAAAGCTTTCAGCGAGAGGGAGAGTGAAAGAATCGAAGAGAGGGTGCGTGGACTTTCGCTTACAGAGTGCGTAGAATCTAGGAGATATAAATGAAGGGGAGAGGTGAATTTTGGGATGAAAAAGGCGACTGAAATGAAAGAAAATAAGGAGGAAGGTGTGGGATACATAACATAAGAGATAAAACGGAGTAAAGAGAAAAGAGGTACAGAGAGAGGTTAAGAGTACATGCGAGGGAAGATTTAGGAGGAAAGTAAGATAATGCAAAGAGAGAAGGAGAGTGAGTAGTAATGGAAGGAAGAGAGAGATGGAATGATGAGGGATAAAATGTGTGTGTGTGTGTATGAGAGAAAGGGTGAGGTTATATTGGTGGCGTAGATGTGAAGATCGGGACGATGTAGAGAAGGGTGTGCGCAAAGGGCGAATGAGGGGTGTTATGGAGGTTGGTGTACGACGTTGACATAAAAGGGTGGGGCGCGACAGAAAAGGAAATAGAATATCATACAGTGAGAGAAGAAGAAAGGGAGAGTAAGAGAGAGAAAGAGATTGCGAGTGAGAGAGGGAGAAAATGAGCGGACGTGATAGCTAGTGGGGGTTGCAAAAGGGAGAGAAAACGAGAGGGTGCGTGTAGGCCTCGAGAATCAGTTGCGGACGAGCTGCATTGAGGGTTCTATCTATAGTTCTCTTATAGTGTTCCGCTGACGTGTTTTATTTTGTACTAACAAACGCGCCTCTTACTTTCTCTCTTACCGCCCTGTGCGCGCGCTTACATATACCAAATAACTATAAACGTTGCTTTTCAAAATACTTGGAGTGCTTTTTATAGACAAACTATAATCAAAAATTACAAACAATTATATATATATATATATATATATATTTGTTAGTTTATGTAGATCGCTCGCTACTAGCTAACTAAACTCATGGAAAAGGGTGTATTTTTGAAATTAACTTGAAAGCCCAACCTTTTTTTAATCTATCAGTTTAATCTTTATATCAATGTATTGTTTGCTTTTTCATCTTTAAAACATAAAATATCCAATTATTTTTTAATCCCACTACCATTTGTGCCAAAATATTATTTTCATAAAAAACTATACACATTTGAGACGTGAACATAATATTAAAAAAAATAAAAAAAGTGCGCGTATACAAATGAGTGAAGAAGTTTGAAGACGTTTTAAGAAAGTCATTCCTGCCGTACTAATTACAACAACGTAATATTTTTTTTTCTTATACACTTGAGACGAGAGGCCGCGCAGAAGCTTCTGCCTTACTCACCCTAACTCGCATCGTTCGTGTTAATCTCTCTCCTCGGCTGGTAAGATCCTGCCGTCCATACCAATGGTTCATATTGTGGAAGTAGTACCGTCGCATCGGAACGACTTTCAAATGGTGAGTCTATTTATTCCCTTGTTTATATACTCCAATTACGCAATGTATATCTCACCTAAACCTAAACCCATTAACTCACTTGCTCGCTAATTTATTTCAAACTCTTTCAAAAAATAAAAATAAAAAAATCATCTCAACACTACCACCGTTAACTATCATCTAGCGGTTTTCTTTTATTTATCTCATCAATGTTTAAAGGATACACTAGCTGACCCACTTTTCTTTCTATTTCTGTATTCTTTACTGTTTACAGTAAAAATATTAAATATCATTTTTTGCAATGTCTATTTGTTGGATGATAAATAAAATTATACGTAAGCGTTATTTAAACGTTCCATGTTGAAAAAAATACTCTTCAATACTCTCAAAACCATTCGATATCGTGAATAATCTTTGGTACATATTTACCCAAAATCAAATACCATGCAGAACTATTTATAACTACTGGTTGAAATCACAAGTGTGTAGATGTACATTACATGTGTTTACGGCCGACAGAAAACACTGCACAATCACTTATTTATAAGAATATTCTTCTGGCTCGTATGTCTAATTTGGTTACACAGTATATCATTTCTTTTCTTCTTTTTTTTTTTTTCCTTATCATGACGGTAGTTTTATTTTTATTATTTCTTCTCCAGTCTTTATTTCCTCTTTCTACTATTCCGACATAATTTTATTACCCATGCTGTAATTGTGTGGGTTTCTCATTGCTCATGGTAATTCGTAATTTATCTTATGCCAATCCCGCTAGTCTTTTTATTTCATTCTTTTCGTTTCTTTTTAACACACACACACATACAGAAAAAAAAGAAAGAAAGAATAAAATAATATCTAGAAAACACCGCTTTTCTCAACTTTATTGTTTGCGGTTGGCTTTTATGTACAGCTGTTGTTGCCAAAGTATATATTTTTTTTTTTTTTTATTTCAATGATTTTGATAAGTTTGATAATTAAGAATGATCCTTGGAGAGAGAAAGAGAGGGGGTGTGGGGGAGAAATTGAACATAGTTTGGCGAATTAAAAGTATTCAATGCGCGTGGTCACTATACTGTCCTGCGCGTTATTCGCGTTAACTTTCAATTTCACCCTACCCCCAGCATGCTACTCTAATGGCCGGAAATTTCAAATAAACGTTCAGTCGATATTCTATTTTTATGCCTGACTTTTTGGGATATGGCAACTAACACAAACACGAATGAGAATTTGTTATATGTTTGCGTAAGTTCTCAAGGTTTTACCAATTTATTTAAATCAATTATAATATCTATCATTTTTAGATACTTTTTAGAGAAAACATAAAACTTCATTTGTTGCTACGAAAAAAAAAACTTGTCTGTATTAACGATTTGACGTAAACGTGATTTATTTCATTACATGTTGAACATCTGCGTCCTAAATTATCAAGCAGAGAGAGAGAGAGAGAGAGAAAAAACCTCAACTTTTATCAATAATTAATGAATAAAATGTTCTACTATTTTTGTTTTATATTTTATTAAATTTCATGATAATAAAAATCTACTCATTGTTTAATGTAGTGCAAAAAAATCTTCAATCAGCTGTAAAATTCAATTCTCACCTGTAAAAGCTCTAGAGTATTTAGAGCTAGAAGAATTTTCACAAAGTGCTATGAAGTAGTATAAAATTTTTAGCATCTTTAAAAATTAAAAATGAAAGAAAAAAAAAAAGAAATGTAAATAAAAAGAAACAAAAGAAAATGAACATAGTAATGATTCTAAAAAGAGTTGAAAAAAAGGAGTAAGATAAGAGCTAATTGCCACTAGTTTTCAAATATTTTTGTGGTAAATCGTTAGTACTGTTGCTTGATTAACTTCTTCACTTAAATTAATCGTACTTTTTTTTTTCTTCTCAAGTATGCAAATAAAAAACATAAATAAAAGTTTGACACTTGACTTGGAAGTTGATCTATACTCTTCAGTGTTGCCAAAAAAAAAGAAAGAGTAGCTACAGATTGGTAGTTTACTTTGATGATGAGTAACAAACATTATTCAGAAAGGTATTCAATGTCTAATTTTAATCTAATAAACGTTTTACATGCAATGATGAAAGCTGATAAATTTCATTCACTGGAAAAAGGGGATTATGGCAACAATCCAAAGTATTATTGAGAAGTGCAAGCTGATAAAACAATGTATTACTATATTAGTATGATTATACTATCACAAGAACTATCTTTAATTATAGTAAAAATGCTGTTAAAGTAGCTATACTGATTGCTGGCATAGACTATTATATATACTTTAAATAGCTACTTATAAAGCTATACTGCTTTTAGTTGAATTCTCAATGGTTAACATCATTATATGGTGTAATTGATACTGCTATCTAACTTTAAAAATACAACAGTAATATTACCACAGCTGTGCTACAAGTGTTTATGATTACAATTTTTCAAATAATGTTACAAAAATTGTTGCTATATTTTTTCTTCCATCACTTTATTATCTTTCAAGTCAACACATAGCAAGTGGTGATGTATCTGACAATATAAGATTAGATCAATTCAAAAATTGGAGTACCTTTTTATAGCATCTAGAAGACTATCTTGATGCAATTTTATGCTTCAACGTTGAAGGTAGTGGATACTTTGTAACAATAACCGACACACAGGTATCAATCAATAAAGATTCATGCAATTAAGAAAGACTAGTATCACTAATGATCAAAGTCTTAATCGTGTCATCAGTGTCCTAGATTTAATGGATAATTATTTAAACTAGAGCCATTGACCATGATTAATGATATTAAATATCACTTTTACAATCAACTTAGAAAGGTTACTTCAGTGATTCTTGAAACTTCTTTTTCCATTATATTAATTTATTTTAATAATAAATAATCATAAAATTAAAATAATTCAGTAACAGTTTAACTTTTTTTTATTTATTATAAAAAAATTTTGATTTAGTTTGGAAAAAAAACTTATCAATATGAGTATGTAGATAAGTATGACGTTTATCAGGTTTCAATTCAGAAGTGTATGATTTGATCAAGTTTCATGCAAAGTTTTACCCTGAAGAGAAAGAAAAATTATTTATTACATTATTTTTTACAACTTTTTGTGATTTTTGATGGATAGTATTAGATAACAAAAAAAGGTTCCTTTTCAACTGGAATAAATATTATTTCTTTTGTTGAATTATTGAGTTGTTTGTTCTACTTCACTTTTTCCTGTATGTAGTAAATTTCAGTATTCTATTAAGTATCAACCAATAACCGCGGAGAATAAAAAAAAAAAAAAATGAAAAGATAAGTAAAAACTATAATCGACGTATCTACTATGTTTTGATATCTGTAGGCACCTCGTTTCCTTGACAACGAGACTAACAACAAACACTTAATGACCGGTACTTGACTAAAACTTTAATTTCCTGGGCAGCCGGACGACACTTGAAGCTATATGAGCTGCCATGTTTAACTATGATGTATATAGATATATATATATATATATATATATATATTTGTTGGTATTATTTTTAAAAGGATTACAATGTCGAGTATGGTTTAATAACAACACCTCGACATCATTTTTCTCTTTTGTTGTCAAACACAATTTTATTAAAATAATTTCAAATTACAAAATAATTGTAAGTTAACTTAATTATTCGTCATTGAATATTAAATAAATATATAAATAAAGTAGTTTTGCAAAAGTCTGATGAACAAAGATTTGATGTAAACTAATTGAAATAAAATTAATAAGTGTGAGTTTTTAACAAATAAAAATTTTAATAATCGTAATTTAATTGTTAATATATTTCTATTATATTAATAGATTATTTTATTTAAATAATTAATGGATTTTCCAACACTTTCTTTTATTTAAAAAATCATTGATTACTTTTGATAAAAAATTAAAATAAACTCCAATTTAATCTTGCAATATTTATCGTCCATCATTTTTTATAAAACATCAGGATACTATAATATTTATTGAAAACGTGGAAAAAAAATGTCTGAGCACACATTTATGTACATCTGTCAGAGAAAGTGTACGAATCATGTTACATTTGATATGAATGTAATTTGTGTACTGAGTTGGCTTGCGTGAGCATTCTTATATTAACTTATTCTTTACCTTAAGGATGATACATAACGTCGAATAATGTTTAACATTTTTCGAGCTGATTTTTATCTAATATTCAGATCAGATATTTTCAAAGATCAACTAGAGCACAAAAAGTATGAAAATATGTGTATTCAACCGTAGATATCAAACGCAATATTTCCCTCTTTGTATTAGAGTACTTTTCTTATCAAGCTATTTTGTATTGTACTCGGTGCTTCTTTAATATCTAATATCTAAGTTAATCGATTAGTCAATTGTATTCTTAGGTGATACTATTGTTAGAATATTTATTATTATTATTATTATTATTATTATTATTATTATTATTATTATTATTATTATTATTATTATTTTATAGAAGTTTTTAGATTTATTTCTTTTTGTTATCTTGATTCTATAGAATATTTATTTAATAGAGAAACTATTTAATTAGTTTGTTTTAATAAAGTAATTAAATAGTAAAAAAAGAAAGAAACAATAATAAACTCATATTTCATCTCGATATTTATTTGTATTATTTTTTTTGTTGTTGCAGATGAATCGTCCTATTCAGGTGAAACCGACGGATAGTGAAAGTCGTGGAGGTAAAAAATAATTAAACATTATTATTATTATTTTATATAAAAGTTATTATTAATTTTTCATTCGTTACCGGTTTCGTGAATTATATACGAAAAGATAATACATTTATTCTTATTTATTTATAATTAAGTAAATATTTCAAATTTAAATAAATTTAATTTTTATTTTATTTTATTATTTTTTTTTTTTCTACATTTTGTGTTTTACATAAAACTTTAAGTAATTTATGTATATCAGGTGATTGATAAAAGTTTTACATATGTTTTTACTCTATTCTTTAAGTTATAGAGTAAAGAATGCTATTTATACTATCATTTTAAAAAGAATATTTTCATTGTATATAAAAAACTTTTAATTCATAAAGTTATTTTGAAAAGCTATTGTAATAACTTCCGGTTGGTTAATTCACGAATATTATTCGTGATTTTCAGGCGAAAATTGACGGAATAAGAACGATCCTAAATCCCCTGTTTTTTTTTCATATGCTGACGAAAAAAAAGTTAACTTGAATGAAATAACATTTTTTTTAAGAGTTCAATGCAATGCAAATATTAATGATATGATACGTTTATGCTGTTTTAAATTACGATGATTTGATCGAAAAATTTAATAAGAGTTTGAAATAAAAATCTAGGAAGCCAATTGCTGATGAATTTTCTGGATGAAAGGTGAAAATGAACCATCATATTTAAAAAAAAAGAAAACTAATGATTATTCTATAAATATCTAAAAATAAATTAAAACGATCTAAAGTTAATAAAAAATCATGCAAACTCTTGTATTATTGATTGCCATTACTGCCGTGATTCATACATACGTTTTCAATCAAATAACTGGAGTAGATTAAAATAGATAGAAGGGATAGAAAAGGTCAATGGAAAAGAGAGAATAGCATAAATTGGATGACAGCAAACATAGTTATTTGGCCTATAAAGCCATTTTTGTATCTGTTCTGTATTCCAGAGTGCATGATGGACGCCGGGAGCGCCTGTGCCATCTTCTGGAAGTAGGAGGCACCGGTGGCGGCTGCTGAAGGTAACTTCGACTTCCAGGAGATAGCTAGCTTCCTTTTATGATATAAAACCCTACAATTGTCTTTTTATTATTACAATTTTTTTTTTATCTTTGAACTATTTTTATTTCCTGTGACTGCTATTTTTTACGGTGAAAATTTTTACATTAGCTACTTTATCTTATATGCTTGTTTCATTCTTTTGCCAAATAACAAGCAATTCTCCAGTATAAAAGTCTAGAATATTTACAGGAAATTCATCCTGTTTTTCTTTTCTCTTTCTTGAGCAACAATCTTTTCTATTTTCTTTTGACCATTTTTTTTTTATTACACACACGCACCATTTTAGATTCTCACTGATGATTTAAATGCATCGTATCTTTTTATGAATATTCATTGAAATTTTTTTCTTCTCACTAGAGAAAGCTAAATTATTTCATCAAGTACTACTTGTTTTTCTTTCTTAATATTAATACACTAAACATTGATAATTATATAGCGTCTGAAGTTTATAAACAATTTATTTAAATAAAGAATTATTAATAGTTGAGTAGAATCACAAAGCTTTTACTAGTTTGGTTTTTTAATTCTTTTTAAAATCCCTTTTGAGTTAAAAAATACAAATACTTGCGAATAATAAAGAAGGGCCAAGTAAAAGTAATAGTAACAGGTGGGATAAACAATTAATTGTTAATTAAAATAGTTAATTATATTAATTATTTCGCTATACCCTCCTTTTGTTTAACAATTATAGAGAAATTTATGATTGGATTAACATTACTTAGACAAGTAATTTATTTATAAAAATTGTATATTTATTGTTTTTTTTTTTCTATCATTCTTTGTTCCCTAACTCCGAAAAAAGATTCTAATCGTAGCTGGCTCGTTCAATGTAATGTTGTCTCGTATTTCGTTTATGTTTTTTTATTCATTTATTAATTAATTTTTTTTTTTTCGTTATTGTATAATATGAATACACATAGATACACAAAAGCACACATATGTATTTGCTGTATATAACTCTTCAACTTTGTTCATTAGACCATCTAATTTGTAATTATTTTATATAATGCTATGATGAGCGAATAAAGGAATGATGAATTATTTGAATTTTATTTGTGAGAAATGAATTTTACAATAAAACTATACTGAAATCAAAGAAAATTAAAAATAACAAAAAAAACGGTGGAACATAAAAGATTTTGCTTTTGTTTATTAATAAAAAAAAAAAGAAAAAGTAAAGTCTTTGTAACAAAACAATGCGATAAAAATTTTTTTTTTTCCTTTTTTTTTAGAATACGTTAGATTGAATGGAATCAATACTTACTATAAGCAATATTTACTACATTCAAACAATTTGATATCATGTAAATAAATTGACTCAAATTTTTTTCTCTCAATGTTCATGTTCGATATCAATTCAAATATTAATAGAAAAGTAATAAAATAAATTAAAAAAAAAGGTAATATTATATTTGAGAAATGAAAATATAAAAAGAGGAAAGGTGACATGAATTTGATTAAAGTATGACTAAGCTTATATTTATCGTCCCTACGGTCGTGATAATTAAGATTTCTAAAAGAAATAAAAGATATTTATTTGATATTTAATATTGACATAATGTAATAGTAATAAAGTAAATATGTAAAGAGATATATCAGATACGCACATCATGCTTGTCCTCTAATATTTTTCCTCCAGGATTGCGCTGATGTTTTAGTGTTATTTGTCGTTTTGGTTGTGTTAGCCACAAGGTTTATTTTTTATTTTTTACATCGTATAATTATTATTTTATCTTTAATGTCCCTAATATTGTCGTTTGTTTCGTCAGTCATGTATATTATGTCATTTCAATATTTTCCCGTCGTGTTTTAACAGACGTTGTTTTTCTATTATCGTTGCATTTTTCAATTATTGTAATAATCATTATTAAAATGTATGATTAATGATTAATTTTTTTCTGTTCCCACAATGCTTGATCACTGCAGATAGAAAGCTGTTTGTAGGAATGCTTAGTAAGCAACAAACAGAAGACGATGTTCGACAATTGTTTACTGCCTTTGGTACAATAGAAGAGTGTACTATACTGCGTGGACCTGACGGAACTAGTAAAGGTAACTAAGTAGTACAGGTTTAAATTAGGGTAAACAGATCAATAGATATACCTTTAAATGCTCTTTAAAATAAAGTTTAAAATATTATTATTTTAACACTACTAAAAAACTATATTTTTATTTATTTCATTCTATTGATCTGTGTAATTAATTAATTATAATTATTTTTAATTATTATAAATTGAATAACAAAAAGAAAAACACAATTAATGATGTTTTTTTTAGAAAATTTTTAATTAATCCTGAAAATAAGCAATCCAATAAATAAATCAAAACTTAAGCCTTTGAAAGATTAGAAATTTTTGCAATTTATCAAGCAGAAGCTCATCTTGCTCCGTTCTCCCCTAATTTATTTGTACTCCAATCCAATTATCAGTCTTCCTCTCTCTCTCTCTCTCTCTCTGTTTTTTTCATAAAATAGCGAAAATATAATTGAAATATAGCGTAAGAATTTTTTTTTGATGCACGTGTATCAACGTTGTACACTTTACATGGCATTGAGCCAAGTATGTTAACATGAGGGTGGTCGTGAAAGTAAAGAAGGAAGAGAGAGATAAAGGGAGAGAGAGAGAGAGAGAGAGATTTATTTACTCCATGCTTGCAATAGCTGCTACTACACACATACACATGCATGCAAGAATCTCTCTCAAAATTTCCCATGTTTGAAGTACATACATATCAAACACAGGCACATATGCTACTGGCACATGGCCAACATTGATGTGTCAAATATACAATGCTAGCAAGCACTTTGCATTTGTAAACATGCGTCAACATCAACGACAGTTTCACACCTGTATGGTTCCTTTCGAAAAAAAAATCATTCACAAATGAGTTTAAATAAATTAATGAAACTTTTTTTTTTTAAATTATTTATAGTTAATCCTTTTGCTCTTTTTTTTTTTAAATTTAATCGCTATTTTTATTAATAATAATAATAATAATAATAATAATAATTGTGTACGTGATTTTATTAATTTTTTATTTAATTTAAAATTTATTTTAAAATAATTAATACTTTGAATTAAATTTATTTCTCATCTGTTTATTCATTTATTGTTTCAGGTTGCGCTTTCGTAAAGTTTCCATCACATCAGGAAGCATTAGCAGCAATTAATTCTCTTCACGGCAGTCAAACTATGCCGGTAAGTTTTGTTTGATGAAAAATATTATTGTCAACTTGATAATTAATATATTTTATTCATCAAAAAAGTTATATATTAATTTGTATATTGATATATATATCTTAGTAAAAAAAAAAAACAAAAAAAAAATTTTTAATTAAAAAATTATACCTTATCTTTTTATCATCATTCAACTTTATGCTCAACTATGCACTTATAAGTACTCTGTTATACGAGCTCTTATGAAGAGTACATGATAATGATTTTGAGACAAATTTGCTGTAAGTTTTCATATTTAACTCTGTCAGGGAGCTTGTTAGATTCTTTTTCGGTATAATAAAAATTTGAAAAATGTATTTCGAAACAAATTGAGGTTATTTTTTTTTATAAAAAGAAAATTTATTCAATTATTTGATTTTAATTATCAAAGTATTTTATATGAATCTAGAAATACCTTCAAGCTTTTAGAAATAATTTTAAAAGCATCCTACGGTCCATTTTACATATCAGTGGGTCAAGGTTTTTTGATAGCCAATATTCTCTATATTGCTTTAGCGTGTAAGATAAAATATGAAACATTTAAATTAATAATTACTTACTATTTTTAACATAAAATTATACCTTTACACGGCAATGTTATTGTAAGTACATTTAAATAGTATTTACACTGATGATATGAATATAATATATATAACTTTGCTTACGACGACAAGAGTTTTCGTACATGCAACTACTAGGAGCCAAGCTTTTCTACATTATTGTTACTGACCACCTGTTGCTAGCCCATTTATATTTTAGACGCCTAACTGATTGTATATTCGGACACTGAATCGTTTTTATTATACGAGTGATTTTCAGTTTATTTCAACTAAAAAATCAAACCCCTAATGATTTTATATGAATAACTTTTGAATAATTAAAACCTTTAGAAATGTTATCCAAGGTCACTTACCAACTCTCAATCGACCCTTCTTAATTTTTTTTTAATGCATTTACATTTATTGACGTTATCACCACCTCAAAGAAAACCATGAAAAAGGGGAATAAAGTGGTTACTTCTTTTTTTTTTTTATGTGCGTGTAATCATATTTTGTGCTGAGTAATTGACACTTAGTCAATAATATCATTCCCTTTGAGTATTAAATCTGAATAATGAAATTGATTTTTGTTCCAGGGTGCCTCTTCTAGTTTAGTAGTAAAGTTTGCTGACACAGAAAAAGAAAGACAACTTCGACGAATGCAGCAAATGGCTGGTAATATGAGTCTACTTAATCCTTTTGTCTTCAACCAATTCGGGCCTTATGGTGCTTATGCTCAAGTAAGTAATTATCAATATATCATCAATGTTGATAATATTCATTTGAATAATTCATATCATACATATAAAAATTGCGTAATAGCCTACCATATGACCAAGTTATTTGAATTATCTAGCAACAAGCAGCATTAATGGCCGCAGCAACAGCCCAGGGAACATACATAAATCCAATGGCAACACTAGCTGCTGGACAGCTACCTCATGCTATTAATGGCATGCCAAATCCTGTTGTGCCACCAAGTTCTGGTATGTATTTATTAGGTATATTATTAAATATTCATATATATATATATATATATATATATATATATATATATATATATATGTATTAGGAGAGATTAATTAATTATTTATTTGTTAGCTAATAAATTTTTAGGCAAATTTGTTGAAAAGATATGAAAATTAAAAAAAAACTTATACCAATCAGGTCTGGTCGTAGGTTCTACGGGTGCTGGTCAAGCAGTAAATGGTGCAATACCATCATTGCCATCACCTACAATGCCAAATTTCAATATGGCAGCACAGACACCTGCTGGAGCTGCAGCACCTGCCTCTGATCCAACTGGAGTTTACACTAATGGCATGTCCCAAACTTATCCGGGACGTGAGTATCAACTCTGGCGCATAGTGCCGCCCCTGCGCATAGACTAGCCAATCCACGTGTTATCATTATTATATTCTATAATAGTTAATCAAAAATTACAAGATTAACATACATTGATCGTAATGCATACATATAATGCAGAATAATAATAATAATATTTTGAGAGTTATTTTATATAAAATGTATGAATAATGTTTGAAAATGATTGATTTTAATCAATCTATATACATGTGAACAAAGCTAGTAATATGCTATGGGGCAATTATATTAGGATATGAAGTTGACCCCGATAAGACCTGAACTTACTGAAGTGTAGATACCCTCCATTTAACTATTCCAGCTGCAGGTGGTCTATCGAATGGCGAGGGCACTGCTCTACAGCACGCAGCTTATGGCGTACAAGCATATGCTGGTGTAGCTGGTGAGTTTTTAGCTTTTAATTACAATTTAATCAAGAAGCTTGGCCAATAACATGATGAGAATATGAGTTCAACATGAATTATAGTCTGGGACAAAAAATTGAAACAACAAACTGTTGGATAAAATATATTTCCAACAATTAAAAAATAAATTATCATACTAACCAGCTTCAATGACGCACGCATTTTTTATTGAAGTATTTTTTCAATCTATACTCAATGTCAAATCAGACAGACTATTTTATTTTTGATAGACAATCAAATATATAACGTCATAATATTATGAATAAAATAATTTTTTCATTCAATTTTAAGGTCATTTGATGATTATTTTTTGTCTGATATTTCAGTGTGAATTTTTTCTAATATTCTACATTAATTTCTTTATAAATATCACACTCTATCGATTTTATTTATATCATGATAAGCATGAATATGTTTATAGTAACTATAAAAAGATAAATATTAAGAATAAAGTTATTAAATACCGTACACTTTTTCAACTTCTTACTTCTCATTATTTAAAAATTATCAAGTTTATGATGCTGGAACAAAGTGAAGTTAATTTGAGTTAAAAGTTTAATTTTATTTGTTGAAGAAGAAAGATGAGTTGTTCTACAAATTTAATTTGATGTTTTCTTCTGAAAAATTGTCTTATGATCAAATAAAATAAAAATGTTCTAAGATAAAAATAAAATCATCTATAAAATTCAAGATAATAAGTATTTTTTTGTAAATTTCATTTATTTCACTACATCTATTGTATCATATTTTTTTATTTTTATTTTTTCTAATATTGTACGGTATTTGTTAACTTTATCCTACATAAATGTTACAACACTAGTCTGCAGAAAAATCAAAATTTCTTACGCTTTTAAAACTTGAAACAGACTTTGTTGCAGATCAGTGTACTCAATAAATGTACGTTTTAAGTTAGATTTTGGATATGTTTAGTCGTGATTTTTATATTAAAGTGTTCAATATATACGTGTAGCACATTATTATTACATACACTTATTGTGCTATTTATATAATTAATATAAAACTTTTCATGATATTAACAATGAAAAATTAACCATTACAAAATTAATTAAATTCAAGTGATTCAATTGAAGCACATGATATTTTGGTTATGATCAAGAAGATCAAAAAAATTTTAACTAAAAATTAATAAATAAAAAAAGCATGTTTGCACGAACTTTGGAGTATATGTCATTGTTTTATCATGTCATTATTATTTGTTATTGTAGCAGCTTATCCTGCAGTCTACGGTCAGTTTCCTCATGCTATTCCTCAGCCAATGCCAGTAGCACCAACGCAACGTGAAGGTAGGTATTTTATATATTAACTTTTTTTTTTAGATGTTTATTGTTTACTTAGTATTAAATTTTTATCCTGGATTTTGTATTGACATTTGAAAGAAAATTCACTCTATCCTTCAATTACTACTACTCTAAATAAACTTCACAACTTTTTCAATTTTTAAAGCTATTAATTTCAATCAAAATTTAATTATTATTTATTTAAACAACAACAATTATAATATTTTATCGGTTTAAATAAGATTTAATTTTTCTTTTCTCATACTGACTCAGCAATAAATTATTCAATTATTTGAAAATATTAAATTCATTCAGGCAAATTTAATTGACATTTGTCATAAAATTGTGAAACAGTCCTAATAGAAAAGAACGGACTGTAATTTTTTTTATATCAATCATATTAACATGAGATGCCCATAAATAATATGATAGTGAGTTTTTTTTTTATATTATTTAAATTATTTGACAGTAATAACTGGAAATAAAAAAAAAAATTGGATCTTTTTCGACTTTATTAACATAGTAAAATTCCACTACGTATTCTTCTAGCTTCTAGATTTGATGGAAAAATTTTACAAGCCGTTTTGAGGTCAAAATCTTGATATCTTAAAAAATAATAAAACCATATATCTTATTATGATAATAATGATAATAATAATATCTAATAAAAAACAAAAATTTACAGTAATTTATAATTTATTCAAATAGTTTTATCATTTAAATAAAAAGTATTCTCGTTCATTTTAATATATATTTTTCTTCAACAATAAATTATTAATATTGCTTATTAAATTTTTTAAAATTACCAAGTCCATAAAAAAGTTCTAAATTTTATTGCAAAATAATAAAAAAATTATTTTTCATGACTTTTTTATTATTTAGTGAGATAATATTTATTGTTGTTATCATTCTTATCTTAATTTTTTATCTTTTTAAAAATTTTAAACAGTTATATAGTGATGATAATATTATTTTAGGATACTAATTAATCAACATTATGAAAATATTCTTATGATGAAAAGAGTATATCAATATAGGTAACAATCAGATAACTTGTTGTCATTAATATCTTTTAAAGTAGGATTTCATATTTATGGCAATCAGTTAATGTGTTTATTGTTGCTTTTGAAAATGACCTTTTTATGTATATGTGTTTGCTGGCTGCTCAGAAACAGATATTGCTATACCTTATTAGTTATACTAGTATTGTGAATTAATATAAATATGTTACCAGTCAGATTGCCTTAATGCGTCGATATTTAAATGTGACACTTGTATATTAATGAATATTGTTATTAAGTATATCAATTAATATGGTATTTATTGCTGAGTTTTGTTGTTTTGATTATCACCCAGATAGGTTGGACAAATTTCGTATCATTTTCCAATAACTCTTGTGTAGTTTATTTCACAATTATTTACCTTTGCAATTATTTTATTTCTTTTATCGTTCAAGATACTCTTTATTCTCTTGAGTAAATATATATAAAAAAAAATATGTATATACATATATATAGTTCAAGGACTTTTTATTAATTTTTTTTTTATTTTTTTCATAAGAAGTCCATCTCTTTATTACAATACACATTTCTATTAAAAGTTAAATTGAAGTTTTTATAGTAATTAACGATAAAAAAAAAAAGAAAAAAAATTGGTAGAAAAATTAATTATCGAGTAAAATGTTTTTAAAATAAAAGTTGAATGATGGAATAATTTTTTGAAATAAATAGAAGCATATTGATTGAAATCGGTTGCTCCAAGAAGGCATTTAGTATGTCTTTAATGATAATAAAAAATGAGCCATCCATCATTTTCGTGCTAAAAATATATATTTTAATACACACTAGTTGCACTCTTGAAGCACCATATTTTATAATTAAAATTGTTACTTTATGAAACATTTATTGATTGAAGTATACATTTGTTCAATTAAAATATTTAATTTATTTTTATGTATTTTAAAAGTAAAGTAAATAATTGCACATTACTTTTTTTTCATTATTGATTGTTACTTCTTATTTATTTTTAATGATTTTTATCTTTATTATTTTTATTAATATAATATTATTATCATATTTTTTCTCTGTATATTATTAAAAGTTTTATATTTAGTTTGTACATATATATCTTCTATGTTTATGTGTTTGTAAGCAAATTAAAAGTATAAATACTCAATGTTGATAAAAATGATAGTCAATGAAATTTTATCAAAAATAATAACAAAAATGAATTAAATCATATTTATATAATAAGACTCCAACGACTGCAGTACAAGTTTACTGCTTAAATTTCCTTTTTATTTTTCCGCCTTCCATATTGTAATCAATTCATCATTGCTATTTATTCATTGTAAATGTTTTTTTTTGTTTTCATTTTCTATTAACAATATAACAACCTGATTGATACTTTTATCCATTATCATATTTTTACTGAACAATTTCAGTTAAACTTTTTTCATTTAATTATTTTTACAATTGCAGTGAAAAATTGAATATTAATTTATTTGAATTATTTTTAATATAAATTCTTGAAAAATTTCAACTTTATAAAATGTTGAAAATTTTTTACTGCAATAAATTCCAAACAAAAACTAACACAATATAATAATATGACATAATTTTTACTAAATTTTTAATACAAATATAATGATAATCAGGTTACAGAATATTTATAAAACTCTTTATTAAAATAAATTAAATTAAAATGATTATATGGAATATGGCTCGGCGGTTTGGTACAGGCAGTCCGCGAGTTATTATGAATATTAAATAAATAACTTTTGGATAATTGACAATTGATAATGAGCAACAGTTTAAAGAAAAAAAAAAAAATCAATAATTTTGGTGACTTGAGTATTATACTTTAAGTTTAGACGTTTAGATGTGCTCTGATTTAAATGCTAGGATGCTCTATGTCAGGACCTGAGGGCTGCAACCTATTCATCTACCACTTACCCCAGGACTTTGGAGATACCGAACTTATGCAAATGTTTATTCCATTTGGAACAGTAATTTCATCGAAGGTTTTCATCGACCGTGCAACTAATCAAAGTAAATGTTTCGGTGAGTAATATATTTTTTTAATAAACAAATTATAATTATAATTGAATCTTAATGTATTGTAGAACATTCAATATTAGTGATGACAGATGATTGTGCTTGCAGAAAATCTATTAGAATATTTTATTATAATTTATTTCAATTTTATCTTTAAACTTATTCTTTACATGTTATTAATTTATGTTTTTAATTCAACACTTTACAAGAATTTTATAAATATCCTCTTGTCATTATTATCAGGGTTAGAAGGTCTGATAGTGAAACTCCTTTGATTCAGGTAGTCTTTGTAGAAAATGTATTCAATCATGGCAATACTATTTATCTAGGCCATTAAATCAGGTTGATCCTTTTGAAGATTCAAATGTTAAAAATAGTTTTGATGTTTTATATTAAAATGCTGACTACAGAGATTGAATAATTATAGGATATTTTACATAAATTGAAAGCTTGGTCCTGCTTTTTTACTGTATAAAATTTTGTCTTTTCTTTGAGCACAATATCGATCTGTCTTCACTTCATTGAAAGGGGTTGTATGCTGCAACCCCTCAGTATCTATCTAGGGCTGAGCAATTTTATCTCCGAGGCAACTCGGCAACTCTGTGTTACTATCTCTGACTATCCATAGCTTCGCATATTATAACTACTTTGAAACAAATAATCGTTCAAGGTTTCTACGATAAAGGATGTCAGGAAAAAATTCAAAAGAAATTTCGAAGGGTAGATGATGAGGAATTTTATCATGTTCAAGAGCTTCTGCTCTGAATTCCACATATTTTATCATTTATTTTATTTTTAAAAAATGAATAATGATCTCAAAAGAATACTTTAAATGATATTTATAATTCATTTTCTAGTATGTTGATTTATATTTTTATTTATAGGATTTGTATCATTTGATAACCAAGCGAGTGCACAAGCAGCAATTCAATCGATGAATGGCTTCCAAATAGGTATGAAGAGGTTAAAAGTACAATTGAAGAGGCCCAAAGATTCTACAAAACCATACTAACTAATGTGCTGCTAGTCTAAATAATATAAACGGGTCGCACTATTGCTACTATAAGGTTCAAAGTAAGTACCACTTGAGTATTCAGTTTATTATTCAATTCAAACAGGTTACTGACAGGTATACCTTGATCCAATAAATATCAAGATATCGACTAAAACTTTAAAGTTATATCGTGTAACTGTCGGGATTTTACAATAAGATGTTGATATTATATTATCCAGATTTTAATGAATATTTCAAATTTGAACTTGATCTAGATATTTAAAATTAATTTTCTTCATTACTTAATCACGAAAAAAGAAAAAAACAAATAGTTTAAATGTATTTTAATTAGATTTATTTTAATTTTATATTGATTTATTATTAATCATGATTATTTATTATATTTTTTACAGACTGAATTGTATGACAACGCGTATCCATGAAAAACTATATAGGTAATCAGGGATAAAGAGCGCAAATTCTCGTCTTTAACGCTCTCTCTTACTCTTACAACTTAATTTAACATACTAGATAGTTAATTCTCTAGAAATTAATTAGAAAGTGTCAAATATAAGAATGTAAGACTTCATCGCTACTGCAGTCGAAAATGGTGCATGAAATTCATACATAGAAAATTTATTTCATGACAAAACTTTTATGCTAGGAATTTGAAAAAAAAAAAAAAACATGATACACATTGTTTGGATAAGACAATGATGGTATCACTCACAGAACTGAGACGAAAGAAATAACGCATAAAATAATAATAATCATTAAAGACTATATACATATAAATATATATATATATATATATATTTCTCCTGTCTAATAAGTATCAGTAAAATGAAAATGAATGACATCAAAAGTCAGATAGAAAATTAAATGGTATACATAAAAAAATGGAGTTATAAAGACAGGACCATTATTTTAAATTTAATACTAGTCAATATTTGAAATTACTCTCTTAATCATATACACATAAAAATAATTATACACAAATTTTGTGTATACATATATATATATATATATATACACATGAATAATGGGAAAGTCGAGATAGTAGGTTTTATATGCCGCGATGAAATCAAGTGGTACTACTTTAATTACAGTACCTTTTTATAGTTTATAGAGTTGGTAATTCCCAAAAAATAAAAGTGATTTTTTCAGAGTCACAAACTCTGGTAAGGATTTCGTTAAAGTTTGTTACGCGAGAAATTGAAAAAAAAAAAAAAAGTAAACAATAGTGAAAAGATCAAGTATGAGGTGATTATATAATTTTGCGCAACGACATTCAAGAAAATGTGATCTAGTCATTAGAGGGAATAAAAAAAAAAAAAAAGTTGATTCCCTTATATGGGAAATATGAAAATGCAAAAATACAAAATTTAACTTTTAACTAAATAGAAAATAAAAATAAAAAAAAACAAAGTGTAATATTGATAAACAATTATTAGTAAGAACGTGGAATGGCGTTAAAGTGACATGAAATTGAAGACGTACGCGCGCGTTCGCTCGATCGATCGAACCTTCAGCAGGGATGTGTCATCAACAACAATAGCAACAACAGCAACAACTACTGGAATAAAGAAAGAAGAAGAAAAGTAATGGAATGCATATAATGAAATTGAAAAAATTTCAACTCCCTCATGCTCGCGCAAATATATATGTATATATATATGTATGTATGTATGGATGTATGGATGTATATGTATATATATATATATACACACATTAACATATATCGAAACGCTGTCGCTGTAGCGTCTTTATGAAAATGCCTACCAGGCTGTGACTGTAAAAGATCATGAATAAATAGATATCTTTTTTGTACACGTAAATTTTGCGGTAAAAAAGTACAACCGTCGAACAAAACACCGGTCAAGAAAGTCTTTCTCAACTTAATTCTAAATATGACTCGCGCCACAACATAATTGATTCATATATATACGAAATGTCATGGAACTGAAGTACTTTCAAATGAAATTTTATCTAGTCAACGTACATTAAAAAATATTATGTTTATTTTTTATACAAATTTTATTTTTTTGAGTATTATTTAACTTTTTTCATTGTACTCAACACAATATACGTCCCGTCCAATTGCGCTTAGGCCGAGTCGACGTAAAAGATATAATCTAAAATAAACAATACACATTACAAATATAAAAGAGATTTTAAGATTTAAAAATTTTCACATATTATTAATGAAGCGTTCGATCGCGAACGAACGGTAGAAATGCGACAACAGTAGATGCCGACTGAAATGGAGTTTAACCAGACAAAATAAATCTGGTTATATGAATTAGATAAAAAATTATAAAAGTAAAAAAAAAAAAAATTTTAAAATAAATTATTCTGACACGAATGAGAATGAGAAAAAACAAAATACAAGTACCAATTATTAATATTAGTATCAATATATAATAAAAATTAAAGACATACATATATAAAATATACATATAATATAATATACATATACGAATATAGAATAGTATATTATGATAGAATAACGATTTAGCAAATTGATCATTATAGTTTTACCAAGTATAGAATATTAACTATTATTATTAGGGATACTTTGATATAGGTATTGAAATGAAAAAAAAAAAATAATAATATTAGATAAATGAAGTATATTAAATTAATAAGTTATCAATTACAATTATGTTGCTGGAAATTCATGATCTAACATTTAAAACAAAAAAAACTATAAAAAAAAACATTTATTCTAACACGTATTCCTGCATATTGTGCAGTTTTATGCAACATAGAATTTTGTTATGAATCACGTACAATTTACGTTGGATTAAACAAAAAAAAAATGCTTGCAGATAAAAAAAATTTAACCGTAATTATTTTTTATGTGTACGAGAGAGTGAAAAAGCCAAAGATAATAAGAACTTAAATTAATTGTTCTTACAACTATAAAATTAAAATTAAATAATAATAATAATAATAATAATATTAGTAATAATACTACTACTAACAATAATAATATAACGATAATAAAGATGTATCGGAAAAAAAAATAAAATAATAACTTTAGACAATTTTTAAAAAAAAATAAAAAATAAAGCGTTGATAAAACGCTAAGAAAATAAATAAATAAAAATCATTGAACACGGTTGGTGCATAGATTTTTTAAGAGTATATAAAAGAAAAATAAAAGAAGACATTTAAACAAATTACATAGGATAAAATTAATTTAAAGAAAATGCAATATTTATTGCAATCTGTGAAAGAGGAGAAGTTCCAACAATTATTGTTAAAATAACGAGATTGTTATGAATATATTGTTCTATATATTCATTATTCTCGTTATTCTCGAATGATTAGGATAATACATATAATATGAAAAATAAATGCATCATGAAAATGCATAAAAATAAATTATAAATAAATGCACGGATTAACGAAAACGATTTTTTTTTCTTTTCTATAATATACACTTGGTTAAATGATAAATTATTTCAGGCTTGGAAAAAAAAAAAAAAACATTAACTAATAATTTTAAAAAAATAGAGTTTGAGATTAAATTTCTTGCAGAAGGACATTGAATGATAATTATAGGAATTGACTAAAATGCATGGAAAACGATTACATCGTTTACCATTCATACACATACACACACGCAACACTGGATAAACTTAAATTTTATGATTTCTGTTCTAAAAAATCTATGAAATTTTAATATATCATTATAATATAAGCTTTTTGAAAATATAATAATAGTCTAATAATAATAATAATAATAATAATAATAAAAAAATAATAATACTAATAATAATGATAATAATACTAATCATACTATAATATCCATTACGATGCTAATGTCAATGAAATCAAGACGTACAACGTAATTTAACGTCAGTTATAAATATATATATATATATATATATACATATATAATAAAGTAAAGAGTAATAACTCCAAGTCTGGAAAGATTAATATTAAAAATAATACTAGTAATAATAATAACAATTGAAGATAATAATAATAATTAATGAAATACAAGCTTTGGATTTATTTTTACATAGTAATTGATGATAATAATGAAATGAACGATGGATTTGTCAATTGTATTTTGAAAAAAATACATGTGGCAAATTTGTCTATGTAATATTCGTAAAAAAAAAAAATTAAACCCGTGATGGATAAAAAAAAACCTCACGCTGTGTTCAAATTTGTGCTATATACAACATATATTAGAACACGAAATGGTGCAATGTAAAAGTAAAACAATTTGAGTTTTTTCTCTAATTTTATAAATTTGCACAGATTACAACCATAAAATCTTTCCATCTTCTGGCTGGAGAAATAGTTTCTATTTTTGAATATTTATTTTGATCCACAATGGAAATTTTTCGCATTTTTGATTGTTTTTTTAAGTACATATACCTCATTATTAAACTAACGCTTAGTACAATGTGATCAAAGAGAACATAATAAAATTAAACAACTGATATTCTCATCACAAATATCTGTGCTTATGGTTATAGAATAAAAAATTTTCGTCCTCCCGAAAAGTAATACGTATTTGAAATTTTTTGAAATAAAATAACACGCAGTATGTAAAATCATATATATATAAAAAATATAAAATTGGAATGCTTGAAAATGTAGCAGAAAAATTATAAAAATTGCGTGTAATAATGACTATAATATATATATGCATATACAGAGATCTTGTATGATTCAAAATGAGAGACAAACATTGCCCAATTTAATCGAGTTATACATAGATATATGAAATTCGACTTGAGTTTTATGTATAAGAATATTGCAATATAGCCATGGCCGAAATTTGCCAATTTAATATATTCTTTAGGCTATTTTAGGAAACAGGGTATATTTTGCAATTATTTCATTTTAAACATGTCTTGTATACATAGTGTAAAATGGTTTTCATTAAAACGGTTTTAATGAAACTCATACCGTCTGTTTACACAATTACAAAATACTATCATTACAATAGTTGATAAATATACCATATTTGAATACATAAACATAATCAAAAAATTATTCATTTGGTCAGTTTAGATTAATCATAAATATTACTTTTCACAGTCAGGCTCAGTATTCGGTGTCCGAGATGCCTCTTGAAACTAAAAAATATATCTCGAAAATAACAATCATTTTATTTGACATTTTTTCTGTCTTCTGCACTTGGTCTTTCAGTATTTTTTATTTTTTATTTTTTTTGTGAAATAATAATGACAAGTGAATATAAAAAAAACTCAGAAGCCAAAATCTGCTTGTATATAAATATATAAAACGAAAATTGTCATAATTATGAATATGGCGAGAGTCTTTTTAAATTTTATAAATTAATTTATAACTTTAACCGGACAACGAAGCTATCTAATACCCTGACTGATTGATTAAACAGTTATGCATAGTTAAATTATTTGTTTTATTCATTTTGATTTTAAAATATCATTTGTAAGAAATGAATAAAGAATCATTTTGTCAATAAGATCTGAGAATAGAAAAACTCTGTTAAAGAAATTGGCACGATAATGACATATCTCGCGTAAAACGCAAACATTGAACAAACAAATATACTCTGAATTATACATAATATTGTTTAATTATTAATGGATTTATACAAAAAACATTCAGTATTAACAAACACTATTCTGATTAGTACTTGATCCGGACAATATATATATTTATTTTAGTTTTTATGTAATTTTATTTACTTCGTCAATATTTTTAATAGTACGAATTAATAAGTATGTGATTGAATGCAATTGTCATTATTTTATTTAAATATTTATTACAATAGATAAAATACTCAACTGTATTGTATTGTATTTTTTATTTAAAAATTTTTTTCTCTAAATGTTATTAACATTTATTAACAAAATATGCA